AGGAAAACAGTAACATTAAGTTCCCTAAGACAAGAGGAGTCCGCTCTCTGTGTTCCTCTCTCCGCTTCCGCACCTAGGAAATCCCAGCTTTATTGTTTAAATAGTTTGACTTAGCGATAGTATAGTGTACACTAATACAATCGTAATAGAAAAAAACGATTGAATCACTTAATCACTAGGCCTAAACAGCTGCTTGTTTTTAAAAGAAGTTAAATTGCAAAAAAGTTAGAGGTAGTTTTGAAAAGCTATCTTTAAATTAAAATTATTTTAGTTTAGTAACATAGTTTGTTCGTATACATTTTTCGGGGTGGGGACCGTGATCTGATGCACAGGTATTTAGTACAGCAGAACCCTGCATTACAGCCCAAAAGCATTTTTTTTGTAAACATTGATGATACAAATAAAGTAACTATAAAAAAAGATGACTTTCATTTGCAATGTGTTTAAATCTTAGTCGACTACACATTCTTATCTCAATAATTATTGAATTGAAAAATAAATAAATTTAAAGGCATTTTTACAGTTCCTCTAATTATATTTTGATGAACTAAGTTAAATTTAAAAACAATTAAGTTACAGTAAAATGAGTCATTTAATACGGAAATTGCTTTTGAGCTGCCCAGCTGCATTTTTGCTTCAACGAGGTAAGCCTACCTCTCTTTTACACAACTGCCATATGTCTTGCCACTCAGTAAAATGTCTTTTTTTTTTTTTTGCCAAATGTGTGCAAGACTGTGGTGTCACAAATTGGTTTTATCATTTGTCAAAGAGGTTCTTAATACTGTGGTGCGACAACCTCGCTCTCAGACGACCTTTGAAATTACCTGATCGATTACAATGGATGCAGAACCATCATTATTTTTCCGCTTTCCCTTATGTTTAACAAATAGACAATTTTGTTCCCCCTCTACACTACTTTTCCATTTTTCAAATTCGCTCACGTTGAAATCAACTTCAATTACATTCAAAAAAAGAAAAAAAATTTTATCGCACAACTCACAAGTGAAACAAGGAGCCATTGTGACTATGTTGATAGCTCAGAATGAGATATTGAGAACCCTAAACAAACATTGACTTACTCTTTCGATAAACTACAAAAATAAGCAAACCGCAACAAAAATCCTTAGGGTATTTAGTGTTGGAATTTATTTATAATCTTGTTCCTCATTGCCTTCTTGGTACTAAGTTAGAAGCAGCTGTCATGTGTTAATTATATGCCATGTGATTGCTATGTTTATTAATTTGTTGTAAATAAACATCACTTCCACTATGGACTTTAGAAACCATACTGTGTAGTCATTTTACTCCTATTATTATAAAGGAAAATCAATTATAAACAAGTTTTAGTGCTGAATCCAAAATTCAATTAGGCCTAGGCCTAAGTTACTTTTTTAACAGAGAAGTGTCCCAAAACAAAAGGTAATTGAAAAAGTTAAGTAACTTGATTAAATAAAAATACCCTAGCCTCACTTAACTTAGCCTATAGTTCCGTAAAAAATCCACACATAGGCTAGCTCAGAAGATGCTAAAATACATCACCTACATTGACAGCACACTGTAAACTTAATACACAACCAGTAATAAATTACACTCAAAAGGCAGGCTAGCTCAGAAACACATCACCTAAAATGACAACAGCAGTAATTTACACTAAATTATTGATTTACAATTAAAGTCTGCACAAAAAGAGCAGACAGCCAGGAGCCAACCAGCCAGACACAGAGGAGCGCGGCAAGCGGCAGACAATGGTACTAACTAAACTTGTCTGCCGCTGAAGTGAGGAACAGTCTCTACCTGTAAGGTCAAGTCTGCTGGACGCCATCCACGCCCGGTTGCTGGACGAGTATCCTCTGCGATTCTTTAAAGCTGAGTTTCAACTGAAGCTTGTAACTTAGAAAGTTGACAATTGCCGGCAACCAAACCTTTGTGCTGATTTCTGCCAGCAAATAATGACAAATAAGTTATTTAGCACTTAGGTTGACAAAAACTAAAAGAACTATGGTTCCAATTACTTGAGGGGCAATTATTCTGTATGTCTACTTACACTGGGAAAAGATGTCTACTTACTTACTGTACAGGTTTTTTCACGCTGAATCCAATATTGCAATCAGTTTTTGCTGGAGAGATTCTTAAGTGGCTGTGAAACGAAGGTTAAATTACCTACGAATCTAAGGTTCTTTGAGCGGTACTGATGGTAATATGGTGTGGTCTGGACAGGTCCGTATGTGGACTGAAAGCTGAGTGAGGAGAGCAAACAGGCTGTTTATACTCGACTTAATGCAGAATGAAATCAATTTATTTTGAAACTTTTAAATAATCAGCTCTTATTTAGGAATGTAGGGAGGTACCTAGGTGGGGTTTAATGCGGATTTAAGACTACCATATATTAAGTGTTTTGAAGTTAGGTTAGATTAGGAAGGTAAAGTTTAGGTTATAATGAACCGACTCATTAATTTATGCTACCTGCAAACTGTTTTTGCACAATTGATATGGTGGGTGAAACTTGATGAAATAACAATAGGCCTGTCAAAAATGCAGTCCGCCCCAGGCCCCACACCAACATAGGACCCCAAATTAGGTAAGTTTTCCCCTGACGGCAGACACGGGGATTCCCGAGGACCTCGGCCCAGTAACTTAAGGGGCCTCACTTGGGTCTCAAAAAAATGTTTTTTCTTTAAGAAAATAAATTTTGCCATTAGAATACAATAAGTATCTGTTAGAATTACAAATATCTAAATCAAACTTATACTCTCACGATCGCTGGAAGCTTCTGCAAAGATTGCGCGATCAAAAATCACGACTCCCAGCAATCACTGGTGATGATAATCAGGTCTTGCAACCGCAAAAGATGTTTACGATTGCTCCGAGACCATAGAGACGTTCGTGATTTTGTTGCGATAACTTATTGGGAGAAGAAGATGATGTCCTTGCAAATGCGGAAGTTGTTCAGGATTTCACCACGATCATAATAGACTAGATTTTTTCTAGATAATTTTTAAGGGTAGGTTGTGCCACTGTTTAAGAAAGAGTTCGTAATTTTTGTACAACATTTCAACCAAGCAATAAATATATGTATGTAATAATAACAATAAATAAATATGTATAAATATATTTTGTTATTATATACACCAATGAGGGCTACTTCAAATGTTACTAAGCAAATCAAAATACCAAAGTACACTAAAAACATTTTATTTTGTATAAATATATATACAGTATATAATAACAACAAAAAATATATAGTAGATAAATGCAATTTGAAACCTATATTTTTCTTGTCTTATATTATGTTATATGTGATGTGGAAAGCGGAAAGGGACCTCTTGTCGGAGATGCAAAATTTTAAGTACGGCCGATATAAGTAGCCTAATTAAGGTCGAAAATATCGAATTTAAAGTTTTTATCGATTGTAATACCTCATTTAACATAGAAAATGACAGTATCGGTTAAAATCTCGAATTCAAGATGCAAAAGGTCTAAATAAATCATTTTGTTAGCCTCTGCACGGTCTGAGAAAAGGTACCTCTTGTCGCTCAATGTTATTTTGCCATAACGACAAGAGGTCCCATTTCTAAGATTCACTTTTTAAACAGATTTTAGTCCAAAAAATGAATTGTCCTGCATTCTAGTGGAAATTTAGAGAACTACAACAAAGTTCAGTTAACGAAGAACAAAATATCTCACAAATTTTGCGGTTCCGACAAGAGGTACCTTTTCTTATCTTATGGCGAAATAACATAGGGCCGACAAGAGGTCCCTTTTCTGAAATGCGATTTTTACAACATGCTTCAATATAACAATTATTTGAATGAAAACTACCGTGAGTTAAGAAAAACAATTGCATTTCTTTCAAATAGGACATTATAAGCTTTCTTTTGATACCAAAATCGATTCTTAAATACAAGAAACACTGTTTTTATGCGTATTTGAAATTTTCAAAACAGTTTTTCTCAAAACAAAATTTAACAATAACAAAATTTCAAAGTCCTATAACTTAAACAAAAAAAATCATACATGCGTGGGACTTGCACCAATCGATTCGGAATTTAATAAGGAATTCAAATATAGGCTATATATATAACTCAAAATCGAAAATTCCCGACAAGAGGTCCCTATTCGCTTTCCACATCACATATTGTGCCACGTATTTGCAATTCTTGTATTCATTTTTGTGTAAACCATCTTGCTTTGATTCGTATTGTATAATGGCATTTGCCGTAAAAATAAATAAATAAAAAAAAACAACGTATTGCTGAGTTAGAGTAGCGTAGAAACAGATAAAATACGCAACTTAATGAAATTTAAAAAAAATCCAGGGTTAAGAGCTGTCTTATTACTTGTAATGGACAATATTTTTCTCATAGTTCATTTTCTGTTTTTAACTTAAAATGTATTTAACACGTTACATTACACTAAATTACAGTAAAAACATCAGTAGTTACTGGATGGCAATGTTCTGCCATAAAACTTGCTTTGGACATAGTACTAAGTGATTCTGATAGATAGCAGCACTACCCAGGTTGCAGTCAGTAAAGTAGTTTCGCTATCTAGCAGGAAAGAGGTGGGACAAAGCCTTGTTCTAAACGACCCTGGTGGTGATTTTGGGAAACTATATATTTTATTGTCAAGAAAAGTACGTCCTCACGAGCTGCAAATAATTATATGACGCTCGTGACGAGCTGGCTGATCCATGGAAACGTTAAAATAACTATGAACGGTGACGTTCCGGAACTTTCCTCTGCTCCTGGCGCCGTGGCCCGGCTGACGCTCCGTAACGTCCATAGCAGCGAACGTGTTAACGAATCGTTTGAACAAAGATTGACTTGATGATGTGACTGTTGTCACAAAACCGGTAGGCCTTCTCTTCTGACAAATCAAAAAGTATTGAACGGTAGGCCTAACAGCTTAACAATTTAAATATGTTTCTAGGTAAACTGTAATCTAGGAATTTTCCCACTGTAGCCCAGATTGTGTTAACTACTCGTGTAATATTGTTACAGGAAATCCAAGTCGAGTTTGAGGGGAGGAGTCCAATTGATTCTGATTTCCATGGAATTAAACAGCTTTTGCACCAACTTTTTTTGAAGGCTCATATTAATCTATCTGAGCTAACTGATCTAATTATCTCGCAAAACTATGTTGGAAGTGTAGTTAAGGTAAGAACTGAATATATTTAACTATCAAAACAGACCTAGTGTTCGAGTATTTCTCAAGGGTGGCTTAATCTGATTTAAAAGCATAAATGTACCTACATACCTGCAAATTTAATACTAGGATTGTCTTTATTACACATCTCAAACACTGAAATAAGCTTTTTAGGCTAATTAAAAATTACAGTTTCCTTTCAAAATAAAATTTGGCAAGATTACTCCACGGGCTGGCTAAACAGTTGTAACCCTTTTAGCTTAAATGGCCAATGTGCAAGAGTAACATACCCAAACTTCCTTTTTAAACTTAACTTGATTGTAATAGGCCCCTACCTTTAGGTATATCGTGCTTGTCCACCAAACATTTGCTTAAAACATTTTAAGTATGTAATGTTAAATTGTGATCAAAATATGAGAAAAAAGCTTTACCAAAATTATAGTAAAATCATTGAATAATCTCTGGGGTTCAAATACTATATTTCATCACTAGGGCCTAAAGTGACTCTTTTTGACCCGAGCTCAAGTTTTGCTATCGAGGCGAAGCCGACGTATTACAATCAAGATGCAGCTGTTTAGTAAGTGATTCGATCGTTTCGTCTATTAATTTACCATGGTGTTAGTGTGCATTATTATCAATATATAAGTCAAACTATTTACAATAAGGCAATAATTAATTCCAATCAATACATACTTTCGATACATGCAATTGTTTGAACAAAGAATCAAAATTTACAATTGAGTTTACGAAAGTTGATTTTTACTCCATAGATTCTAAAAATGTTTTAGCCCCTAGAGAGTAAAAATGTTTCTTTAGACCCGCAACGCAGCATTAAAAATTAAAAATGGCTATTTTAGCTGTAGTATGATGAAAGGGTTTATTTAGTTTAACTTTTACATTTTCCGGAAGCCCAATTGAAAAATGAATGCATAGATTCATTGCATGTGCAGCAGTAGTCAACAAATTATATTGACAAGCATTTGTTTTTAATACTGATAATGTCTCAACTGCTAATGTTGCGTCACATGTTTTTAGCAAAGTGACGTTGACGAGGAGAGTGATGATGAGGATGATGATAATTCTGCTAATGAAGTATTTGGAATCACAACAGTGGTTAACCTCACAGACAAACAGGTAACATATTTAGAGTTAGGATAGAATCTAAAACCTAAATAGGCTAAGTCAATGCCAAATACCAGTTCAATTTGCTCGACTATTATGTTGAAAATAGGCGTAGTTTGGTTCTACTAAGACAACCACATTAAATTAGTTTACAATTTACAAAGAAGGTATGGTTTGATATACTAACAGTTTTTTTTACTACAAACCTAGTTTGTAGTTTTTGAATTTTACCAAATAGTATTAATTTACTTATCTCCTATTGGTAGGCTATACATCATGTCCATAAGGATGGTTTGTAGTTCAAGAGAGAATTATAATGTCCCACCTCTTTTCCCAGTCTGAATAGGTACATGAATTTAAATGGAATCCCACTCGTTACTCCTTGAATTGAATTTATCTACGAGATCAGTGACCATGTCAGAGTATCTCAAAATGTGTTAGTTTTTCAACTATTCAGTGGCTCATCTCGGCTAATAAGTAACCCGTAAGAATGTGGGTCTAAACGTTTGGTGGATGTTTTACAGAACCTGGAGTGTGTACAGCAGTTGCGTCAGTTGTTGGTGGACTTGTGTCGGGAACACGGCACTGACCAGAGCAATGCTGTTGTCAGTTCATTGCTGTCCAATGATGCCAGACCTGTCGGTCTTCTGATCAACGAACGGTTCATCAACATCCCAGCTCAAATCTCCGTGCCATTGTTAGAGAGCTTAAGGTATTGATCTGTTCTTGGGCTCCTGGAAATAGTCGTGTCTCAATTTATTATATATGCAAATTAAATTATGGCAAATAATTTTGGACAAAATGTTACATAAATCTTGGTTTATTATTTATTTTAAATATGAATTTGTTATCTAACGTAAAATGAGTAGGAATAGTTTTGAAGGGGATACTAATTCGTGTTAAGAGTAACGAAGGCTATAGTTAAATATTTGTAAAACACCGTGTAGAACAGAAAAAAAACTGTGTCCCCCACAAGCAAGCAAGGAATTCTCTTAGAGATAAATTGTATCCACTATGCATGCTAGGCAATTTAGGAAACTTTTACTATGAGAATTTTCATAACATGCTATATTTCTAATTACCAGTGAAGTAAACAAAGCATCACAAGTCTCAGGATGGTACCCCATTTCAAAAAGTCAGTTGAGACCTAGATAGATGGATAAACTTCTTTATGTTTAAATCACTGATAATTTATTTAAACTATACATTCTAACATTTCATCAATTTTGCAGCAAGGAAATGAAGAAAGCCAAAGAAAAAAATCTGGCTTTTGACTTCACATATTTTATTGTGATATGCAAGCTATATAAAATGGATACCGAATCTACCAAGAAAAAGAAGAGTGGGAAGAATAAACCACCAGTGACCCAGGAAAATGAAGTATTATGGTCCAATCCAGAAGAAGAGCTCTTTGACCAGGTAAATGTTTGGTTAAATAAAAAAAATCTGATACAAGACAAGGTAAGGTGTTGATAAGTGCCGTTGGGGCCTCACAACATAAAATTGTGTTTTTTCAGGTTCAAGCTTTACAGCGATGCTAATGTCATATTATGTAACTCAATTTGCTAATTGTAAAACATATACCGTGCAAGACAGTTATAACTAAAGATGGGATTAGTTCTAAACAAATTAAAACTAATTTAACCATAGTACAGTTACAGTAATGGTCAAATTATTGTAGACGATACGAATTGTTGGATGTCAAGCATAATCCTAGTTCAGGAACCATGACACTATTGTGCATTTTGTAAACCAATGACAGGTAACGTCATTAAATTACTTACCAATCTTTTATTATAATTTGTGTCTTACCTCATTGGCATTTTAAAAAGGTAATAAAACACTTTTTTTGGAAAGCATTCCAAACTCATTGAATGTTGTGTGGATGTAGATAATATTATGATACAAAAAATATTAGGCTATACATTTTCAGCTGATTGTTAATCCCCTCCTTTCAGATATTTCCTTATTTTGTTCCTTTAAGGTCGATTCACACATATCAGTCCAGTCACAGTTCCGTTACAGTCCAGTTACGGTCCAGTCTCAGTTGCTTCCGCAATTTCTCAGTCAACTGTCCGTCAGTTGGTTTCAGTCAGTCTTCTGTCTCTAATATTTACAGTAATTTACAGACGACATTTTTAAATTATGAACCTATATTCTATCAAGTTTTCACTGTCCATCTTGTTGATTGTTACAAACAGTACTCAAAATATAAACACAACCATTTAAACAACAATAACACTATTTTCTAACCTCAAAAAGGTCTGTCAGGTGTCCGAACAATCCAAAAATATCGGTGGAAAAAAATCTGAAATTGGACGGATGCCGGCAGAGCGACTGACGGGACTGCAATGGATGAGTGTAGATAGTGCAATAGAAAATCCATTTTAAGAATATTTTTGTTAACTGTGACGTGCCTGATGTGACTGGACTGTGACGTTCCGTAACTGATGTGTGTGAATCGACCTTTTATGTCGAGTTCTTGATCTCATCAGAATTTTTGTACATTTTAGCGAATTTCCCATATAGGGAATAAGCTATTACCGTAGTACTCATTGGCCGTAGTACCTGGACGCGGGACCGATTTACTTTTTCGTTTTGAGGTCCCTAGAGACCAAAAACACCATCTATTCAAATTCATATAATTATATATAGGTATATATATATATTATATAACATATGTATCCGTTAGCACGATAACTCGAGCAAAAATGATCTGATTTTGATGAAATTTGGTATAAACGTGTAAACCTGCATTTATTCGAACGAGTTCGCGAACCAGCATGATCAGACTATGGGAACGGGGGTTTATGGGGGGGGGGGTTTTATGGAGCAAAAAAAGGTTTTCCCTATTTTAGACACAAAAAAATAAAATTTAGCAATTTCTTTCTAAATCATTTTGTAGAGCTAAAAAAAACAAATAATTTAGTATATTGAAGCGTTATTATGCGCCTAATGGTTACAGAGAAAATTCCAAAAAAATGTAAATTTAAAATTCTCATGTTATTCTTATGGAGAACAAGTAAACGGTTGTAGTTTGCTTGTTTATGAACATATTTTTATCAAATTTTGAAAATATTTTATTTCTTACTAACTATAAATATTTTACAAAAAAAAGTTTCACCCTCCCTGATGCAGTAGTACTTAAAACTAATTCTATTTAATTAGGAAATAAATGTTATATTTTTAAGTAAACATTTTAGTGTAAATCCAATCAGGCAAATGGAAATTCGCTTAGTCTGCAGGTTTGCTGCGGAGGGGGTATTATATTCCATTTATTTTTAATACTGTGTTAACATTCCCTGATTGGATATGGTCCAGTAATTTAAGTTGTCTGCTTTTAGCGAATTTCCCATATAGGGAATAAGCTATTACCGTAGTACTCATGGTAAGACCTGGACGCGGGACCGATTTTTTTTTTCGTTTTGAGGTCCCTAGAGGCCAAAAACAGAATCCGTTCAAATTCATATATATATATATATATATATGTGTCCGTTAGCACGATAACTCGAGCAAAAATGATCCGATTTTGATAAAATTTGGTACAAACGTGTAAACCTACGTTTATTTGAACGAGTTCGCGATCCAGCATGATCGGACCATGGGAACGGGGGTTTATGGGGGGTTTTATGGGGTAAAAATAGGTTTTTCCCATTTTTGACCCAAAAAACATAAAATTTAGCAATTTCTTTCCAAACCATTTTGTAGAGCTCAAAAAAACAAATAATTTAGTATATTGAAGCGTTATTATGCGCCTAATGGTTACGGAGAAAATTCAAAAAAACTGTAAATTTAAAATTCCCATGTTATTCTTATGGAGAATAAGTAAACTGTTGTAGTTTGCTTGTTTATGAACATATTTTGATCAAATTTGGAAAATGTTTTTATTTCTTACTAACTATTAACATTTTACAAAAAAAAAACAGTTTTACCCTCCCTGATGCAGCAAACCTAAGTACTTGTTATACTAATTCTATTTAAATAGGAAATAAATGTTATATTTTTAAGGAGACATTTTAGTGTAAATCCAATCAGGCAAATGGAAATTCGCTTAGTCTGCAGGTTTGCTGCGGCGGGTGTATTTATAATGCCCACAGTATCTTATTCGTGGAACATTTCTTTAAATTATTTGGTTTTCTCTATTATCTATGTTTTGTTGTCTTCTGTATGTCTGCGTAAACACAATCTTTTTAATTAGTCAAATGTCTTATTTTTTAATTTTTCATAGAGACAGTAGTTTACGAGTGTTATATAAGATAAATATAAGATATTCTTCCATAAGAATGTGCAAATTAACTTATTAGAAGTTAAGGTTATTAACTAGAAAGATTACTTTCTCATTAGAACATTGTTCAGACATTTTGCATCCCTAAAACGAATGCCAAATTAGCATATTGACTAAAATCTAAAAGAATTATTTTTTGTGCTAAATAACCATTCTGTTTTAATCGGTAATAAATAATATTTGCTTATCTTAGTTATTATTTATTAATAATTGACGTTCCAGTAGTAGGAAAGGAATTCTAATTGTCTTTATTTAGTGTTTGATCTTTATTATCTTTATAACCCATTTAACTATTAATTTTGTTATAAAATTAATTAGTTAGTCATCTCGTAATGTGACACTTGTGTGTTGTTACCAGGAGGCAGATTGCAGGTTTGAGTTCTGTGTGAAGGGTGAGACTGACTCGGGGCTGAGTGGACAGTGGTTGGAAGACGACACAGCCATGACACCTTACAGACGGATACTCATCCTCAACGCATCCAAGCTAGATCAGCTCATACAGAGAGTCAAGGAATATGTTACTGGCTAGCCAAACTAATGTGGTGTGAAATACCAAAGTATACAAAATATGTCATTTGCTAACTCTTAATTTACTTTCCACTCAGTCAGCCTGTCGGGGTCGCAACACCAACTTTGTGTGGTATTTACATTCTATAGTAAGTATAAGCTTTGCTATTACAGTACAATTCCAATTGGGACCGTACCACATTTGAAAGGTTTGGCTATTTCACTTTTTTTTACATGTCTGCGAAGATTTTGTGTATGAAAACAGTTTTGTCGTGGTCAAGTAAAACGATGAAGTCTACACGACCATGGGAAATGTTCAGGATTTTGCCGTGATGACATCTTCTGCCTTCTTTAATAGCAATTGTCTTCTCATTACTGTAGTTGTAGTTTTAAAATTCTTTCCTTAGGCAATTATTAGGATGGTTGGAGTTCTATTGTACGTGCATTACCCTAATTAACATCATAGTTTTCTCATGGCAATCTAGTTCGCCAGCTTTTTGGTTTGTTGTAATAATATTATTATCTAACAGCATAAACCTACTAAATTCAATTTTATTAGTGACATACTATGCGAATATACCATTTTCAAAATTCCTTAATTCTTTACAAGCAAGTCATAAAGGCCTCAGTAGCTACATAATATGTTTTGAACCCCAGACTGTAGAAAAGATTTCCTAGACTCCAACAAGTTGACTGATAATTTTTTTAAAATTTGGATTTAGGCCTAGTGTTGTTTTACAGTGGTTTAGTCGTAAATTTTCTAATGTGGGAACTTGACCATTTTCACGGAAAAATACAGGTCACTTAACAATACCGAAAAAATCAGTTTAACGATAAAGTGTATAATAAATCAATACTATTTATAGGGCCTATTATAATTTTATTGAACCTGAATTTACACTACACAAAGGCTGTAATGTAAATGTAAAAGAATTGTTCAAAATGCTTTCCACTAACTTAATTGCAGTTTTCAGTGTTTTTTTTTTTCAATTGTAACAATCTTTTTGCATAGATTTTTATTTTTGTTTAAGGCTTCAAATTCTCTGGCGATGGCTGCTCTCAATTGCAGAACATCTAGGGGCCGTTTGGCAAAAACTTTATTTTTAATAATCCCCGAACAGAAAAGTCAAATGGTGTAAGATCGCAGGACCTTGGGGGCCAATCAATTCGCAAGAGAATTTGAAGCCTTAAGCAACGATAAAAATCTATGCAAAAAGATTGATGCAAGTGTGAAAAAACGCTGTGAAAAATTCATTGAAGTTAGTGGAAATCATTTGGAACAATTCTTTTAAGTCTACTTTACAAATTATGTGCAGTGTAAATTCAGTTTCAATAAAATTATAATATAAATAAAATGGATTTAGAATTTGCTTCAAACAAATACACTTACTCGGTAAACTGATCTTTTTTTGAACGCCATTCTCACGTGTTTCTGTACCACTACACCACTGTTGTTTAAAAGCAAATTTTTTTTTATATTTCTTACTATTATACTTACGCTGAAACACTAATATAGAAATTATAAAGAAAATAAGCGATTTGTCATAAATTTTATGTAAAGCAGTACATACACCTTTTTGTAGGGTGTCATTTTGTATTTTTTAATTTGAATTTTTTTTTTGCCAAATGGTATTTGGTAAAAACAGTATATTAAGAGACAAGATTCAGCCCATATTGTACTAAGGATATCAAAGGTTTTATTTTATTTTTAGTGACATCTGTTTTTTGTTATTCATTGTACGTTTTTAGCTTTATTGAGTGGTGCTCTTAAATCAAACTAGGTTTTGATTTGTTGAACTTTGTTTAACTTAACACTATTTATTGAGGATTAGCATTTTGTTACAAATATAACATTCATTGCTATTGTCTCTTAAGGAAGACTAAATATTTCATTTACCTACCTAACCTTGCTTATTTCCCAAGCAAAACTTCCATTCAAACAGATTATTGGGGGGACTCGTGCCTGAATTCTGTTCGGTTGGAAGCGTAAAGGCATATTTCCCATACATGTTTCCTTACCTAAAAACTGCTGTGAGATTTGCCCTTAGCTCAAGGCTTGCAACATGTTCAAGAGACTTGTTCAGATGAAAACATAATTTAATAGTGCTTTTGTGGTTCATTTTGCTAAGGTAATTAATGTTTTTTATATCTACTCACACATACCGATATTAACTTTTTTAAACATTTTAACATCAAGTTGCTTCAATAAAGAAATTAACTAATCTTGCACATTAGTTAATTTCTTTATTGTAAGCATCTTGGATCTTGATCTTGTTCTTGCACAACTTGAATGTAGAAATAAAATTTGATTCGGAAAAGCTGTTGAAAATGTAGCTTTAAAATAAGAGTTATGCAAGTTGCCTGTTAAAAAACATATAATTAATTTTAAAATTTCTGTGGCTAATTGAATAAAATATAAAAATATCAATAAATTTAGTTTAGTTGTTACTTTGTCAGAGCAAAATTAGATATAAGTGAAATTATAGGTTAGGTATAAGTACAATATCTGAGGTTCACAAAATATTAACAAACCAACATAGTACATTGTTGGAATTACTTCAAAAATAAAAATAAAGTTTTCCTCGTGCAAGATCTTAGCTAGATTTCAACACTTTGTTGTAATAACTTCACTGGGATACTGTTTTATTTTATATTAATAAATAAATATAAAATAAATACAGTGGTTTTATTGGTCTCATCATCAAAACAGAAGTTTCTGGATTTGAATTACTATTGTGAAGAACTTGGTAATACTAGTAAACTACAAGGAAATGGCTTACTTTATTTAAGTTTTTGTAAATGTGGCTTTGTTGTTTGATTTGAAAAAAATGTGATTTTAAATACATTTTGTACATTGCTAACTGGTAGCATTTTTCTTCCTCATACTGTCACTATTTATTGAATTTATAATAGTCGTATCCAATTAAAGCGATTGGCTTGGAAAATTGATACATTGGTACTGGTACCCGTTTGACATTTGGAATATATGTTTCCTCTGCCTCTATTAATCCAGGGATTACTAATCTCAACTATTGATTTCAATTAATTGCTCTCTTGATTTGTTTTGTTTATCTATGGTGAAAAACAAGTTAAAGTTTGAACAAGTAATTTACTGGTTCATTAGCAATTCTGATATTTTAATATTTTTGTTTATAAATGAGTTAACATTAAATTTTTCTCTCATAAACTACTGTTCCCCAAAATATGGTTCCTCTAATATAATTTATTAGACAAATTTGTTAATTTCATATTAAGCTATCAACATTCCAATAAAAAATAAAATAAAATAAACATAATAAAATATAAAAAACACACTGTATAAAAAACCTATTATATGGCAAAAATAAAGCTTTCTACTCTGTAGCAGCAAACCCAAGTACTCATCAAAATTAATTTTTTTTAATAGGAAATAAAACTTACAATTTCAAGGGAATGTTTTAGGGGAAATCCAGCCAGTTAAATAGAAATTTGCTATCTGAAGGTTGGCTGCAACGGGGCTATTTATCTTTGGAACATACGACATTTCATTTGGACCTCGTATGTTAAACTTTGCAACAGATACTAGGCTACCTACAGTAGACTCCCTCTTATCCGGACACCTTTTAACCGGACATTGGTGTAACCGGACCACACTCGGTAGAAGTGACATCTCTTTACCCGGATAACTTTTATCAGTACATCGGTTTAACCTGCAGGAAGTGGGCGGTACTGAAACGACTGTTCTCGCGGGAAAGATTCGAGACCAGTGATTACGTGTCTAAATACAATGCTCTCCTAATTTAAGTCAAATACTGTATATAGACTATGCATTTAAACAGTCCGTTTTAATGATATATTGGGGACGTTGGTTTAACCGGAAAAACCGTTATCCGGACTGGCCTCGGTCCCGAGGAGTCCGGATGAGAGGGAGTCTACTGTACTTCTTTTTGCAATAAATTATTAAATGTAATTAATACCCCTGCCAAAAATAAATTATATGATTTCAGGGTACTTTGGTACATAATTTACTTAACATTTAAAGTAGCCCCCATTGCAAAAATACAAAAAAATATATTTACATATATTATTTTGAACAGATGGAGATTTTGGGCTCTAAGGACCTCATGAAACGAAAAAGTAAATCAGTCCTGGGTCTAAGTCTTACCATAAGACCTACTATCTTATTCCCTAAATACATTTGTACTTTATGTTGCTTTTGAAAAACAGACAAAATGTCCTCTTTTTTTAAAAACCATTTGGTTTTTTATGTAAGCAAAACATGTAACTTAACAAAGTTAATTTTATCAGGGAAGGTGGTAAAAACAATAAAAAACACAGTGTGCTTTAATTAATGGTTTATTCATTTATATTCTCATAGTTCCAACACCATTAAAGAAAGCAATTTACAAATTATGTATATATATACAATTGTGCTACCCTCCACCATGGTTATAGCTGCCACCAAGTCACAGCTTGGAATATAGCAATCAGTCTGATAGTAAGGAATTTCAAAATTTTTTTAATGCATTTATGCAAAATAAAATATAATAATTTGATCAAACCAATTATTTAATCGACACAAAAAACTTGTAATATGCAATAACTTGGCAGCAAACTTCTAATTAACCTCGATATAACATTAATTTCAAATATAACCCATAATGAAAATAATTTGGAATGACAAAATAACTAATAAACATATTATGTAACAGTAATAGTAGGCATTCCCTGAAAACATTGCTTTGCTGAATGCATCAGGCAAGCTAGTTAACCCTCAAATTATGATAAACATTACCAGACATGAAGGAGTCTTCAGGTTCAACATTTTCTTAAGTAAACCATATAGTATAAGTAAACATATTTCATTATCACTTTATAAAATTACTTTTCAGGCCAAACAACATTCATATAATAAAGACACGCTACTGAATAATGTTGGATTATTGAAACTTACATTTCGAAAGTGTCTTTTGCACAAATTTAGCCTAATTTCAAATTAAAACATGTTAAATGTTAAACAATTTAAAAAATAGTTTTTTACTTAATCTTTTAACACAATTCAAACTTTATCAGCAGTTTTGACATACAACTAATCACTTAACAATAAATTGTATCTAAATTTTGCACCCCAGTAGCAGTTAACTAAAAGCAACTTTTATAAAAAAAATCCATCCATTTTATGGACATATTTTACAGTGGAGCCCAACCACAGACTTAAACAATGGCTTACATCCCAAATGTTCACATCAACGAATGTTGTACCTACATTAACAATATCACATTGGCACATAACCATCTATATCATATGCCATTTAGTTAAACATGACCGATATCCAAAAACAGGTATATTACTATAAGGAGATAACAAGAGCTTTGTGGTAAAGTGACACCGTAAAAAGTTTTTACATATAAACATTTCAAAACCAAATAACAAAATTATATTGCTATGTTCTCAGTCACTCTCTCAATATTAAACACGTGCTTTGCCTTCCACCCGCCTTATGTACATGATTACATTTGTATTCAAACAATATTTACACACTGACTGTCACCAAATTTTAAATACATATTTTTTTATCCAATATTTTTCTAAACTGATTCTTAAAGTTTTAAATCAATAGGCATTCAAAAGTAACACTGGGTGGGTAGAAAAGATGTATTGAATTTAAACAGAAGAAAAATCCAAAACCGAACACCCAGATCTGAGCTTTTGTCTATCAAAGAGGAGATTTACCTAAGCAAATGGTATCTCTTAAAAAACTGACAATTACTTCAAGTTTATATTTTTCCCAAAAGAAAGCTGGGAAACAACATTAAGCTAAATCCAAAGTAAAAGTAAAAAATAATTTTTGCTACCTTCATGGAATATTAAGTACCTAAGGTTACGTTTAATCCAAACCATTTTTGGCAAATTAACCAACCCTAAGAGTGAATTTAGATGATTTAAAACAACAAAGTTTTCTGTCAAAAGAAAACAACTTGTCATATTAGAGATCCAATTTTTACTATTACATAGAATACCATAATTGTATGCTATTGCATTGTCCTGTTGAAAGATATAGCTTGCCACAGTTATTTGATACATCATCATACAGGAGCAAATAAACTCATTACTGAGCCAGATAAAAAAGTGAATGTTTCATAGAACCTCTCAAAACATTTCATAATTTTAAGTAGCCTATAAAAAAAGAAAGAAAAAAAACTACAACAATATTCATAAAAAATACCTGTAAGACAACCTTTGGAGATAGTGAATTTCAACTTATAAAGAATCAATATGTCGAGAATGCAGTTTATTAACAATTAACTTTATTGTCAACAATAGTTTATAACTTTTAGTGTTTCAAATAACAATCTGGCTTATTTAAATACTTAGCTACCAATCACTAACAGTGAAATGTATTATGTCTACAAAACCATAGCTATAATGTTAACGTACAAATTATGTTAAATAGATATTTGAAATATATATTTATACAAACCAAGCACCAACTGTATCTAGTTTTACTCCAAATGTATTTTCAACTGTTTGGACACAAATAGGTTTTAGCTAAGCTAAAAACCAAATTTAAGTGATTAACATAAATCCACAAGCAGTTAAAATGACAACATTGATGTACCCATATATTAAAATCTAGGAATAAATAAAATGCGTAACATTAAAACTAAAAAAGTGCATTATGTGAAGCTTAAGATACAATAATATTAATACAATCAAAGTTTGTCAGCAAAAAGCGACCCTAATAAGCTAACAAAATAGTTAAAATATTATGTATAAAATGAGCAACCATTGAGTTCATTAATTGGTTTTGTGGTTGGATGATTCTAACTTTAAAGGCACAGTCTTACAAATAAACAGAGGTTTTAGTTTAGACCGGTCGGATGTGAAAATGTTACAGCTGTATCTTTGTTTGCAATCATGAATTTGCCTGTCCTCTACCCTCTTGAGTGACAGCCAGTTGAACTGTGTCACAAACAAATCATTGAAGAACCAGCATCAACTGAAATAGTTCAATTCTGTAACCTTTGATCCCATCTCTCGGCTGAATATGAGTCCCTTAAAACTAGTACAGTAAAAGCCTGCTAATTTGGTTACAATGGATCAGCACTGTCAATAATCCATCATTGCTTTAAAAAGGTCTAACACTTTTAATGCAGTTTTAAGACATTGGCTTGTTCGGCGCTGAGTATGGGGAGTGACTGGCAAAGTAAAAAAGATTTGGAGGTATCGGGACAAATTGGCAGATGTTGGTTTGCATTTGATGGAATCAGGGGGCGTTTTATTATTATTTACTTAATTTTGCACTTGACAAGCAGAAAGCACAATAAAACACAAAATAATGACACTCTATGATTAGTTGTATTTTTGCTAGTCTTGCAAACTCCTGTTTTTAGAAGATGATCAATTATTTCAGCACTGTCTAAGTTCCAAATGTACCAGATTAGCAAGCACCTATTGTATAATCTACTCTAGACTATGGATCTCAAAGGCCTATGACTCACAAAACATGGTACAGAATTTATATAAATAGACACGGCTGTCACTAGAGGGTTGGTCTCTTATTATTTGTTATATAACAATGAATGTGACTGAAGATGTTTTTACACCTAATACATAAGTTGGAACAACCATAACAGTTAGTTTGTTTAGATACTCTTGTGAAATGGTTAAATGCAGTATGCACCAATCATACCAAATTATAATTATATTGAAATGATCATGCTGGTGCCTTTCCTATGACGATTTATACTTTTGGGTGGGTAAAAGTGTTGTAAACAAAAATTAAAGTTTTAAATATTGTTAAAGGATGAAATTTCTGTTAAGAAAAGTTTAACTTGGACTGCTTGATAACTGATACTTTCGACATTGATTAAATTATTATTAGGCCTAATATATACATTTTTAAGATAAACATTGAAAATAGCATTAGAGGATAAATGGATTAGAAATATAAAAAAAAACTATTAGGACTTGTTTTTTTGGCACATTAAAACATGGCTGTAAAGTTGGAAGACGTACGAAACAAAGAAGTCCTTGTACTTGATTCTGTAAGTTGAGCTAAAGGAAAAATCAACTGACATACTAACTTTATGTCAACCTTGGTCATTAAAAGGCACCAGCTCAGCGGGGGTGTGGGGTGTAAAATGAACACGGCGGTGAGTCACGTGCACCAGAGCGATATGTATGTGAGGGAGAGTAGCATTAGCCCTCACTTGAATGCAGGGAAATGGTTCGACTGAGGCATCGTGGGACTGAACACTGGCCTCATCACTGGGAAACTACCAGCAGCACCTGCAAATATCAGATCGTATAAATCTACTACGCACAGTAAGATTGAAACAATCTAACTGCTAATGTAAACTTGCCCCATTTATACAGTCTTTGCTTGATCCTGACAGCCATTTGCCAGCAGTTAGCCAAATCATAAATACTCCACTGAAAATTTTTGTTTCTAAGTTTACAGTGCTGCAGTACGGTAGTTAAATATAAAAACATCTGAAAGCTGTATACTGTATAATCAAAAAAGCTCAGCTCAATAAAAGCTCGACTCGAGCTCGGCTTGATCAACGATCTCAGGCTCGCACACCTCTAATATTGAAAACTTAAAGATTTCAAATGTTGTATTGTGTAAACTGATGATACAACAACATCAGCATTACCATGTGAATAACCGGACCAAGAAAATGTCAAGACGTGGTAAATAGCTTACTAATAGGTTTATTGTAAATTGTAATTTTAAACATCACCTTTAAATGATATGCATTCAATAACAGTTTGATAAATTTGAATTAATCATACATTGTATCAATTCAGTGATGACTTAATTATTATAAATGATACTACCACTTGGGAAGATTGTCTCACCAGTGCTGGGAGTGGGGGTGCGCAGAGGTGATGTAGGCGTGCCGGCCAGCTGGTTCATGGAAGGTGCAGTTCCCCCCGCAGACTTGCGACTACCAAGACTGAGGTTGTCTATGTCGATGTTGAGGTTGATGTTGCTCCACGTGCTACCAACCTGTGACAAATAATCATGTTACTCACTGAACAGTTGCTTTCATAATAGGGAGCCCTTTATAGCTTTGATCTACTAGTTTTATTTGGTATGTTAGCCTCCAGATTACTTAAAATATATGAATTGGTGTAAATACCTGTTTTGTTGTAATTCAAATGTTGCTAGTGTCACAATTAGTTTTGACTTTCATTAAGTCATCTTCAGGAGTTAAAGAATGTCATGATGACTTCATCAGAAGGTCGTCGATTCACATTAAGTACATAGATATGCGAACACAGACATTGAAACGGCAAAACGGTACATTTAAAACAAATAAAAAATGGTAACTGAGGTATGGGGAATGATGCGTCACGACTAGATGGATGTAAAGTCAAGACATCCATCTTGACTCTACATCCATCCGGTCGTGAATCATTCCATATCGGGTTGTGACACATAATTCCCCAAGCCGCAGTTACAGTTTTTTATTTTGTTTTAACTTGTTATGAATGTACTGTTTTGCTGTTTCAATGTCTGTGTTCGTGTGTCTATGTACGACCTGAAGTGATCATGTGACATCCTTTGATGCCTGAAGATGACTTCACAAAAGACGAATCTAGTTGCGTCTTCCTTGAGTTTCTGGCTTGTATGTGGCAAAACAATTTCTTATTTTATACATTAATGTAGATTAGTGAGTGGTGACTGACCGGCACAGTGTTGTTGGTAGCAGAGGAAGCTATCGTAGGAGCTATGAGCTGGCTAGGTGTGGACGGCAGCAGTAGACTGGCCGGTGGAGGAACTGAACCTGGAAAATACCTATCACCTGAGAAACAGGGTCGGACATTGACTTTTGGATCCATCTCATCTATACGAACCAGCTGTAGCTTATTTTATTCAAATAGACATACAGTAGTAGTTGAATGACCCACTCACAGAATGTGCTGCTATCAAAATTTTCTCCTATGGTTTTTGGCACTATGGTATTTGATGTGACGTAAAAGATGCAAAAGTTTGCAAATTCTACACACCATCACATTAATTATTATCAGCACACTCTGTCAGCGACTCAAATTAACTAAGGTAATTTTTATGCTAAAATTGACTAGAACTTTGAAACATGGAAACCGGATGTGTACTCTATCAATACTCAATAGTCAAAGGATGTTAGTGGTGGGAAATAGTATTAAAATTGCTTTACCTCTGTTTGGATGGAAATTAAGTGAGATAAAACATTTATACAGCCAATCAGCAATGGACATGTTCAATACTTAGAAAATCCAATTAACCGATTTATAAAAAAGCATATTAGTCCAGCAGCCAAACAGGGAATTTTCCTTGAACCTTGTTTTGTTCTTTTAAGTTTTTTTTTTATTATTGTTATTTAATTTTGGTAGTATTTAGATGCAGAAAATAGCGGGTACTTACAAAGTACCTTTGGGCAACTCTTAGAATTTAAGATAATAACTGTCCATATTAATAAATAATTTGATTAATTTATATGGTAATTAAGCTATAAACTATGCGTTTTAGTCCGAATATCATGAAATTCGGTATGAAACCTCGTTATAATATTACTAATAAATTTACCAAATATTAGCCATATCCGTCGAGCCGTTTAAAAATGGCGGCAAAAAACATGGTTTTTATCTCTAAAAAATGATTTTTTTGCCCAATAAAAAAAAACTTGGTATGCAACCTTGTTCTAGTGTTACCTCTAAGCAATAAAATACAAGTTTGGCCAATTTAAACCTGAACTTTTTTAAATTACTAGCAAAACACATTCTTTACATAATAATTATGGCATGTAATAATACTCAATTTTGATGTTTGCTGAATTCCTGTAGCACTTGTGGTTACGTGTTATGACTTTTATTAGTGCGTTACATTGGAAAAAAGACATGTTAACAAAAAAAAAAAAAATTATTTCTAAATAGTTAAGTTTTATTGTTTTGTATTTAACATAAATAAATATTTAATTTGTGTAAAATTGTAACTTACATAATACATGTAAAAATCGCACGAGCTATTCAACTTATTTCAGAAACATTTATAATAAAATGGCAGTAACCCTAGTAACTATAAACTGATTATTCTACATTGTTGTAGTCTTCACAGTCGTCTTGAGTTCCGTCACACCTATGGGCCTAAGTACTTTACTAATACTGTCTTTGTAGTAGTAGCCAAATTGTCTAGGGTCTATCGGAGGAGGTTGACTCAAAACATTCTTCCAGATTATGGTTTTGTGTGCAGGTTTCACGTTTTGCATGAAAGCTTCATTTGTAGGTGGCAGTGAACACAGTCGTGGAGGTTGCCAACAACTGATACTGCCCATCTTGGTGGACCACGCCTTAACTCGCGCTTCTGAAGTGGTCAAACATTTAGGATAACCGTAGCAAGAGTTCATAAAAATGGAAGCTTATTTGTTTACATCTTCGAATATTGCTATTTTCTCTCCAACCAATGAAAGAGAATGTCCGTCTTTCAAAGCATTCACCACTTTACCTTTTCCTAAACCAAAAAGTCTAGTGGTGGTATCCCATCCACTTGAGCATGTCCTGCTCTATAAAACTTGTATAAAAATTAATAACCTAATGTTAGTTAGAGGTCTACAACTCACCTTAGACTCTTCATATTTAATTAAAAATTGTCTCAAATGAAAGTTCGAAGTTCACGTAGTGTTTTAAGACCAGAACGAAAAACATAGTATGCTGAGAAATAATTCTTTAATTACAGAAGAATGTTAAGAAAAAACAACTTTCATTCTACGTTTAAGCTTACAACTCGCCCCAAACACATCAGATTTCAATAAATAATAGCTCAAAAGAACCGCATTAACTCACTGAGTATTCTCATACCAAAACAAACAATATCACGTAACAATAACTCGAGACCCAATCTTTAACTACAGATAAATTGTAAAACAAATCGTGGTTTGGATGTCCACAACTCATATTCAGCTCAACAGATTTTCAGAATCTATGGCTTAAATTAAAGCCAGTTACACACTGAACATTTCTAGAATATAACATTTAATATAACGTAATTATAACTGGAGATAATATCTTTAATTAAAGACAAATCTTAGAAGAACTAAAATGTTAGTTGGTTAAAGTTCTATAAATCCCCTCAAACTCAATAGATTTGAATAAATAATGCCTCAAATGAAAGCCAGAAGTTCGCTGAGTTCGAAAAATATAACATCCCACAATCAGTACTCGATGTAACAATCTTTTATTTAAAGAAAATTATACAAAAATTAAAATCTTGTTGTTGATTGAAGTCTTGTAATTCCCCTCAGACTCGTTTGATTTCAGTGATATTCATGTCAAATGGAAGTGTTCTGATTCCAATCCATACAACATCTAATGGATTGATCAAGAATAAAACTTTTCTTTTAGAAAAAAAGAATTAACTCGAGTTGGAGCCTAGTAACTGGAGTTGGAATTTTACATTTGAAAGGAAGTGATAATAAAGACTAAAATAAGCAAATACGGTAAAAATAAATAATTCAAGTACATTTTTAAAACTCTGGTAGAACCAATCTAGAAGCTAACAAAAATCTGGACCAACCAAGGTGGCTTAGTGACATAATTAATTATAAATGTATCATCACTTTTAAAATGAGCTTTATATTAATGTGGTGGTATACTCATGGTAATTTTCATATTTAAAATTACTTAGATTAAACTAACAAAATTACAGTAAAATTAAATAAAACAAAAATAATGTTGATGCTATTGAAAATTATATTACTTGAACAAGTTTTACCAGTTTTAGGTTCGATTTACCAGAGTTAGTTTATGGTAATAAATAAGAGAATCTAAACCTTTTGTAAAAAAAGCTATTTTATTAGCCTAGGTACACATAATAATTGTAATGATTTATTAAATGTATACAGTTATGAAGTGCCAAATCATTTACAGCATTACCTAGAGAGTATATGTACACCATGGCCAGTGAAACAAATCTTGGTAAAAACATCAACAGGTCTTTAACAAAGTGTAAAACTGGCTTAAAAACTTTAAAAACAAACAAGACTATACAAATATTTTTATAGACAATAAATGACCATCAGAACCTTTCTGTGATTTATATGTTTAATCTGCACCTGAACCAAACTCAAAAGAAAACTAATATGTTAAAAGGTTAATATTTAGAGATGCAAAATAAGAGAAACAGGACAGCAAGATGACAGATCCACAACAAAGGGTCCTTTTAATGACTTTCACATCAAATCTGTTATAAAGAAATCCTTTTTTGGAACTTCTACTGTTATAAAATGATTTTATACAAAAATGAATTACAGTGTCTACATTATAATTTTTTGTTATTGGTCCTTGTTAGATTACGCAATTGTGCGTATTAGACAATAGATAATGTTTAGAGGCTTAATTAAAGGTATATTGTTAGTTCATTGTTAACACATAGTGCTTTAAACTGTAATTTATCCGGGTTGCTTTAACAATCTGACCTAGTTAAAATTCCATATATCAATTAATAAATATTACTGAAATTATTTTTCTTGGATAGTTGCGTCAACAGTATTTTAGGTTAGCAGACTCACACATTGTGTATTATTAATGTTTGACCATTTAAAATCTTAAACCTCATAATCAACACTCAAAATCTTATACAGAGTTACCTATTATGTAAGACTTCAGCCCTACGACAATTTATGAATGAAAAATATAACTGAAAATAAGTTTTGCTGTTGTGCTAAGCCTCATAACTCAATTGATCAAAGAGTTGCCGATGATCAAGGCAACCTGAGCTGCGAAGGATCGACATTGTTGATCCACCTCACAACTGCGGCCACCGACAATGCCTTGAGAGTTGATGATATCGTCCAACCACATCCTAGCCTCCATCATCTCATCGTACATGTCTGAGGTGATCCTTGACACAGGCACTGCCATGACTACGGCAGCCAAGCAGGCTATTACTGCCTCTCTCACTCTCGCCTCCTGGTGGAACCTCAAGCTCCATGTCGCCTCCAGCAACTCCTTCCCCATCCGAGCTGCTGCCGGGGCATTCACTGAACACGCCACAATCACAGCACAGCTTCTCAGAAAATGCACAAGCAATAAACTACATTCTTCGTGAGGGACTTGATCTGAACCCTGCCTGTAAACTATTCCTGGTGTTGTCCTTCCTTTTCCACGTAGAAGTGGGAAGATAAATGAACCGGCGACATTTGAAAACTTGTTTTCACTGTAGAAAGCAGGTTGTTTTTTAGACTGACAAAATTTTCTTGTGTGACTTTCAATTCTTGTTTTTACTACACTATACCAATCTGGATCATTGGTACTTTGTTTCACCTCTATATCTTTAATACAGGTTTTCTTCTCGTTGGACTTGGGAGATGAAAGAATTTTGGCAGACGCTGATAAAATATCTAACATCAACATTCTTTGAGCTATAGAATACTTTCCGAAATCTTCATGAAATTGTTTACAAAGATAATGAGCACCTTTTTCAGGATAAACAACAATTATGGCAACAGCACTAGAAAACCTCAAGTCATCAAAATTTGTACAGTGAGTTTTCTTTTCTAGACATAGAAGAATGTCTAATAAATCAATCCCTAATGTGACATCATCTTCTGGAAGTTGTTTGTATACTAGTTCTTCGCACACCTCTAAGGAGCCGATCCAAACATCTATATCATTTTCTTCTTTAAAACCTTCAATTAGGTCTCTCAGGTACTTTGGCCTCTTACTAACTGCCACTTTAATGTCAATGGATGTATCATATGGAGTAAAGTCATCATCACTGTCCAATTCTGAATTTGCATCTTCAACTTCCTCAACAAGATCCTTTATCAACTTGTTTGTCTTTCCAACATCTATTGCACAAATGTTACCTACTAAATTGGTTTCTCTTTCAACCTCAGTAATCATTTTACAAAGTAGATCATCTCCATTTGAAAAATTGATATTATTTTCATTGAACTTAAAACCACTCATGTGTTTGATCGTGTCAACAATAGCTGTATTATCCTTTGAGACCTTAGAAAAATCAAACTGAAGATTAAATTTATGTTCCTTATTTTCAACCATACTGTTTAAAGTGTACACCACACACTCAGCCGTAATCATACCCATGATTCGAACACTTTCAGTAGTATTTTCAAGGTGTGAAGGCATCCCTTTGAACATCTTAAGCTGTAACTCGTTTTTGAGTGAGTCGTTCAAAGGTATTTCCATGTAGTTATACAGATAATTGATCCCGACAACAAGCATTTTCGAAAGATACAAATGTTGTTCTTGTGGAGTGTGGAGCATTGCTGTCTTATCACTCCAAACAGTAATCAACTGTAGTAACACGGTCGGCAGGAGGTCTTTAGAACTGAGGCTATTGTCAGTGTCCTTCAGTTTTGAACATCTGGTTGCATTTCCAAGGAATGCGATCAAATTTGTTATTACTTGAGGCTCATCATGAAACGTCATGAATGGAATTTTCTTACAGATGGTGTAGTTCCAGGAGGAGATAGAAAGACAATCTGGACTCATCATTTTCAAAACAGATTTTTCAGAGCAAGTCTTCAGGATTAGGATTGCCGTTGTATCAACACTGCTTGGTTCTAGATTCATCAAAATATTGTTTAGTAAGGCACAAAACTGATCCCCTCTTTCAAGACACCATGAGTTTAAAAGTTTCAAGAAATCAGCAAAGGAATTACTCAGCTTGTGAGATGCAATAGTTCGGCTTAACAGGATCGCAACGGGTTTCACATTTACAGAGATGCTCTGTCTGATCAGATGCAAGTAAACAAGACACTTGGCAACATGAACTAGAATGTTCTTAACATGGACTTCAACAGTAAAACACCTGTCAATTTTACCCTTCAACTTGTTGGAAATGCGTGATGGCAAAGAGACCAACAACTGTACCAAGTTTTCCCAGTGGAGAGTTATAAACACATCAGATACAGCATCGTTATTACAAGCTCGTTTAGAGGCAGATATTACAGCAGAAGTAATAAAGTCACTCTTTATAACATTCTCGAGTGTATTCAAAATAAATGTCAGTTTCAAACATGGGCCTTTACAATCATTCATTCCGTCACAAAGAGCAGTTAAACTCTCGTACAGCATAGCTTCTGATCCGCTTTCAACAACAAACAATTTGTGCAAATTATTCAAAAGCCTATTCCTAGCCCAGTCAGCTTTGAAATGCTGCAAGACTTGTGACAGCAGTTTGCCATAGCATCGCTCAGTGTAGTTGTCCCAGTCATAGGCAGAAGAGTCAGTTCCATCCATCTTCTGTGTTGTAAGAGGTCCTGGCAAACAAGAAATCAGCTGCTCCAACAGAACTGCACAATCTTTATCTTCATTCAGGACTTGTAGAATCTTTTTTGTCGCCATCACAAGATGATCCCCTTCAGCTGAAAGTGGAAAAACTAGCTGGATTCGATCAACTGTCTATAAATTCTTTCTCACTTTATCTTAGAGAGAAATACAACTGTTGCCATGGTAAAGTAACTACTGTACCCGTTACATATAAACACTAGGGGTGTAAAAACCTAATAGCTGGAGAGTTTTAAGAAATTTTAGTTTCAGGTTTTTTAATGCGATTTAATTAGTTTAAGTACTCTGTGGAACAGGAATCTCGGATTATTATGGGGATTACCAAAGTAGATAATGCGTCAGGAAGTAGTAGTATCAGCTAAGTGATTACAAATACGAGGGATGTTAACGTTATCAGAAATGGTCACAATTGCTAAGGTCAAGAAAATTGCCAAAATGTATTGTGTTGTGCATTATGTTTGTGTATTTGTTTAAATGTTTTTTGACGACTCTATCATGGATGAAGACCAAACATTCTTGTTAGGAAATCACCTGACGATGCCTGAAAAGGCGAAACATGTTGTGAGTTTTATCTACAACAACATTTGAACTGTCAACAAAATAGGAATGTACCTTATATTTGTCTTATGAGTATTTGCCATCCAAATAAAGTATACCGACCGACCGTTCGATTTAGGTTAATAGGTTAAAAGATTTAACCTATCTGTTATTTTGTTATTAGTCTATTATTATTATTGTTATTGTTGTCTATTTATTGTTATCTATTATTATTATTATTGTTATTGTTATTAGTTATTATCTTGTTATTAGTTATCTGTTATTTTGCAGTGTGTCAAAAGTAATTACCTAACTTTTCATGCAAAGAGTAGTCATTTATGGTTAGTGTAATATTTATTTTTAAATGGTTCCTATTGCATTCTTGCTTTTTTAATCACCCTAAGCCCATTTGTAATTATTTTTGGGACTTGAGATACAAAGATTCGAGATTCAATATTTTTAGGATTCGGATTTGAGATTTGAAATTCCTGGATTGACCATCACTAGTAGTAGTTATAAAATAAATTAACAATCCTTCTTTTGAAAATGCAATTTAGCTTTACCATATCATAATCATCTCCCGCAGGTGCAAAGACACCATCGTTGTCTCCTACAATCGCAGCAAAATTGTTGCCATGTCCTGCATATTTGCAGAAATATCCTCATCGTATCTTATGACTGCCCGACAAAATTACAAACACCTTAAACAATAGTTAAAATTGGATCGTCTCTCGCTCTTGTAGCGACATTAAGAATTTACAAAAGTGCAATCTCTGCACAGGCTTTTATTGATTACAAAAGTCTAACCTTGGCTAAACTCAATTTTCTATTGTTCTTCGATAAGTCAAACTTTTATCCTATGCATTCTGCTCGGCTCAGCTTAGTAATCAAGCTGCTCGCACTCCTCTTTTTTTACAATAGATAAATCATTGGCAATCAGTTTGATTCCCACTAAATTCTGTAAGTTTTTCAAAATGTTCAATATTTCAGGGGAAATTAACTTTTTTTCTATCCTACTTCAGTATAATTCTAGCACAAACGTCAGAATGTCAATGGGCTTACCTTGTAATGGAGCCAAGTCGTCTAGAGGGTTGACAGGAGACATGGACACAGAGGGTGAGCTGAGCCCCAATAACAGGTCTGTGTTGGAGGGTTGAATCACTACAAACAATAGAATATTACAGATGTGTTAAACATTAAAATAAAAGGTATTATGTCAAAGACGGCTGGGATACACATGGGGATATAGCAGAAGCTAGCAATATTTTAGGTCAATTAACTTTATAAAGAAATCAAATATTTTTTAGACAGCTAATTTATTTGTAATAATAATTGTAATTTTTTTTTTTTTTTGTAGCCTATAGTTGTTATTTTCTTTTTTTTATTAAATAACCAAAAGCAAAATACAAATTTTATTATTGAATTTTAAGCCTTATCATATAACTTGTACATGATTTTCATATTTTGGTATAGCCTAAATTAGCCATCATAAATAACAGATGAACACATATCAGGTGTTTGCCTTTGGAATGGCGGAAAGCCCTAAATTTGGTTCTCCGCTTATCCTAAAACTACCGATGACATAAAAAAAGCATGTTATATCTAACCATAAATCCACCTGTTATCCTTCTAAAAACGTATGTAAGTATCCTAAAAATTGAAACTAGCTTTGTATTTAAAAATGAAATGACTTTTCAAACGCCTGACACTTAGTTTTGACAAGTACATTAATCCCAAAAATCTCTGATGGAATAATTTTATTTTTACTTTATTTGTTTATTTTATTTACATGCTTCAATAATGTACCATTAAGTTTTTTTTTCTTGTGTCTACGTTAGAGGTATTTTTGTTATGAAGTAAAGTAAGGCGCTTTTCAGGAAAAGCGATCCAAACCCATTAAATGTTTTGCGGATGGGAATTGAGCCCGTCCCTCCCGCACCCAAGTCTGAGACGCTAACCACTAGGCTAGCACAACACACCCAACACTTAACTTTGGTTTCTTGTTCTTTAAGAATTATCTCTTCATGTGCATACTCAAGTTGTCATGCCATGCACTTAATTCTAGCAGAAATAGATACATTATTATTAAATAGAAGAACAGTGTATAGATCATGACTGTAGGCATTACCTGGAGGTTTTCCATTACTTATGAATGTAGGCACATTGGAAGACTGAGTAAAGACTGGAGCACTCACAGGTGGAATGGTCACTTCTGAAGGTTTACTACTAAAGGCTGAGGTAAAATCGGCAAATTCATCTCCCTTGGAATTGCTGTAAAAAATAATAAAACATTTTAAATATAAGTCACAAAATTGGATCATTATGTGTTACGATATTTAGATTTATCATTCCTTACAAGTAACTTTATGCTAACTAGACTGCAGAAGTCTAAAACATTGATGAAGTTTTAAAAGTGAATAATTTTCAGTAAAATAATTATACAATCAAGTTACTGAAAGAACTGATAAAATTAAAATTCTGTTATGAGGTAATAATATTCGTTTGACATTTAATGACTAAAGAAATAATAATTGTTACCTTGTATTGTCATTATTGCCAAAAGCACTGGAGAAGTCGCCGAAACTCTGAGAGGTGTCTGATGCTCGGGGATTGAACAAATCATCAGCAGGAGTTGCAGACTCAGTAGACAGACCAAGTAAGTCATTTTTGGGTGCGTTTGTTTGCTGCACCTGTGTACGTTATGAAATGCCTACTTGAGTAACAAATTACCACAAGAAGTATGAGCAATGTTACTAATATATACAGGGTGTCCCGGAACTCTCTACCAATATTTTAGGGCATTGCTCCTGGGTAAGAAGCATAACTAAATATCATATTTAAACTGTCCGGAAGTCCTTAGTTACTCACACAGCCGCCATTTTGTTTTTTTTTTGTTATTAATTTTTTTCTAAAGAATGGTTAAACATACGAAATGGAAACTTTGCACTAGGGGTGTGCGAGTACTCGAAACGTTCGAGTAGTTATTCGAGTAGTAAACTACTCGAACTCGGCTCGATGCTTTTAAAACTACTCGAGTTTTAATCGAGTAGTAATAGTTTTGGAGAAGGAGTATATAAACTGCATTTTGTTTTTGTATTAAACAGATTTTCGTACCAATATTAGTAAGAAAATAACACATTATCTTTATGGAGTTTTATTCCTAACCCCTTTTCGTCATTCACCTATTCATCAACAATTGATACTGATACTGAAGGTCTAACGTCTAACGCATTGCGATTCACGGAAGAAGATGACTACAGTAGATACGGCTACAAATCCTACACACATAGAATTATTCAATTTTCAAGGTAAGTACCCATTTTTAGTTTAGTTTATTAATTACTCTTGAAATAACTTAATTTTAAACCACTTTTACTTTATCAAAAATTGATTAAAAACTCATAAAGTGTATTATACTTAAGGAACTACTTTTTCATTGAAAACGTCATGACATGGAGAACAGACGACGGTCGACGAAACGAAAGGCAAAACTACAGAAGAGTGACGACGCTTGGTTTTATCCACTGAGCTAAAAATATAACTGGAGGCACTGCCATGGCAGAAGTCTGTCAAAAGCGTGTCGCTGATTTTGTTAGGTTGGTATAGCAGTGAGTTTTTTTTTATCCAATAACATGGCTTCTATAACTAGGTTGGTATAGAAGTGAGTTTTCTTATCCAATAACATGGCTTCTTATAACTCACACCTCACGCAAACATGGCGGCTGGCGACACGCATCTTTGACATTCAGTGCTACCTCCAGTTAGAATTATAGCTCAGTGGTTTTTTCCAAGGACAAAAAAGTTGGTTATTTTTGTGACGCGATTTGTTATAAAGGACATTCATTATACCTGTTTATGGATCAGCTGAAGAAAATGGTACTGTATTGTTAGTTCTGTCCGGTGCACTGTAGAGGTTGTGTTTGGTTTACAATTTGTTTCTTCTTATATTTGTCATTTAAAACCTCGTTTAACCAAATAAAACTATCTAATCATCAACAATAACTCATCCCCTAAACAGTAAAGCACAAATAATAAACCTTAACCCTAGAATCATTAAAATAAAGTTTCGTCAGCACTAGCGCCCAGTGTCACTGGACATGAACTAGATACAAAAAAAGCTTCCAAATTTGCAATGGGAAGAGAAGTCTACTTGTGTCGGTTAGTCTATGGCAGTAACCTTTACTTTTTATTTTTATGTTAATAAACAAACGAGGTTTTAGGGACCCGTCAAATATTATACATCCATTATAATATTCATATCACTATCTATAATAGTTAACATAACCTTTAATGGAAACGAAAAGTAACAACAGTTTATGGATATTTGCTTGTTATAAAACATATACTTCAATTGAATGGATAAACTTCCTCTTTGTCCTTGGTCGTCTGTGGACTCCCTCTGGACTGTAACCGACTGACTGAAGTGATTAAAAAAAAATCAGTCTGCGCCAGCAGGCAGCCTGTTTTGTTTTATTTCATGTTCTTCTCAATACTAATACTATTCATTCACATTTCAAACTCATAACGAAATGCCGGTTCCCTGTAAATTAGTTAAGTTAAAGTGTCTTGTGTTATTCTGACTGTGTTAGCTTTAGTTTCTAGGATTTTAGATAGGACATTGTGATATATTACTGTTGAAATATGGAGGAATTTGATGTGGACGACCCTTCCCCGCTACCGAGTACAAGTAGTACTAGTACTAGGCCTAGTAATAGTAATAGGCCTACTTCCGACTCAAGCCTAGGCCTAGGCCGAACTAAACGTCAGATTGCTGTCGTTTGGAAATATTTCCAAAGAAGTGGCTTGAATCCTGCTGAAGGTAAATGTAATAAGTGTGGTGATGTTTTAAAGCTCAAAACTGGCTCGACCACTTCGATGATACGACATTTAGAGGGGAAGCACCCTGATATCTACAAAGAGTACATTAATGAGCAAAAGCAATCCGAAAACAAAAAGTTGACAAAACAGCCGAAACTTTCCTATTTTAAGCAACCTAAGATTAATGATCTATTGACTAGTGGGGAAAAGTGGCCACCACATCACCCAAAGGCAAAATTAATAACGAATTCCATCACTAGGTGGATGGCAAAAAGTCTACATCCTTATAGCCTTGTGCAGGAGGAAGGCTTTATTGATCTAATGAAATTAGTTGAGCCTAAATATAAGGTTCCATGCAGAACAACATTTTCGCGGAGCTTGATTCCAGAACTTTATTTATCAACAAAAAACAGAGTTGAGGAAGACATAAAAACTAATTTGGAAAAGGGTTTAAATTCAGTGGCCATTTCTTCAGATTTGTGGACATCGTCTGCCAATGATTCGTTTTTATCAGTAAACGCTCACTTTGTTGATGACAGCTTCAGTCTAAAGACTCACTGTTTGGCTAATGCGCACTTTGAAGACGAGCACAATGGAAGGAACATTGCCGGCAAATTAAAACAAATTGTTGAACAACAATATGGACTCAGGCCTCAAACAGTTCGTATATTCGGTTTGACTGACAACGCCTCAAACATGGTCTCTGCTATGACACTCGTTGAAGATTGGACCCACTTCAGATGCTTTGCCCATACCTTACAGCTAGCATTAAATGATGCCAAGAAAGATGTGACTGGCATGTTAAAGATGCTCTCCAAGGCCAGAGCTATAGTCGGCCACTATAAACACAGTTCAACTGCCCAATCAAGACTAAATAAACTGCAACTGCAATTGGGACTGCAACCCCTCCATTTAGTACAGGACTGTGAAACTCGCTGGAACAGTGAGTTTCACATGCTGTCGCGGTTGATTGAATTAAAACAACCTCTCTCAGCAGATTTGGCAAATGTTGAAAAAATTGAAAATTTAAACTCAAATGAGTGGGAATTAGCTGAGGGGTATGTAATTATTCTCAAACCTCTGGAGAGTGCCACTACTGCAGCCTCTAGCAGTGCTCTTCCTACCCTGTCTTCAGTCTTGCCCATCCTCGATGGGATAAAAGCTGTTCTGAGAAACTACATTCAGGCTGGTAAGAAAGGACTGATGTTTGCTAGAGCCCTTGAAAAATCTATTAAGTCAAGATTTCCTGATGGACAATATTTAATGAAAAAAGAATATGTATTGGCAATGACCATTGATCCCCGGTATAAGACAGTGATCCTTGACGATGAACATAAAAGAGTAGCAAAAGACTTGCTTCAAAATGAAGCTGTCAGGCAACTAGAAAAATTAAAACAAAAAGAGTCTATGTCCAGTTCATCTACAGCAGCTACAGGGGAGGAAAGCTGTGAAACCCAGAAAGGTTTGTTTTAGTAATTTTGATTACTTTATTCTGTTTTGGCCTATACAAATATTATTTCAAATACAATAAAATTAAACTTTAATATAATTTTGACAATTAAATTTTTTTAACTAGTACGATTTAACTTTTACCACTTAAATGCATTAAGCGAAAAACATTGTATTACAATTACAATACACAATGTAGGCCTAATTAAATTTTGTTTCAATTAGGTTTAGCTATTTATTATTATTGTTATTTCACTTAAAGGATTTATTATTTACTGATAAAATATCGGACCTAAAATGACTTCCACTCAGTATTAAGAAAGTTTCTGAAAGAGTAACTTATGTTTGGAGACCTATTGTGCACATATTTCATTTAGCTTTAATAAATGTTATTTTAGTTTGATAGGCCTATCTTTTTTTAGGTACCCAGGACCAGGACCAGGACCAGACTTTTTCTTTATGGCATCACTTCCAAAGCCGGTCCGGAACACCAACATGCGTAGTAACATCAGTAGCCATATCAAATCAAGTTGATGCTTTTCTATCTTCTCCCACAATAGACTTAAAGGAAGATCCATGCAAGTGGTGGAAGATGAATGCTTGCATGTATTCCTTCTTGGCACCTATAGCCAAAATGTACTTGGGTGTACCAGCGACTGAGGTTGAGAGTGAGCGAGTTTTTTCCAGTGCCGGAAACGTAGTAAGTGAACGGCGTCGCAGATTGAAACAAGAACATATAAGTGAACTAGTGTTTTTGCACCACAACATCTAACTTAGTTACCAATGTTACCACAACTTACTTAAATTTGTTATTTTATAGCCTTAGATGTTTTTTACGTGAGGCTAACTACATTTACCTAAACTTCCAGTGCAATTATCTTTTTTGTAATTCAAAGTAGGCCCATTATATTTACCTATATTAAGTTTATTTGACTCTTTATGATTATTGATTCTAAGTCTTTGTTGTTTGCTTAGGCCTAAATGGCTACAATATCTTATTTCTTGTTCCTAATAGTGCAATTAGTTTTTTTTTGTAATTCAAAGTAGGCCCATTATATTTGCCTATATTATTAAGTTTATTTGACTCTTTATGATTATTGATTCTAAGTCTTTGTTGTTTGCTTAGGCCTAAATGGCTACAATATCTTATTTCTTGTTCCTAATAGTGCAATGAATTTTTTTGTAATTCAAAGTAGGCCCATTATATTTGCCTATATTAAGTTTATTTGACTCTTTATGATTATTGATTCTAAGTCTTTGTTGTTTGCTTAGGCCTAAATGGCTACAATATCTTATCTCTTGTTCCTAATAGTGCAATTAGTTTTTTTTGTAATTCAAAGTAGGCCCATTATATTTGCCTATATTAAGTTTATTTGACTCTTTATGATTATTGATTCTAAGTCTTTGTTGTTTGCTTAGGCCTAAATGGCTACAATATCTTATCTCTTGTTCCTAATAGTGCAATTAGTTTTTTTTGTAATTCAAAGTAGGCCCATTATATTTGCCTATATTAAGTTTATTTGACTCTTTATGATTATTGATTCTAAGTCTTTGTTGTTTGCTTAGGCCTAAATGGCTACAATATCTTACTTCTTGTTCCTAATAGTGCAATTAGTTTTTTTTTTTGTAATTCAAAGTAGGCCTATTATATTTACCTTTATTAAGTTGTTTTGACTCTATAAATATTGATTCCAAGTTTTTGTTGTTTGTTTAGGCCTATATGGCTACAATATCTTATTTCTCTTTACTAATACATGAACTGTCTTATTTAGGAACAACTTACCTTACATTGAGAGGATACACCAACTTTGTTCATTTTTCTCTTCAATTTAAAAATGTTAAGGCTTATTGCAGAAATTGGTCTACTGGTTTTAGCGCATTAACTTAAGATTTATCTGGACCACAATTCAAATCAAAGTTAAGCTAATTGATTCTGTTCTCGTCCCATGTTATTAATTAGGGTCTATTAAGGTTTAGGTGTTGAAGAACTACAATATGTATACTTTTTAGATATTGACTTGTACTTGTAGTGTGTATAAAATGTATTAACTCAAATTGAGTTATATTCTCTTTTTCTTTTTTCATTAATGTCAAATTCATTTTCATAATTTTACTCAACCAGTATTTATCATGTTGTTTTGGGTAGCCTACAAAATATTCCAATCAAGCCTAATATTGACTGGATATTAAATAACTGGAACTTATTTTGTCATTAAAGTCACTATTATTTGGCCTTATGAATCACTGTTATTGATTGCTAGATAATAGATATTGATATTACGAGAAGAAAGACTGTTTTACACTGTAAACAACTGTGTTCAAGTGTGTGTAACATAAATGTAGGCCAATACATTTATATTAAATGTAGACGTGTACATTGTTTTATTACATGTATTTTCTGGTTTAATTCTTATATCATTTAATCCATTACAGTACTTTTATTAATGCTATATAGTTCTCCATAGATATCTTATTGATATGGTATGGTAGGATGGATAGGATTAAAAATGCATATATATTAGAAAATATGTAGGTGAGGTTAGGTTCACACAAATCTGTCATGTAATAGGTTAACGTAAATGTGTACTGTTCTAAATAGAATTGGATACAAAAATCAGGTAAAAAAAATAAAGAAAACAAAATTATTACTTAACATTTGGGGTATAGGACAACTTTATTTTATGAAAATGGACCTAATGCATTGCTTTTATTAAGTAAAATCACACTAAACAGGTACCTAGTAACTATATATATACTTACCAGTTGTTTTGAACATTGTTTTTAAGTGCTTGAATGAATTCAGCACTTACGTAATTACTCGCTCGAAATTACTCGATACTCGAAAAAATAACTAAATACTCGACTCGACTCGACTCGAACTAAAAAATCACTACTCGCACACCCCTACTTTGCACAAACATTTATGACAACTAGACAAAGCTACCAAAAAATTATCACGATTTTTCAAATTCATAAAACAAAATGGCGGCCATTTAAAATTTTTGTAAAATCAATGGTTATTGAGGTATTTAAGAAAGAAAATTTTAAATGGCCGCCATTTTGTTTTATGAATTTGAAAAATCTTCATAATTTTTTTGTAGCTTTGTCTCGTTGTCATAAATGTTCGTGCAAAGTTTCCATTTCGTATGTTTAACCATTCTTTAGAAAAAAATTAATAACGGAAAAAAACAAAATGGCGGCTGTGTGAGTAACTAAGGACTTCCGGACAATTTAAATATGATATTTAGGTACGTTTCTTACCCAGGATCAATGCCTTAAAATATTGGTAGAGAGTTCCGGGACACCCTGTATAATAGGGATATGTCTTAAGGCTATACACCAACAACTTCTCAGGTACTGTGAGAGTATTGTCTATATATGTCCATTAACAGCTCTTGTTCATAGGACCTCTTCATTTGTCAAGCTTTTTCAAATATTTAATCAACTTAGAGAGGAACAGATTAATATGATTTAAGAGAGTGATGTGGATACTAGCAAATCTAATATTTCCGCACTATTATAGTACAATCACTACCTAATCAAGTTAAACTAAACTTGGTAGTAAATACCATCTTAAAAGAATCATCCTTGGAAAAAAGTGCAACACAAATACATTAGTTTTCTTAAATCTAGAAGCTTGTTTACTGTGCTATCGAATTGAAACACACTAATATAAAAACTCGTACTTTTTAGTAGTACTGTATTGGCTAAAACTTTGATTTTCGATGTACAGAATTGATCCCAAAAAAAGAAACCCCAGGAAATAAAATTTATTAGTTTGTACTTTGTAGATTTCTTTGATGCCTATTGCCTACCAGGCTGCATACTTTAAGGCAAAGATCAGATGAAACTGACAATCTTTTGATTGCCACGCAAACACTTAGCTACCTAACTATATAATTAATTACCTGTGATTTTCCGTAGTTGGCAGCCGCACCGAGGTCTACTCGTCTAGTAGGTGTGGAGGTTCGAGTCTTGGTGGTGACAGAAGTCTTAGCAGGTGAGCTGAGTTTCCCTATGGTAGGTGGTGGACTTGAGTCTATACTTTCTGAATCTTTATATTCTTTGGTAGGAGAGGACTTGCGAATATTTCTTGGAGGTGGAAAACTGTCAGGATCCGAATCATACCTCTCCTCTGCATCACTAAAGAATTTAATTACGATAAGTAATTAAGTACTAAAAACAGAAAAAGCAACAACAAAAATCTTAATCAAGAAAATTTGTTTGCTTTAAAGTGCAACAGAATCTCTAGCACCTGTTTCCAGAATAACGTATATAAATATACAAAACCAAATAAGTTAAAAAGTAAATCTTTGAGCTATTGGCTACCAACCAAATTTTTTTAAAGGGGAGTGTGTTTTTATTAGGCCCTATGTTCATTTAATCTGTAAATTGTTTAATTTTGCTAATTAAACTGTAATTTATATATTTTTCTGAAAATTTTCATTAGAATTAAGGAGGCAATGTACCCTACCCAAAGTTTAATTTTTGAAAAAAAAAAATATTTTTGTTTCTTAAACAATTTAGGAACAAGTATCAAGCATTGGTTTTGTATTTTAAATATAGATAAAATAGTTTTTTAGATTAATTATCATAAGCGTCCACAGCTGGTTTTTCTGCTTCAGGTGCCTATTGGAAGCAAAGTGTTTTTGCGATTTCCCGCATATTTCTTTTTTAGTGTTTTCTATTACGTTTTACAGCATACTGTAACTTTTTTATTTTTTTAGCTAGAGAAGTCTGATTTTGTACATATGTTCTTCAATATATTGTACACAAACAGTGGCATGGAAATTTACAAATCGTTAACCATACTCCTTACAAATTTTTTATAAAAAAAATAAACAAAATTTTGTCAAAAAATTAAAATAAAATGTCCCTTATCTATTTTTAATAGCATATCAAAAGCCATTCTACAGTTTGTAAGGATATGAACATCTTGTAAGTATGACATCTCCTCCGATGAACATCTCCTCCCTCCTGGCTGTCTCTGTGTAAATTTGGCAACCATTCACACCACAGAGACAGCCCGGAAGAGATACTGTTCCATCGGCTTCTTCCCATAAGCCTGGTAACAGATAAGGAACTATTACGCGATATCTGTCTGTCTGCCAGGTCCTTATGCATTTTAAGGTTATTTGAGGTTAAGATGGAACTTATGTAACCTAACCTCACCTCACCTAACCTAACCTAACCTAACCTAACCTAACCTAACCTAACTAAACTCAAAAAAACTGAAAATTAGCAATACATCAGGTTAGAAGATACTGTTAATTGCATTTTGGTGATTGGGAAGATTAAGAGATATTATAAGATATTAGAATGCTAGTCAACAATTTGTCACAACTGTTTAGAGCATGAAACAGTTGTATTTGTCAAGAAAAGCATATTATTTTGGTAAAAAATGCAATAAAAATATGGATACATTAAACGTCTGTAACTTTAAAACTACAATACCTACAGCTTTGGTTAAAACTGAGTTTTAATCAGCATAAAGAGTACTACAAGATGTATATGTTTAATCATTTCCAAAACTCCGATTTAAGAAAAAACTATGAATGTATTAGGCTATTATTTGTTGACTTAGAAAGAATGCGTGTCAGCACATTCCTGGGTGGTCGGCCTTGAGTCGGGTGTCAATGAGCAGTGTACCTCGCGAATGGTATTGTTGTAAACTTTTATTTGTATTTAAACGTTGGAAAAGACTATATAGATAAAATGTAGTTATTAATTTGTAATCGTCATGAAATTATGTTTAAGAAATGTCCAAACACCATCTAAATCTGACTTTTCAAACGTGAAAAATCAATTTTTCCCAAAAAAAGTAAAAATATGTATTAAATTAAGGCTAAAAATACGTTTAAACGCATAACACTATTCCAACGGATAGAACCACTTTGAAATGTAACATACAAAGTCAGATCTAAGCCTAAAAACTAGCATTTTTTACGTAATTTTAATTTGAAACCAAACTGTGTACAACATAGAAATAGTGAATATTGGCTTAAGTACTATGATTTTAAATGAAAGTATGGCTTTTATTATAGCACAAAGAGTGTATAAATAGAATAAAACGATAATATAGACCAAAAACACTCATTTAATGCGTGAAAAACATTACGTAAAATAATTAATTTGGTCCAACAGATTTCCGTCTTAAACTTTGAAATGCTTAGAATTGGCTTAAACAATATGATTTTGAATACAATTAAAGGTTTTTGAATTGCAAAAAGAGTATATGAAACAAATACAAGTACAACATATACCAAAAACACTCATTTAATGGGTTAAAAACATTACGTAAAAATTGATTTTGCATAAAAGAAATTTCTGATTTCAACTAAAAAATGGCCAAAAAAGCTTAAATACGATAATTTTGAATAGGGTTATGGCTTTGTGAATTGCACAAAGACGGTATAAATAGAATATACCAAAAACAATCATTTGATGGGTTAAAAACCTTATGTTAACAAAATAGTGAAAATTATTTTTGCTGCAATCTTACTTTATTTGTTTATTTTCTTAAAAGTTGGATATTTTGAACGCTTGAAAATGCTTTATTACACTAGAGAACTATATACTCAATGGTATAGAACCGATTTAAAGGATAAAAATTCAATAGTTTGCTTAAAAATTCAAAAACATAGTCAGATTTACAAGAATTTCATTCAGTTTTCTCGTGCAAACCATACATTATTTGTTAATATCTTTCAAAGTAATCACTTTTGATTGTCTAAAACCTCATATAACAACAGGGTACTAGTTGGAGCAAGGTAATAAACCAAAAAGAAATCATAAAAATGTATAGTTTACTCAAAAAATGAGTTTTCTAAAGCATAGAGCTAAGGACCACCCACAGTGCCGCCAGGCCTCTGACCATAGTACTGTATACCATACAACCATTATTTGTTCCATTATGACGTATTGATTTTTTGGTCAGATATTGTAGATATTTGAATTATATACACCCTGCAGTTGATCCCATACCTATGCGTTGAGCCGTTCAAGAGTTATGACACTTTTAAATTTCAAAATTTGACATTTTTGTTTACTCTCAAAATTACATTTTTAATGGGTTTTTTTTCAAAATTTTTGACAATTTGTATGCTTTATCAAATGATCCAAGGTATATAATACCTACACTTGGTTTAATCTTATTACTTATCAAGTAATTGTGGAAAAATCACAACCTGGCAGACAGACAGATATCAGGTAAAAGTTCATTATCTGTTACCAGGCTTATGGGAAGAAGCCGATGGAACAGTATCTCTTCCGGGCTGTCTCTGTGGTGTGAATGGTTGCCAAATTTACACAGAGACAGCCAGGAGGGAGGAGATGTTCATCGAGTAATTATAAGTAAGATGTTCATCTGTAAGATATTTATATATATATTTATATCTGTAAGTATATTTATTAGCTTTGAAACAAAGTTTAATCAATTGGTATACATGCTATACAAAAGGAGTTATGCTGTAAAACGTAAACGTATGTTTTTTTTTAATCCCCCCTTAGCCCGAAAGAGAAAGGGGGGGAGGGGGTTCATACCATATTTTCTTTTTAGTTTTACACTAGGATACACTTAAATAAATATAAAAAAAATAGGCCATTTATAAAGAAAAAGTATTTTTGGGTACATTGCCCCCTTAAAATTTCAACTTCATATAGTTAACTCCTGGTAAAATAGTGTTTCTAATTCAATTAAATCAAGATCAAATCAAATTATCAATTTAGATCTTATATTTTGGGAATTATATTCTTTTGTTTAGTAGAGTACAGTAGACTCCCTCTTATCCGGACACCTTTTAACCGGACATCGGTTTAACCGGACTACACTCGGCGGAAATGACATCACTTTAACCGGACAATTTTGATCAGCAAATCGGTTTAACCAGACTAGATCGGCAGGAAGTGGGCGGTACTGAAACGACTGTTTTTGTGGGAAAGATTTGGGACCAGTGATCACGTGTCTAAATACAATGCTCTCCTAAATTCAAGTCAAATACTGTATACAGTACCTATGCATTTAAATGGTCCGTTTTAACAAGTTTTTGGGGACGTCGATTTAACTGGAAAACCTGTCATCCGGACTGGCCTCGGTCCCGAGGAGTCCGGATAGGAGGCATCCACTGTAGTTAAGGTTTGCAGTGGCAGGGATATTTTACATTATACTACATTTTGATATGTTATTATAAGAGCATATTTATCATTGGAATTAATTTGTTTTGAATGAAAATTACATTTTCTATGGGAGACCTAGACCACAGCTGTAGCAGCTTAGACAACCTCCTTAGTCTAACAAATTAAATACCACCGAGCAATGCTCAGTTCCCTATTTGTTTTCCAATTACCTTATTTGGTCGGGTTTAATAGCCAGTTTATCTGGAGACTAATTTATGATCAAGTACAAAAATAGTAAGTCCCAATCATGATTGTCAAAACTCAGATAGGCTAGTTAGTTCAACCAGATTGATTGCTAGGTTGACCCTTGTATTCAACATACAACTTAGGCCTACCTATTGGGGGAATCATCTCCTCTCCTGTCCTGATCCCATTCGTTGATTTCTTCCTTCCGCCATCGTGGTGTTTCATCCCACGTATTTCCTCCTACAATGAAAATACAGTGAATATGGAACATATGCTTGTGTAAACGGTTATTGTTAAGGTTTTATTAAACTGCACTAGTGTTAAGTTGATAGTTGTTCGCCGAATAAGTAATTTAAGAAGAAGAAGAACTGAATAAATAGGCCTAAAGAATAAAAGATTAAAGTTATAAATATAAAATTAAATTTGCATACAATGAAACAATCACTAAATAACAAAGCAAAGGCTTTAACTTACCTAGGCCATGCATTCCCATGGCATCACTTGACATGCCCACATATTTATCTTTGTTCTTTTTGGCTTTTTTTCTTTCTTCTCGCAACTTGTCATCGTCTTGAATGAAATCAATGAGCTCTTTTACTTTATGCCTAAACAGTGAACACAAATAATTTATTTCTCTACTAAAATTAAAATAATTGGTCTGGACAGTCATTGTTCACTGATATGATTATAAATATTCTTAGTATTGCTGCTGCTAATTAAACTCATAAGAGGAAAATTTCAACCAACATTTGAAACACATTAAAAAAATTATATTATGCTGATAATTTTTAAATCTCCCTCCACTTTACTGGAAAAAGATTTATTTCCATATAAATATATGGTTTGCTTGGACAAGAGAATCAGCTAAAGGAACAGCAATTTTTTTATAAGAATCTAACATAATTGAAAAATATGTCCATTGGAACTATTTACCAAAAAAGGGCACTGGGGCAAGTTTTACGTGATAATAGTTCTTTCTATAAGCGAAAGATACATAACAGCAAAAAAACACATTAATTCTTGAATTAGTCTGAATTTATGATCATTTTGCATAGGCTATCTTTGTTTATATTTAAAATAGAAAGTTTACCAAAACAATTTTGTTAATATTTTAGGAAAGCAAGGCATATTATAGAAGGCTATATTTTATATGTTTTAAGATTGTGCTTTTCTCTTATAGGTCATTATTTCCAAAAAGCATTATTAAACCATTGAACTCACCTGACATTTATTCCCTGATCCTTGCCGAACTCATCAACAAAGGTATAGTTCTCCATTCCTCGTAAATCATAGATGTGTTCACGAGCTGACGTCACCACTCGCTCAGAACCGTTGCGAACTAAATAGTTCAGGACAAGTAGTGCCTGAAAAAATATTTGCTTTGCTTTACTTGTAAAATCTCCTTCTGTTTGAATTTTTGTAATATTGTTAAGTCAATGATAAATCAAATTATAAAGAAAAAAGTTGAGTTGAATTTGTAGCCATAAAAAACTGGAGTTTGTCACACCTCCCCAACGCGATGTGGGTAGATTTAGGAACTTCTCTAGTCAGTATAAATATGCAACACCCGTTATCGGCGACAGTGGTGATCATCTGCCCCGATTACGGCAATATCCGTGATCTGCCACAGACAGGAACAAGTAGACAGTCGGACACTAGGTCAGATATCCCTAGGAGTCTGTTATTCCGAGGTCGGATATGAGGGGTTCTACTGTATGCAATTTATACTAAGCTCATTAGAATACAGGAATTTAAGCGCTATAATTTGTTAAAGAATACCTTAATACTTCTAACAGGTTCTAGCACAAGTTTACAGCATTCTGATTTAATTCAAGCAATTTCCTTCAGGTTTTTTAAAGGTTTGAGACAATTTATTCAAACAGCTCCCAAAACCTTCCAATATTGAATTGAATATGCCTACCTCAGTAAATGGACCCAAGTGTAGACCAACTTTTTAAGACTCAGATGTTTAAAAATACCCACTTCTAATACAAGGCGGCAATGCGGCGTTCATTACTGACTCATGCGGCGTTGGTGTGTGACATCCTAATAACAAACTTAAACATAAAGTGCACATACATTCCAATATAAATTTGTGCAACAGCTGTTTCAGAATGGCGAGCTGTGACTTTGCCACTTTGGTCTCGCCGCAGCCTTGTTTTAGAGGTGGCTATGGTTTTAATAACAACTATCTCGATTTATACCTTGTACGTTCTTCTCCAGTTCTTCCTATTATCTTGAAGCATTCTCTTCCATAACATTGTCATGACCTCTGGGAAATGTTCATAAGTCATGGTGGCTTGAGCTACTTCCTGCATCAAAACACCTAAAAAAAAAGAACAAAAACATAGGCTATACAAAAATGCTTAACTATAGGTATCTAGCTAAACCTAGGCAATAAGTTTTTCTAAGTAAGATAAACACGTTATCTTCACACCCCCTTTAAATGCAAATATTATAAATCTACATTAATTGCCACAACTCTTTTTTACACAATTGTAATTAAAGGAAATGTATTCTTTCAACTTATAAGTAAACTAGCAGAGTACCCGTCCTTCGTACGGGGTTGGAATAAGTATAAAATGCTTATTGTAGTTATACTCAAGCTTTGCGTTTGCAATAAAGGAGGACACAGTTTGATAAAATTTGTGTTTTTTTTTTTATTTACAGTAGGGCCTATTCTATAGTATTACACATCTACCATAGCCATAATGTTCTACCACTTCACCTAAACAATAGAGTAAAATAAATTATCAACAATTCGCAAAATATCACAAATTATTCATGAAATGAAAAACACAAACATAACTGTAAACAATCCTACTTTGACAGTTCTCATTGCGAATCACAGTTTTTTGTTGCTGCTTAGTTAAAATTAGCTGTTTTCATAAATGCAAAAAAAATATAGTGCTGCACCCTGTTGGTAAATCTTATAACTTTTTAATGCTTTTCCATATCATAGAACCAACTTTTTTAGTTGAAACAGCTGACTAAATTCTTTAATTCCCTTTAAATATGAATACTCATAAGGTTAACATGGGGAATTACAGAGCCACTGGGGCGGAGCCCGAAAGGATTTTTGAGATAAGAATATGCCTATATGTTAATCGGGAATGTAAGCTATCATCATGCCAAATTTCAGCCCAATCCGTCCAGTGGTTTATGCGTGATTGAACTTCAAACAAACAAACACACAAACTTTCACATTTATAATATTAGTAAGATAACATCACTTTAAAAATGACTACACTTAAGTATGCTGCTACTAAAATTTAAGATGTAGTTTTAGTTTTAAAACATAAGCCAATTAGCCAACTGGAAATTAGTGTTAGACAAGTGTCAAAAACAAGCAAACTACAGCAGTTAACTTAAAATACCCCTTGCCGCAGCAAACCTGTAGACTAAGCGAATTTCCATTTACCTGGCTAGATTTCCACTCAAACACAAAGGAACGACCTAGATCTTAACAATCATCCTAATAATCTTACAAAAATGGTTATGAGTTGTAACCTTATAACCTCATGTTTTAACATTTATTTCCCATTTAAACAACCTTAACTTTAAAGAGTACTAGGTTTACTGATACAGGGAAGGTAACCATTAGGCATATAACAACGCTTCAATTTACTAAATCATTTCTTTTTTAAGCTCTTGTTTTTAAGGTAAAAATTGGGAAGACCAATTTTTACCCCATAAAACCCCCATAAACCGCTGTTTTCATAGTCCGATCATGCTGGTTCTCAAACTTATTACATACAATCTGACTGTGGTTAAACATTTAACTGAAGGATCAGCTGTTAGATTACAATTCATATTTAAGCCGTTATAAAGAAAATTGGTCAGCAACACTAGATCTTTGAAAGTTAACTCTAGAAATAATTGAAACACAAAGGAGGGAGGCGAAGCCCATAAAAAAATTACAATCATGAAAATTGGTTAAGTAGGACAGCTGAAAAAAGCATGTTAAAGAGAACCCCCTCATTGTGTTAATTATAACCGACGTCCCCAAAAAATTGTTAAAACGGACCGTTTAAATGCATACTGTATAAGCCAATAATTATTATTAGGGTACGTAATAGACACGTGATTAATGGTCTCAAATCTTTTCTACGAGAACAGTCGTTTCAGTACTACCCACTTCCTGCCGGTCTAGTCCGGTTAAACTGATAAGCTGATAAAAATTGTCCGGTTAAAGAGGTGTCATTTCCACCGAGTGTAGTCCGGTTAAACCGATGTCTGGATAAGAGGGAGTCTACTGTAAATATAGGTGCATATTTTTCAAACGAACAGTTTTCAAACGTCTTGCCATGTCTGAAGTAATAGATTTGTGTGGGAAGATAAGTAAGAAACCAATCATTTAATTCATGGATGTTTTAACAACGTTAAAATGTTACATGGTCTCATACCTGTGGGACCCCAGGGGTCATCGTTAGTTGCTTCCCTGACTTTAGCCTCTATGTCAGTGTAGTTCATAACCACGTTGGTACTGAAAACACAAGAAAATATATTATTGTCAAATAAAACAACAGGTTCTCAAAACATAAACATTAAATTTATGGAATATGTATTAGCTTTGACTATTCAATGGTATTAGGTACTGTAGTGATTGTCAGAATGATAATCATAGTATTAGCGGTTCGTCCAAAAAACCTCAATTATGTCAATTATCAATCATTGAGATGGAGACGCACCCTAGGTGCGTAATTTAACCCAAGTGAAGGATGAGTGTACAATGGTGTGAGATGATCTTTGTAGCTTTGTTACTGACTAAGATAGCCTAAGCTATTTCATTAGCCAGGATCATTTATTTTAAGCCCAATGATCAAGAACAGATGAGTCTAATTTTGAACCATTAAAAAGCTACTAACTTTTCTCAGGATCGAACCAGCGACCTTTTGTTTGTTATGAGAGCACTACAACCACTCGGCTAACCAGTCTACATTTTAGAAATCATTTTCCAAGATATGAGAAAGATAATTATGAGAATGACTTAGAAGCCGGATGAAACATTATGCAAGCTGACAATTAAATACAGTGTCTGCCGTAGATGTGGAAAAAGGAAAAAGACATACTGTAATGCCCTTGTTGCAAACAACCTGCCAATTTGGCAAGTTTTTACTAGGCCTATTTCAATTCCAAATTTTTTGTAACAGTTTCATACATGGAAATTTACCCTTCGAGCCCAGAGGCTAATTAGGAAATGAAAAATTGGTTTTCATTAAATATTAAAAAGCCTATGCGTAATTAATAACGAACTTGCCAAATTGCCATGGATATGTAGAGTCAATATACCTTCTAACATAGGCCTACCTTTGATAAAAATGTCATAATGGAAGAATTTTAACTTAAGTTATTATGCCTTTAGACATGAAAACCATTTTTAAAGGGACCTTTTACAATTTGAATGTTTCTGGCTCTAGATATTTAAAAAAAAATTACAGCGACCTTACCGTGTAAAAATAGTAAAGGCTACCAGGGGTACCACCATAGTGAAAGGAGAAAATTCATGGTTTTCATTGGTAGTTAAAAAAAAATCATGGTTCCTATAATTTAGTAGGTAGTAATGGCACTCCTATAATTTCAACGCAAATTTAAGTTTTTCTGGTTTTTTTGTGTGTAAGAGGCTAGTTTCTTTGTGTGTTGAATTGAACAACTTTTCATACATAAAATGTTTCTACTTTGTATGATTTATAAATACTAGTGGCCTATAGGGGCCATAGCCCCTAATTTAGACCACAATAAAAAAACCATATATAAAATGACAAATATTCGAAATGTTTTTTAAAATTATCAATTTTATGTTACTTAAAATTACAGTGCTTTTTCGTTTTATATCTTGGGGTTCCTTCCGTTGGAGTCGTAGGCCTACATTAGTTGCTTCTGATGTGTCAATGAAATACAATTGTAAAATAATGATTAAATCAATAACACAACATATTAAGAAATGGAAACGTGCACACGGTTTGGCCTGAGCCCGGAGAACGACGAATCAGAGCTGAAATCATACAGCCAAACATTGCACATCTTTTCTAGTTTAAAATCGAAGATTTGTTTTGTAATCTTACGAATTCTGTTATAGTTTCCATTTTGAGACCCACATGTAAATGTCAAAATTATTAGGTATTAATTATTATGAAGGCAACTCCCCATTTCGCGGTAGTAAGTCAGAAATATATCTTTAAATTTGTCCCTGAATTTTAAGACAGTAAGGCCCATTTCCCGGAATCTTTTTTTGTGTAGCGGAAAGCGACGCAAAAGCCATTGCACAGTTGTATTGCCTTATGTTTTTTATGAAGTTCGAATCATGTAAAAACAGTTCTTTTAGTTCGTCATTTACTTGTGGTTGTGGCATGTCCATTGTGGCAACATGCGTTGAAATGTTCATTTGTGGCCTCCTCTGCGAAGTGAAATGCGCCACTATGTAGATTGTGGGAAACAACACTCAACTCATTTTCCAGCGTTCTTCTAAAGACAGGTTGTAAAACAGCTTCTGGATTTCTTTCACAGTTAGGCCCTACATGACGTTCTCTTTTGCATTTCTTAAGTCTGTTGAATTCCTGGACACTCTTCCACGCCTTGCATCCACGTCTTGCAGGTCTTCCCCTACCCTGTCTAGTTACTTCACTCATTATAAAAACGGAAAACAAAAAGATTAAACACAATTCATTTTGAAACATTATTTACCAACATTGACTTTCGGAATAAATGTAAACATCGCAAATAAATAAGTAACAGCTGATAGAATGCAGACGTTTTTCAGTCCCCATGCATTTCTTATGGTGGATATTTTATGTTATATCTCGTTTTCTGGCAACTTTATGGGAATTCTGCTATTTTTCCCGAGTCCCTGGGGTCAAGACCTTCAATTTAAGACCTCTCCCACTTTTCTACGACTTACCAGACGACCACAATTTTCTGGTAAAAGTTTAGTCTTACAGAATTATATATGTAGATAATTTAAAAAAAAGTTAAAAACACAACAGGCTATTCCAAATGAAATATTGGAGAAGAATTAAAATAACTCAGACCTTTCTACACGAATAAAACAAAAATCCCGCTCACGCGGCCAAGGAGATCCTGTTTCATCCTGTATTATTTCGGTTAATATTAAAAAATGTAACCCTACTAAAATTAGATTGATTTATTAATTTGATTTTTCAAACCATATACAGTCCTTGAGGAGACTCTTAAGCTGACATCAGGATCTGACCTTGAATGAACTAAGCAATAGATTCTGATCGTTCTCTTCACGTTTGTTATGTTCTTACTGTTAGTTTTTTATATGTGAAATATTTTTGTATGAAAAATTTAATGGTAGGCCTATTGATTAAATCATTAATCATGATTAAAAAAAAAAATCATGATCCAATGGAGAATTCATGCATAATCCATGCTTTTTTTCATGGTCACAAGAATGTGTGCAATTCAAGCTGTTCAAGGTTATCGTGGGTGGTGGCAACCCTGACTACTATATTTTAGAGGAAATTTGTATATGTCTACATTTTTTTGCACACTGAATCTGAAAATGCAACAATGTTTTTGTCAGAAAGATTCCTAAGTTATCATACAATGAAAAAACAAATAATAAATTTGAGTCTCATAGAGTAATTTGGGTAGTGGTGGTTTGGGTCCAAATTCTATCGGCGATTAAGACTTGAAGGGGAGTAAGGTTTGTGGAGTGGTAACTGCTGTTTGTTGTTTAAACATTCAATGCAAAACAAGAAAACCACACACGACGACATGAAACCGTAAGCTTGATATCAATTTACAACGATTCTACTTGTAAAACCAAACGGACGTTAAGGCTGTTTTTAAAATACGGTAACACAACTAGCCTACCACAATACATAAACTATTAATTGTATCAACATTAATTATCAATAAAATGTTTATTCTAAATGTTCTAAATGTTTTATTACAAATGAATAAAAATCAATAGGCCTACTGTACTGTAAATTGTTTCTATAACCTGGTTCACTAAACTAATGAATTTTATTACTGTGCTATTGCACACAAATAGTAGATCCAGATTATTAACCTCTGAATTAGCAACTAATTAATTATTTAGTAAGTGTAAGTATTGTTGCGGATTTTAGTATTAGTAATGGCAGATATTTGCAACGAGTGTAACCTAAATTTTTATGAGTCTGTAGTTTTTGATAACAGTGAAATTAAAAGTTTTTTAATGAACCACGGTGTTATAGGTAAATAACATAAAAAATTGTCCAAAGTGTAACTACTATAAAATTAAACGATCAGTGGTCATTTAGATGTTGGAATAAAGATTCATTCAACAAAAAACTTCAAAAGGTGTGACTGGGCTTTGTATCTTCCAGAGTTGACTCTTTTTTCGGAAATACAAAACTTCAAATTATCACGCTTCGCCAACTATTTATTCATTTTCTTTTTTACCCACCCCACATTCCTCCAAACAAACCTCAGATTCCAGCAAAACAATTAGTAGATTGGGTTTCCTTCATCTAAGAAGTGTATATTGACCATTGTGTATTGAAATCGAAAAGACTAGGCGGGCCAGGTGAAGTAGTTGAAATAGATGAGAAAAAGTTAGGGAAAAGGAAATATAAACGAGGCAGGCGAGTGAAGGGGACTTCTGGGTCTTGGGAGGGAGTGCAAAGAGACTCGAGAGATTAATATTTTTTTATTCCTGTGCGTAACCCCTCTAGGCCTACTCTCATAAGACTGATCCGCCGCTTCGGATTTGTGACAGTATTAAGTGTTTTGAAGTGAGGTTAGATTAGGAAGGTAAAGGTTAGGTTATAATGAACAGACGCATTAATTTATGCTACTTCCAGACTGTTTTTGCACAATTAAATAGTGGGTGAAACACAATGAAATAACAATATAAACAATGTGCAAGCATCTAACCTAGCCTCACATTAAAACACTTAAAAATACAGTCACGAATCCGCATCAAGTCCGACCTATCTTCCTCACATGCCTTTTCTGACTTAAAATGTGATTTAAAAATTAATATTAAGGTTGGGTTAGCACTGTGGCACGTTTTCACTTTTAGGCACAATGGGATTATATACGATCCAGGATTATGCACTATGGCACGTTCATAACAAACGTTGAGTGAGGGTTGGAATGAGGCGATCATTAGGCCTACTAGGCTTAAGTAGGCCTAAGGCTGTAAAATTAAATAGGCTAAATAACTTAGTCGATGTAAACTAGGCTGTTTTTTATCTTACAATAGGCTAAACCAACAAGCCCACATGTAAATGCCAATATTACAAAATTCTAAGCAATACTTCGCCCACATGACAATAAAGGTGAGTGAAGTATACTTCTCTTCGTTAGCCTATTGCAGAATAAACCAACAAAAACAAGTGAAGTCCCAAGTTTCTACTAACATCAACATACTTACACTTTGTCTGCGATTTCTCGGACTTTCCACATCGTAACCAATTCGAACTATCAATCTACTGAAGTAAAGTGTGGTAAATATACCAACTCGCACTGAAAAAAGATATATTTTCCTATGAATTTTTATCTACGAGTGGTTGACACCAAATCGCCAAGACGCCAAGTAGTGGTAGCCATTTGTAGAGTTGCAGTTGGTGCTGTCAGCAATCACCAAGCAGAAAAGAAAACGAAAGAGCAAATTGACAAGAGCAAAGGAAGAAAAACAACAACCGTCTGAAGCAAAGAGATAAATAGTTAATAATACCATTGATTATAGAACTCTCAAAGGGGTTGTACAAGATATACATCCATATACACGTTGAGTTTTAAAGTTTATCTTCAGGATTTTCAACTAAGTTATGAGGATGTTATCTAATATATCCTAGTCTATGATGAAATTAGTTATTTTGTGTTGAAGCGTTGAAGGCCACAAACACTCATTCATTTTCATGCAGTCCAAAGTCCAATGACATTCTTGTTGTGATCGAATTCTGCTGATCCTCTTTGCTAACCAAGTTGGACCAACTAGTAAAAATGGGAGGGAGGCTAAATTTTTATTTCAGGATTAGTGTTGCCTGCAGTATTAATTTGAGGCTTCTGATTGGCTGAGGCCGCTGAGGGAACATCATTACCGCAACGATACGGTTTGATGCCACCGGCCTCGGTGGTGAAGTGGATAGAGTCTAGAGTGCTGGGCTGGTAATCCGAAAGCCCCGGGTTCGAATCCCACCCGTAGCACAATTTTTTGTATTGGATTTCTTCATTATCAACAAGTTTGGTTGGTTTGGTTAGGTTATGACGGTTTAATTTTATAATTAAAACATTATAATATTGAATTTGACCCATTTATAGTTTTATTTTAAGAACAGAAATATTTGTTTCGATTAAGCCATCATTCGATTTTTTATTATCAGCAAGTCTGGTTTGTTTGGTTAGGTTATGATAGTTTAATTTTATAATTAAAAAATTATAAAATAGGATTTGAGGCATTTATAATTTTATTTTATGAACACAACTATTTTTTCGATTAATAAACCTTTAGATTTTTTCATTGTCAGGACGTTTGGTTGATTTGGTTAGGTTATGACGGTTTAATTTCATAATAAAAAAATATAAAATTGAATTTGAGGCATTTATAATTTTTATTCTATGAACAAAACTAATTTTTCAAGTAGTAAACCTTCATTATAGTCAATCAGAAGCCTCTTAATGGCACTGTTGGCAAAATTTATCCTGAAAAACAAATTGTGCGGGAGGCAGGGAATAGTGATACCTTATTGGTTGGTGGTGATGGTGTGGTCAGAGTTACTCAAAGTGTCAGTGTCAATAATACTGTCGTCAATATAATAATAGTGGAGTGTCACTTCACTTCAGGATCAGATTATTTGTAAAACTTCTGCTTTCAATTTGAGGCCTAATTAATTTAAGAAATATAATTATTGCTCTACTTATTACTCATAGTTAGTTTAGGATTAAATGTTCCACCATTTTGATCACTAAATATCTTACAGAAATATTAATTGTAATAGTGAAATATGAAAAGAATAATTGCATTCAAAAATGGTACAGACGTTGATGGAAAGGTAAGTAATTCGGACGTTAGAGATATACAATTATTATGATGTTTGGCCAACGTCTAAGTAAAAATGTTTGTTTAATACATGACTCAAGAATACCTCATCTAATCTAATTGCATGCTTAGCCTAAATTTGAGTAGGTCTAGGCCAAGCCTGCATAATATTAGGCTACATAGGCTAGGGTGCAGTTTCTTAACAACTGGGCTACGCTACTTATCAATTCGATTTAGGCTGGCCGCACACTGATCAGACAAAACGTCTTTCGACAAAAGTTTTGTCAGAAGACGTCTTGTCGGAAAACAAATATGTCGCATTGGTGTGTGTTGGTCTCAGACAAAAGACAAAAACTGGAGGGGAAAACTAGCCTAAATTCAGTCACCTGTAGACCAGAGGGTGTGTGTTGGTCTCAGACAAAAGACAAAAACTGGAGGGGAAAACTAAATTCAGTCACCTGTAGACCAGAGTTGTGAAAAGCCAGAGATTGTGTGGTGTTAATAAAATGTATGAGAAAGTGGGCGTAGCAATTATGTTGTGGAACTTTAAATACAACTTGCAGAACTAAACCATTGGGGGGTTCTTTGCAGAGTTACGAGCTGATGCTGTCAAATTTTATAATTATTGTAGAAGGAACATTGATACGTTTGATTACGTGCTAAATTTATTGTCCACTTCAAATATTACTCACTTCAGACGTCATTGTTACTCCACTAGGAACTAAAGGACAAGTCCTAGGCCTATGCAACTGTGTGAGAGCGTGTGCGTGTTAGCTACTGTATCCGCCCTCCGTGCATGTGCATAACTGTTTGTCTCACCGCATTTTGGCATCAGACAAAATATTGGAGGCGATCACAAAAACACCCAAAAACGTCTTCAGATAAAACAACGCGTCTAAAGCCTCTGTCTCATAAGTGTGTGATGCCTCCATTTAACTGCATGGTAGGCCACTCGCTTCCGACGTCTTTTCACAAAACGTTTTGTCAAAAGACGTTTTGTCTGACCAGTGTGTGGCCGGCCTGAACGTTTATTAGATTTTTAGCTATATCAATTATAAAATGAAACTGTTAATTAACTTATTTGTACATAATCTATAAGTTAACTAAGTTTAACACAGTTAGTATTTCAAGGGACTATTTGATCAATTTGAAAATTTTTTGAGGTATTGAATCTCAGGTAGCAGGTGTTTGTGGAAATTATTTATAGGCCTACTATTATGTAAACAAATCTTGTTATTATTCTCATTTATAAAAATTGGCTATATATTAGGCTATCAACATTAAATTATTCTTCAATGTTTCTTTGTTTTTAGCTAATCCTTGTAACACATTCACTTGAGGAACTACTTACTGCTTGTGGAAACAAGTTCTCCATAAATGCCAAACGATTATTCACCCCTCAAGGTGGGGAAATAGATGATATAAAATTAATTCGCGATGATGACATCTTGTATGTTTCTGCTGGAGAAGGTTTTATTCCTCTTGGACCCGCTGTCAGTTCTAAACCTTCGTCAGCCATTGTACCAAGCAAGTTTCATTCTGATTGGCTTACCCTGAATGTCGGAGGTAAATACTTCACTACATCAAGGAGCACATTACTTACTAAGGAGCCCAGCAGCATGCTCGCCAGGTAAATAGACTAACAACATTACTGTCAACACAACAACATTATCACTGTTTCCAAGTGCTATTAAATATGTTTTATAGCCACAGCACTTAATTTAATAACTTATTTTGATGTTTAATTTTTTTGTTTGACTTTGAGCTTATTATTCAGAAAAATGAAAGCATAACAAATCTTTCATAGGTATGAGTTTTCCAAATCTATGGAAGACGGGTACAGTCGTTCATAAGCAATTGTATGTACAGTATTAGGATAAACTAGCAATTCTGATATAGTCTTTAGTATTATTGATGGATGTCAGGTGCTGATAAACTTAAACATCTATATTTAGTGTAATCATCCTTTAGAGAGAGAGAGAAGCTCCTGGATCAGGTTGCCACTTCAGCAATACATGGAGTAAGTAACAAAACCTATTTAAAAATATCAAGATATACTATCAACAAGTATTGAAGTTATTCATTTTGGTTTGTTAAAGGATGTTTGCTGAAGGTGATTCAGGTTATCTGATGACACCAAGTAATGTAGACACCAACGGTGCTTACCTGATAGATCGCAGTCCTACGTACTTTGAACCAATCCTTAACTACCTGCGGAATGGACAACTTATCATCGACTCCACTGTAAATCCCGAAGGTTAGCATCATTCACATTTCTTTCTTTTCCTTCTGTTTCAATTAAACACACTTATTAATCTTTGCAAGTTACTATATATCTGATGTGTTGTGTAGGAGTGCTAGAAGAGGCCAGGTTCTTTGGCATAGAGTCTCTCGTTCCTCAACTGGAGGCAATGATCCAGAGTGCTGCCAGGTCCAGGGATAATGTGCCTCTCACTCGACGAGACGTGGTCAATGCTCTCATATTGACACCTCTCAATGCTGAGCTGCGATTCCAAGGTGTCAATCTGGCTGGCTCAGACCTCTCTCGTCTAGACCTCCGCTACATCAACTTCAAGGTAGGCCTTCTTTTATGAAAATGTGTCAGTTCATCCTGATCCTACTAAAATGCTTGACTGAACTTACTTGAGGTTTCAGGGATGGTTTATCTTAATTGAGCACAAGACGCCTAACATTTAAAACTAGTGCACCTGTTGCTCGAATTCAAGCAATTGCAAAGTATTACAGGCGTTCAAAACTAATAACAGTCGTAATTTCCGATGAATTAAGAGTCAACTCAAAGATTATGTTATCAATCACTCCACTCCAGTTATTGAAACTGGAAACGAACTCACTCTGAAAACGAAAGCTCTTGTGTGTATCATGTGTTTACTATGAACAGCTGTAATTAACACAAATAATTTGTCTGTTTAAGTAAACAAAATCTTTTCTTCATAAGAAATACATTGGGATTTTGATGGCCTGTGGGGCAAAGCCCGAGGACTTTTATTAGCCTACAGGAATTGGTGAACGGGGGTGTCTACACAAAAAATACTTAATTTTGACACATCGTTTGTAAAAATCCGTTCATTATTCATTATATAAGGATTTGTATCACATTGGGCAAACATTAATTAGTCCAAAAAATATGCCCTTCATCGCTGATTTCTGACTGCAAAGGTTTTCAGATACTTTTGCAGTCAGAAATCATATTATGTTACAGAAAACTAAAGTTAACTTATTTGTCTTTTGTGACAATTCCTATCAAATCGGAAACAAGCCGAACCTAAATGTACTATGGACCTAAATATCTGTTGATTCTGATCCCTAAAAATTAAAATTGTGTTTTGAGTAAAAGCAGGCCTATAATATTTTCAGGAATAGGGGTGAAATAAATAATCATACAGATAAAAATGTATTAAATCATCTGAATGCAAAGAAAATAAATTGTCATGGGATTGCGGCACAAGTAGGGACTTGTCCATTCCTATTGTAAGTACACATAATAATAAATCTGTGACAATGTTGTTTGTTTGGAACAGTATGCATGTTTGCATGGGTGTCGCATGGTGGGAGCCAACCTGAGTTGGTGCACAATGGAGCGTGCAGACCTCAGTCATGCCCAGCTGGAAGGTGCACAGCTGCTCGGAGTCAAGATGCTTTGCGCAAACCTTGAGGGTGCAAATCTGCGCGGCTGCAACTTTGAGGATCCTGCTGGCACACGGGCGAACATGGAAGGTAAAAAGTTGTTAGTTAATATGGAGGTTGTCAATAAATTAAGTCAGAGCTGCTACCTGCTATGAAATCCTTGAATAGTTTGAATCGTGCATGAATAAGATATTGGAATGCAAGAATAAATAATTAAGTATTCTCTTCATTGGGTCATGAATTATCTAAATCATAAATTATTATTCAACCAATATCATAAAATGAGAACAAACACAAAGAGAATACTTTCTGAAACTGAAAATTATCATGAACAAGTTCCATCATCGGAAACAGTTGCGTAGTTCGTTCTAAGTCATTCAAGGTCAAATGCTAATGTCAAGAACCGAATGCGATTCGAAAAATCCTCAGTAGGCCTACCCATACGCATTAGCCTACTTTATACCCAGGATTATAACAGAAACACTTGACACCTGATAAAAAAAGTTCTTCGCCTACCCATACGCATTAGCCTACTTTATACCCAGGATTATAACAGAAACACTTGACACCTGATAAAAAAAGTTCTTTTTTCCGGATATAAACCAATCATATCCACATTATGTACATTATGTAATAATTAGTGATGGTCGGATCCGGATATAGGACTCAGGGTGTCTAGTAGTAGGGAAAATGGGGAAAGTCGGAAATTAGTATTGAATTTCAAAATGGACTTGAAAAGTCGGGATTTAGTCTTAAATTTGATTTCAAAGTCGGGAATTTTCATTACTTTGCCGCGATCGTCATCTGGTGTTCACGTAACCGCGAAAGCCAACGATGATGATGTCTACACGGCCTCGGGAAATGTTCACGATTTTGCCGCGATAGTGGACGACGACGATGACGTTTCCAAAACCGCGGGAGACGACGATGACCTTTCCGTGACCGCTGGGGACGACGATAACGTTACCGTGACCGTGGGAGACGACGATAACGTTTCTGTGACAGTGGGAGACGACGATGACGTTTCCGTGGCCGTGGGAGATGACGTTGATGTTAACACGGGCGAGGGAAATGTTCTCATGATTTTACCACGATCGCAGAGGACGACGATGACATTTCCGTGACCGCGGGAAACGACGATGACGTTTCTGTGACCGCGGGAAACGACGATGACGTTTCCGTGGCCGTGGAAGACGATGATGACGTTTCCGTGGCCGTGGAAGATGACAATGACGTTTCCGTGACCGTGGGAGTCAATGATGATGTCTACACGGCTGCAAGAAATGTTCATTATTTTGTCGCTATCGCGGATGACAGTGATGACGTTTCTGTGACCGTGGGAGACGACGATGACGTTTCACTGACCGTGGGTGACGACGATGATGTTTACACGGCTGAGGGAAATGTTCTGATGATTTTGCCGCGATCGCGGAGGACGACCATGACGTTTCCGTGAACGCGGGAGATGATGATGACGTTTCCGTGATTGCGGGAGACGACAATGATGTCTACAAGGCCGCGGGAAGTGTTCATAATTTTGCCGTGATCGCGGACGACGACGTAATGTTTCCGTGACCGCGGGAGATGACGGTGATGTCTAAATAGCCGCGGGAAATGTTCATGATTTTGCCGCGATCCTGGACGCGACGATGACGTTTCCGTGACCGCAGGAGATGACGATGACGTTTCCGTGACCGCAAAGATAACGATGACGTTTTCGTGTCTGCGGGAGACGACGATGTTGTCTACATGGCCATGGGAAATCTTCATGATTTTGCCGTGATTGCGGACGTCAACGATAACGTTTCTGTGACCGCGGGAGATGACGGTGATGTCTAAACAGCCGCGGGAAATGTTCATGATTTTGCCGTGATCGCGGACGACGACGATCACGTTTCTGTAACCGCTGCAGTCAATGATGATGTCTAAACGTACGGTATGCGGAAGATTTCATGATAAAACAAAACAAATTTGCTAGTTAGAATTTTTTATTGCTGCATTATTTCTTTACTTGAAAACGCCACATTATGGGTTGGTGTAGTATTATTTAGAAAATTTGGTTAAGCTATAACAATTGGTATCGGTATCAAGAATCGAGAATCGATACATTTTGGTATCAACACCCACTAATTGTTGAAAAAACTAGTCTTATTGAAAAATCTGGAATTAGTCTTGAGAAGTCTGGAATTAGTCTTGAATTTTATAATGGAAATAAACTAGACACCCTGAGGACTACCGGATCCGCCGGATCCGAGCTAGAACGGGCACCCGGTTGGATCCAAAAAATTCCGGATCTTGGGCTTGATCCAGTTTTGATGGATCCGATTTTCCCGATTTTTTTTACTATGAAAAAGCTGTCTGTATCCATGTACAAGACCGATTTTTGTACTAACACAAAGCTGTCTGTATCCATGTTCTAGACTATCTGTAACTGTGTACAAGAAGACTATCTGTGTCTGTGTACAAGAAGACTAATGTCAATGTCACAGTACTGTATATTACGACGGCAATAATCTCTATGGTTAGTCAATGTCACAGTACTGTATATTACGACGTCATTAATCTCTATGGTTAGTCAATGTCACAGTACTGTATATTACGACGTCAATAACCTCTATGGTTAGGCAATGTCACAGTATATGCCTCATAATTCTATTCTTAAAAAAAAATGTATTCTCGGATCCAAATCTTTTCTTAAGATTCGGTAGATTCGAGATCCGGATTCGACACATCCCTACCTTCGATCTTGAGTATGCTATATCGTGGTTTTTGCGTGCAGCATCCAATTTATTTATGCCTGGATCACCCCTTGCGTATTTCTTCCTTAAATTCGTTCCAGGTCCAATGTACTGATAGCCGGGTATGTGAAATTCTACAGGTAAAATACCCTGTGTCTGTGTACAAGAAGATTTTCTGTGTACATACAGGGTGAATAAAAAGTTAAGACTCCCCCATCTAATATGTTAGAACACAGTATAGTCTTCTTGTACACAGACACAGGTTATTTTACCTGTAGAACTTCACATACCCGGCTATCAGTACTGTGGACCTGGAACGAATTTAAGGAAGAGATAAACAAGAGGTGATCCAGACATAAATAAATTGGATTGCTGCATGCACAAACCACGATATAGCATACTCAAGATCGAACTATAGTAAAATATAACTGTGTAAAATATACACAGATACCCTTTTGGTGGTCGTGCAAACTTAGCACATAGTTTCATTTTAAGATTTTGAAAAGTTTCAGTGTCCCCAAAAAATAAGGGATTATGGGCTCAACTGGAGATTACTCTTTATCCTACTATAATATTATAAATGAGAAAGTTTGGATGTATGGATGTATGTTTGTGACAAGTAAAAACGAAAAATACTGGTCGGATTGGGCTGAAATTTGGCATGATGATAGCTCACATTCCCGATTAACATATAGGCATATTAAACATAGCCAAAATAAGTCACTTCAAAATCATTCTAAAAATAACACAAGACTTAAAAATTGTTACTTGATACTTAGCTAGTAATACTATTGTTTTTGATATTTTTCAAAGTTGAACAATATAATAACTGATACCTCCATGTTTCCTATGTCGAAGAGTTATTTTTAATAAGTTAGGCCTTATTAATATTTTTTTATATACTGATGTTTTATTAACACGTTCGCTACCGAGCATATATGCATATATGCGGTCAGTCTATTTCATGAAATCCAGTTAAAAAGATTACATTTTTGTTTCAATAGACCAGGCGACGCACGTAAGCGTCGTTGTAAATTTGGTTGTTTCAAGCTTTTACACAAACAAACAAACTCCACTAAACACTAGCCAAAACTGCAAAGGTTATAACGTTTACATCTGTTCTGTGATGTCGCGGAATACACAATGTAAACAACAATGTTGCCAACTGTTGTGTGACGTAACCAATTGTCATATCCACAGACCAAGCGACGCACATTTGCGGCAGATATCCCTCTAGACCGATACGATAAAATCAGGGCTTTAAAATAAACCGTTGCTAAGAAATATGCTGATTAATAACATTGAACACCGACGCAACTGTGCGCCGTTAGTCTATTTCAATGTGACCAGCTGACGCAAATATGCGTCGATGGTCTATTGTGAGAATCGTGTCAACGCACAATTGCGTCGCTGGTCTATGAGACGTAAATTCCATATAATTGTGGTAGCAAACGTGTTAATGTTTTTTAATAAAAGATTTTAAATACGGTACATTTTTTGTCAAGTTTTTAAAACTTGTAAATATTTCTGAACTTAAAAAGTAGATATTAATTCTATTATAACTTTTCATTAAATCTTGTCTCGAAAAAAAAATCCAGTCCCCCCGGAATTAAAAATATCTCGTCTCGTCTCGTCTTGAAGTGAAAAATCTAGTCTTGTCCATCACTAATATCAACCTGATTTATACTACTTCCATGCCAATACCATTCAAGTATTAGGCAAACACAGAAAGTGATGTTTGGGAAACGAACATGATATAATGCCAAATTATTCTATTTGTAGTTAATTGTTTGTTTGTCCAGGTGTGAATCTAAAGGGAGCCAACCTGGAAGGCAGTAACATGGCTGGGGTGAACCTCAGGGTTGCAACTCTGAAAAACGCTAATCTTCAGAACTGTGACTTGCGGGCAGCTGTGTTGGCAGGGGCTGACTTGGAGGTGAGTTATCCACAAATATTCTATAGGATGAGTTGGTTCTTTATGAATTCTGTGTTGTGTACATTGAGAACCTTTCTCAAGAATTTGAATGTTAACAGTTCAGAAGATTAACTGAAACATGGTAGGCCTATATAACATAGTAAATATGAGTAGGGCTTAATTCAACCAGTGAGCTCAAAGGATCAATATTAAATAAGGGTCTGCGGTGCACCGAAAAAGTTAGTATGTACGCTTCTAGCGTAATTACCGTCATCGGTTGGGTACAGCATTTTACGCGTACAAACTCCGGTACAGCCTATAATAAATAATAATAATAATAATTACTTCCAGTTTACTATTGTAGTTGGTTCCAAGCACGTAAAAGGCTTATCAGATGTTTGTTTATTGTCTTCTTAATTTATTACTAGGGTAGTGATGAAATAAAAAACCCATTAACAGTCCCAAATCCATTAAGATTTTATCATGACAAATGTTTTTAGTTTGAGTTTTGGATACATCTGTTGTAGGATATATCCATTACTCCCTAGGATATAACCCCAAAAGAGTGGTTTTTGAAATTATTTCTGTGTGTGTGGATGTGTACAGTGCTACAGACTACACCTGTTGTCCGATTTTGATGAAATTGGGTACCGTGTAGGAAATAATCCATGGTATCTCCAGGCAGTTTTTTATATTTTTAAGTCCCATTAAATGATGGAAAAAGCATATTTTCTCAAAAATGGCCAAAACAATTTTGATTAAAGTTTAGTATGTTGTCCTTTAATTCTTAACAAAAAGGTTCAACCCCCATTGCTGTAAAAACTATGTTTCAAAAGATTTTGCAAATTTTGTGATTTTCCCCATAAAAGTTGTTGTTGTGGTAGATAAAGGTTGTTGACAAGTCAAATAGGAGAATGAAGTATGTACCAGATCAGATAGCTAACACCGTTATTTTATAATATAATATAAATACCTCGTCACAGCTCTGAAGTTACTATCGATAGTCCCACTATAGTTCAGTCGCTTAGAAAGTAGTTCTTAGAAAGCGACCTGCGCGCCAATGCTAACCTTGATTTGATTTGATTTGATTTGATTTGAACCAATGCTAGAGGAGGACGCTTTCTAAGCGGCCGAACTATTGTGTGATCAGCTTTAGTTGCACTTCTCTCTTTGAGGCCATCACAGTTGTATCATAAAGACATTTAGTGAATCCTAAATGCCTGACTGGTTATCAGCCTGCAGGCATGCACAATGGAGCTGGTCAGATTTGAATTGGACACATTTTCTCTAGTCAGTGTCAGACTGGCGATAGCAATATTTTCTCTTCTTGATCATAGGGAAAAAATATTTTCACCACACTATGATGTTTTTAGCTGTTTTACATATGTTAATTGGTGGCTGAAAGTTACATTTTGCTGACCATGCCAGCTGTCATCATCATTTGGGGACCAAGCAGGTTTTTACATCCCTAGGGCCGCAAAATCAGCTGCCCGCTTACTTTCTTTGAACATAAATGCATATTAAATACACAATCAGTATCCATAGCATTGCAATAGAATTGTTTTATTGTCACCGTTGCTGTGTATTATTTTTTATTATTAATTTTTTATTATTATTTTTGCTGATTCCTCAAATTATTTCTTCACATACCTTATAGTTGTAGGTAGTTGTGTTGACTATCAGTGTGAATTATTATTGTGGGAAAAGGGTATAGTGTGGTGAAAAATAGCGTTCGTACCATGGACCAAAATGGTTTTGCAGCTCTCGATCGTAAAAACTATCTCGAGCCAGCAAAACCTCATTTTCGGCCCTAGGTACGAAATATCTTGTTTCCTAATAGGTAAATGTGACATGGTTAATGATTAAGTAGGCCTTTTTATTTTCAAATAGCTCAGTAGTTAAATCACATTCAAGTAGCTGTTTAATCATAAGTTGATTTCCAGTAGTCCAGTTTGAGTACCTGCACACCTCTCATAACAAATAGAAATTTATAGATTGTATGTTACATTGGTTGCTCTTATATTTTGGTAAAAACTATTGGAGGATGATTTGATGAACCATGTAATTTATTTTTCAGAATTGCGATTTGTCAGGTAGCGATCTGCATGAGGCAAACTTACGAGGTGCAAATTTAAAAGATGCTGCTTTTGAGCTGATGCTTACGCCACTACACATGTCACAAACCGTCCGCTGAAACTAAAACTACAAAAGGTCTAAATTAGTTAGTATTATTCTTTGTAGATAACTAGTTGGCAAGTTAGGGTTAGGGAAGTTATGCAATAGACTCCAATTGTTCAATTATCTTTGTCTTAACAAACCCTAACCTCTTGCTGGTCCAAGTTATCTCTTACGTGCAGTACCTTTCATTGTTAGTTTGTAAATATACCATTTTATTTAGTGGTTGTTAACTGCTTGAAAGAATGTAAAAGCAGTTCTGAGTTCTGGGATGGTGTCATTGCCTTTGGATTTGTGTGTTCACTAGTTTTGTAGTTTGTATTCTATGTTTTGTAATGGTCGGTCTTAAAAGCTTTAATATTACGCAATCCAAACAAAATAAATTAGCTTTTACTATGTATCTGTGCCAGCAACTTGTGATGATTTTGTGGCATTTATAAAACAATAAATGTAATTTTCATTTGTATACACATACCTACTTCTTTGTCTCTGGATATTTATTTCCAGTTGTGTAGTTTTATGAAAACTGTAAACTAAGCCACAATATTGACATTTTAGGGGCTTTATTGGTTGGTTTAGTTTAAAGTTTAATTTAAATTTATGGTTAAGCCATATTAAGTCTTTGTAATTGAACTCATATTATTAACATTAAACATTCAAAATTAAATTATGTTTTTCACTTAGCAATTTCAATCATAGTAAGTTGTAATTGGTTGTTAAAGTAGAGCTGATAAAATTTTATTACAAGTTAAAATCAGGACACACAAGTGTAATAATAGTGGTATAATTAGTATATTAACAATAAAACAGACAAGTTTTATTGCATTACTAGCTTGTACCCGCGGCTTCGCCTGCGATGGTATAAACATAAATATCATACAGCATAAGAAATAAACAGAGTATTTCATATTGATGTTATTTGGTCCAGGATCACTTCTTGAATATTAAAATGGTATAATATTACCTGTTTCCGTCTGTGATCCTATATTTGTTGTATAGAGCAACCGGTTTCAAGGCTATAACCTCATCTTCAGGCTCTTGTCGTCACTCTTGCGAGATCGTCGAGTTTCATAAACACACAAAAACACTAACATTGAAATAAATAAACACGAGACATTGACAGACGAAGACGATTAACATAAATTCGGGAACTAGTTCCACACACGACGCGGCACGGGCAAACGTTTTGTCATGACTACGTGTGGAACTAGTTCCCGAATTTATGTTAATCGTCTTCGTCTGTCAATGTCTCGTGTTTATTTATTTCAATGTTAGTGTTTTTGTGTGTTTATGAAACTCGACGATCTCGCAAGAGTGACGACAAGAGCCTGAAGATGAGGTTATAGCCTTGAAACCGGTTGCTCTATACAACAAATATAGGATCACAGACGGAAACAGGTAATATTATACCATTTTAAGAGTATTTCAATCATTGCAATAATTATCCGTAATGGCGTCGCCAACGATCACAAATATAAGATATAACCATGATTCTTTCGTGCAGCACAGTTTAAAAAATCATGTTACGATTAAAAATTCTACAGCGATTAAATTAAAATTAAAAAATAAATAAAACCCATTGCCATTTCATTGAAGAGTATTAAAGTATTTAACACAAAACAACATGTTTAATCAACCGAACATAAAATCTTGAAACTGAAAATGCTGCGACTCTTCAACTTCTTTAAGTATAGTTCTTCCATAGCTGTATCGGCTCTTCTAATACAGGTAAAGAAACTTTTCCTCCAGAACAAATCATTCCAGCAGGCTCATCTTTCTGTTTTAATGCTCTACAGTGTATACACTCTGTCCATTCAGTGTATTTTTAATAATTTGTATTGTCTATAGTCTATTGTTGGGTGGTATTCCATTGCATCATTTTTTAATACACTCTCAAGTATCTCTGTTGAAAGCTTGTCACCAATTATTAAATTCAAACATAAACATTAATGTTAGTGATGGTCTAATCCAGAAATTTCGAATCTCTTATCCGAATCCTAAAAAAAATCTAATTCTCGAATCTTCGAACCTTGAGTCCCAAAAATAATTTACAAATGGGATTATGGTGATTAAAGAAGCAATAATGGAAGAGGAACCTCTTTGCAATGAAAAGCTACGTAATTACTTTTGACACACGGCAAAAATAACAGACGACTAATCGGTTACATCTTTTAACCTATTATCCTAAATCGAACGGTCGGTCGGTAGGTATATCAATCAATCAATCAATCAATTTCAATTTATTTATTGAACAATAATAATGGATACATGCATATTGCATATGTCACAGTACTGTATAATACGACGTCAATAACGTCAATGTATGATGTTTACATACACATTTTGACAAGATAAATAAAACACATTATTTAAAGTACAAGCATTCAAGGGTGGTGTAGTGGAAAAATTTAATGAAAGCCTAAATGTGTTTTATTCTTATATTTTGTTATAGTCAGTAGCTAGTATTTGAGACTCCTGCAGTGCCAGATTTACAAAAATACCAGATTTTTAAGGTCTAAAATTTGCTCTTATAGTGTGAAAAGTGAAAATTTTCTTAAAATGAAGAAGAAAAAAGATATGAGGCTATACCTATTAGTATTTTGTGCGTAAATCAAAATGTGATATTTCAATATACCGACTCGATCTTAGCCGTTTGCCCTCAAATTCTAACGAATATACTCAGATGGCTTATTTGGTGCTTCTTAAAATGTCCGTGGGCTGATGTAGGATGAGCGGGTTTTTACTCTGAAACCCATATGTTCAACCAAAGAGGTTTATACATCTATTTAACAAGGTTTGTGAGTAAATTGCTCAAAAACTCATTGAATGAAAACCATGTTTTCTTGTGAAAAATACTTTTACCTATGATCGTTTTTTTTTACTAGCCTTTTCAATTCATTGCTTTAGAATTGAAAAGATTCACTTAACAGTATTGTTTTGTTACTTTTCAGTACAAGTTTGGACCAATGAGGTTCAAGAATTGAGAGAAAAGAAGTAAAATTGTAATACATTGAATGTCAACTTATTAGCTGTTAAGACCAAATTATTTTTTTTTAACAATGAGTAAGTGGGTTGGGATAATAAGTTGTTGCATCACAATCAGTGACAATGGGAGATTATAAACAAAACATAACCTCTATAAAGTTACAAGTAGTGATTTTTTGTAATTAAAAACGGTCGTAGGTAAAGTAGTGTACGCAACTCGCGTAATTAGCATTTACGATTCTCATAGAAGGTTTAAAGGCGCTCTCAGAAGCTTTTACCTTAAATTTTTTACTCATGTCGTAAAGACTATCCTTAGGAGATCGTTGTGTAAACTGCTATAAGAACATAATTTCAATTACCTTAAAGTAGAAGTAAATAGGAACGAACACTATATAATGACAACGTTATCTACCACCAAAAAGCAATACCTTCTTACCTTAAGCTATACCTTTTTAGGGATGGACGGGATTGAATTTTTAGTTCGGGACGGGACAGGACGGGATTTTTATTTCGGGACGGGACGGGATTTTTATTTCCTTCTCGATTTTCGGGACGGGAAGGGACGGAATTTTTTTCTGTGCATAAAAAGAAAGTCTTGAGTATTGCAGTTACCAAAAAAGACATACGAAATCAATTTTTACCGTTTGTGGCACTGATCTATAAAAAAAACAAAAAATGGGTAACAATTTACAGGTACCTATAGAAACTTGTGACTCGCGGTCGAAATAACTGGCGGTCACGGTGCGATCGTCAAAATGACTGCGGTCACGGGGTGATCGTCGTTATGACTCGCGGTCACGGGGTGATCGTCGGTATGACTCGCGGTCACGGCATGATCGTCGGTATGACTCGCGGTCACGGCATGATCGTCGGCATGACTCCGCGGTCACGGCACGATCATCGGTATGACTCCGTGGTCACGGGGTGATCGTCGGTATGACTCGCGGTCATGGCATGATCGTCGGTATGACTCGCGATCACGGCACGATCGTCGGCATGACCCCGCGGTCACGGCGCAATCGTCGGTAGTACTCTGAGGTCACGTCGTGATCGTCGGTATGACTCCGCGGTCACAGGGTGATCGTCAGTGTGACTCGCGGACACGGCGTGATCGTCGGTATGACTCGCCATCACGGCATGATCGTCAGTATGACTCTGCGGTCACGGCGCGATCGTCGTTACGACTCCGCAGTCACGGCGCAATCGTCGAAATGACTTCGTCTCCTGCGTTCGCGGACCTATCGCTCGCAATAGCGGCGTCATTGGCACTGACTCGCGAAGCGGCAAAATCGCCAACGATCGGTCCAAATCCCGTCCCGAAAAATTCCCGAATCAAATGTAATCCCATCCCGATAATCGGGAATATTTTTTTCCCGAAAAATTCCCGAAATTTCGGGACCCGTCCATCCCTAGTGTGATTGCTTCAAACTATTCTATGAAAAGAATTGTTTAAAATACAAGGTTTCCAATTTATTTCAATCATATGTGATCGTAAAGAAATATCTATCTTATAAAGTTTAGGTTTTCAAGAAATTTGAATTGAAAAACTCTTACCCTGCAAGAAATGTGTGGTACAGTTTTGACAGGTTAGTTTTATGAGTATAAAAAATATCCCAAAATCATACAATGTGTGCTATTTTGTAAATCTAAAGTATTTTTAGTAACTGGATAAACAATTAAACCTAAAAATTACTATGGGTATGAATCACATGTAATTTGTAAAAACAGTAGAATGTTTGAAAAGTAATACTGTCCTTGGATATTGAGTAATGGAGTAGTATTTTAGAATATACTGGGTCAAATGGAAAAAACCTATTTTTGATGATTAATGAGATGTTAGATGTCTACAAGAGATATTGATCATTACCCATATAATATGGATGTCCTGTAGTTCATCAGCTTGGGATTAATGATTTATTATTTACCATTTGTTGAAGTTATTTTAAATAGTATTTTAAACAGTTAATGCAAATTTATGTATATATTTTATGTTATTTGTATTTTTTTTAATTTGTTAACTATGCTAGTTTGAAATTTATGTTTTTATAATTTTATTGTATTATACTATTATAGTATTCCAGTAAATGCTAAGCATTTAGTAAAGTTTCTGTCATGTCTGTGAATAAATTCATCTATTTGAATTGAAGAGGATACTATGCATGTTCATCTTCCCTTTTATCCTAAATCCACTAATACGCCGCCAGTAGAGCAGGCAAGTAATGAGGCAAGGTAATACGTGTTAACTATACAAGTTTGTTTTAAGGTTATTGGGAACGTTCCCAACTAACCGTCACACTCCTGTGTAACTGAGGGATGAGTATAGTTGGTAGCTTATGTATTAAATATTATGTTACATTCAAACAATTACAGTAGACCCTCTCTAATCCGGCACTTCACCACTCTGGCACTCCAGTAATCCAGGGTCTTTTGACAGGTGAGGTCTTCCGCGATTGCGGCAAAATTCCCGTGGCCGTGTAGACATCATGATCCACTCCCGTGGTCACGGAAACGTCATCATCGTCTTTTGCAATAGCAGCAAAATCATGAACATCTTCCATGGCCGTTTAGACATCATAATCTACTCCCGCTATCACGGAAATGTCATTGTCGTCTTGCACGATTGCGGCACAATCATGAACATCTCCCGCGGTCATGTAGACATTATCAAGGCAGATTAGATTATCTTACAAGAAATCGAGGCAGATTAGCATTAAGTCCTCATAAATTGCACCTTTTTGAAAAGAAACCCTAATACACCAGTATAAACTTCTATAATAAACTTCCAAAGTAGATACAAGCAGAAGTAGATGTAAAAAAAAAAATTAAAAACAAACTTAAGAAATTTTTCATTAGCAGGGCTTTGAGAAACTTAATTTCATGAACTGTAATTTACTTATCTTGCCCTACTAATCAAATTATGTTTTAACTTTATTTATATCATTTTCTGTTGGTTCTTTGTTCTTTTACAATTTTGCTCTTATTTACTATAAGCATGTATATTTTATTATAACTTTAACATTAAGAAATGTGACACTATTCTTACAAATATTCCTAATGTACTGGATGAATTAAGATAATTTGAATTGAATTGTATTGTTGTCTTCCGCGGTCATGGCAAAAATTGTATCATCTCCCGCGGCCGTTTAAACATCCTTATTCACTCCCGCAGTCACGGAAACGTCATCGTCACCATGCACAATCGCGGCAAAATCATGAACATCTCCCGCGGACGTTTAGACGTTATCATCGCCTCCTGCGGTCACGGAAACGTTATCGTCGTCATGCGCGATCGCGGCAAATGCGGTTTCCGACCACGCGATCTTCGTAGACATGTATTAAGTGCATTTTAAGTGTTTTTATTCATAACATTCCAGTAATCCGGCATTTTCACTAATCCGGCAGTATCACAGTCACAGGTTTTGAGTGTATATCTGTCAGATTACTGAGTGTATACTGTATTAGGAAAATTGCACATAATTCTGACATAATACAGTGTACTAAAACAATGCCATAGTTAGTATTTGGTATTTAATCATGTAATTAATCATGGTATTTAATCATGGTAAAAAAATATATATATTTTTTTTTACAAAATATTTGTACAGATATTTCATAACTAGTATGTATCCCACAAAACACTCAAGCTCATTTTTCACATTGGCCACTCTTCTGCCAAGGCCAAGTACAGAATGTGAGCCGAGGTGAGTTTTTGAAGAATATGTGAAGGGAAGTAACTCCGAACATCTCTACGTGATTCTCCAAACATTCAGGTCCATCAGCAACTATACTCTGGTAACAAGATACATACTAGTTTCAAATTGTGTTAAGAATCATTGTTTGTTTTAGCAAATTAAAGTTGCTCTTTAAAAACTGCTATTACATTAAATAATGAGATTGATATCTGTGTTCCTGTTTCATTGCCTTCTCAATATTAATATACAATTTTTATTTAAGTTCCCACAATGCTTTGTAAAAAAAATCATTTTTCGGGTCGAGTCAAGGAGGTCTTTGGAGAACGTTTAGATAAAAGGTATATGTACTTTGGTACTAAACTGTCTTTGGTCAATAGCTCAAGGCATGTTTTGTGTGCACAATCCCCAAAAGATATGACACTCCATTACATAGTGTACAGAATAAAAATATTAATATGGTAAATAATTATATTTCGGAATTGACAGTGAGGCTGAAAAACGTTAATTTAATTGACCTAAGAAGATTTAAAAAATTTCACTTCATGACTCTTGGCCTTCATTTGAATATATTATAAAAATTTATTGTAAGCAAGAGTTGGCACGTATTATAATCTATGCTTTCAGCCAGTGGCATGCAAGTAAAAACAAGAGCTCAATCAAAGGAATGTCAGAACACTGTAATAAATCAAAATTACAAAAAATAAATTAAATTTCAAATAAAAAACATAATTATGTTAGTAAAAAAGCAAACACCAACACCCCAGCCCCAATAAACATTTCAAGACCAGAAATCAACAGAGAGAAAGAAGAACCAATCTCAGTCATTGATGTGGACATGAAGGACATGATAAGGAAATACCAACAGATGAAAGATGTTGCTTTTGGGCATACAATATCGGCAGACCTAGAAAGTCCAAGAAATATTACTTTGCTAATATAATATTAGAAATATTAACTGCTGGTGTGGCAGCTACATTTTGAAAAATTGTTTGTGAGAATAACTGTATTAACAATTTCTTAGCATATCAGAAAAGTGCTGAGGTGTGTATAGCCTTATAACTAAGTTGGAGTACTTCAACAAGCCAACCCATTCGATTACGACACAGCTTTCAACGAACTTACTAAAGATTTTTATAAAAAGGGATTTAAAAAACTGTTATGGGTTGCGTAAGGGATTTCATTTCACCTAATCACTTTATAACAAATCTAAACTTCCAAAAAAATGACTGGTGCAATGGTGGAGGTAGTGAGTTATCATCAGAACTCTAAAAGGTTACTGTGGAGTTTTTGTCAAACGGCTACGCAATGTAATTGCTAGCCAAGACTTGCAAGAGACATCTGTTTTTGATCAATCTCTATCGTCAATGGAAGATTTTAACACAATATCTAGAAGAAATAGTGTCACCTCGCCTCTTGAGTGAGCAACCCCTGTCAAGCAAGTCCCCGACCATCAAGACCAGCAGGCTTAGCGAGCAGCAGACCAGTCCATCTAGTACCTGGCCATTGCAGTTACGCAGAATGTGTCTCCCTCAACACTAGTGCAGATGTCAGTGTCAGTGGAAAGCAGAGTAAAAGTGGCGTGTCTGTGATTGAAGTCAGTTTGGGAGTGATTTCAGGTAACATGGTTATTCCTTCTTCTTATTTTTTACCAATAATACAAAAATTCCCAAAGAATGTATAGCCTTATCGAAGAATGTGTACAGCTCTTCACAACACGGAACTTATCAAGCCACAAACCTAAACCAAACTTTGACTCCTCCAAAAACAAAATAGCAATATTTCACCAACATATAGAACATCTGGAATCTTGTAAAAATAGATTAGAAATTATTATTGACAAAATAAATCAACACTTATTAGTAACTAGCTGTACCCGCGGGCTTTGCCCCGTTTAACTTATTAATTTTCAAGATAACCTCGTTCGCATGGCTTAATCACGTCCTGGTTAAAGTTCGTTCGCTACGCTCACTCACCTTTAGGTTGGAGCTCGTTCGCTGCGCTCACTTGCCTTCAGGCTAGCTCGTTCGCTACGCTAACTCGCCTCCAGGTTGAAGTTCGTTCGCTACGCTCACTCACCTTTTTGTTGCAAATTAGCTGTTGTCATAAATAAAAAAAAATAATAGTGTTGCACCCTGTTGGTAATCCTTGTAACTTTAATGCTATTGAACATCATAGAACAGAACCAACTTGTTTAATTGAAACAGCTGTTAAGATTCATTAATTCCTTTTAAATATGAAGCAGCATAAGGTTAACATGAGAAACTCCAGGGCCACTGGGGCGGAGTCCGAAAGCCCGATCAGAATAAAAACTACTTAGTTGTCCTATTTAATGCCCAAAGAATCGGTGTACCGAATTTCAGCCTCCTAGGTAAATAGGAAGTGGGAGAATTAGTGATGAGTGAGTGAGTCAGTCAGTCAGTCAGTCAGTCAGTGAGGGCTTTGCCTTTTATATATATAGATAACAGAGTATAATATGAAAGCTTATGAAATTCAAAAATTTAATATTGATGGTTAGGGTACCTACACTCTTAAACATTATTTTTGTAGATCGAATTATACAATATCCCCGCCGCAGCAAACCTGCAGACTAAGCGAATTTCCATTTGACTGATTTGATTTACACTGAAATGTCTAGTTAAAAATATATAACAGTTATTCCCGATTTAAATAGAATTAGTTTAACAAGTACTTAGCTTTGCTGCATCAGGGAGGGTAAATTTTTTTTTGTAAAATGTTAATAGTTAGTAAGAAATAAAAACATTTTCCAAATTTGATCAAAATATGTTCATAAACAAGCAAACTACAACAGTTTACTTATTCTCCATAAGAATAACATGGGAATTTTAAATTTACAATTTTTTGGAATTTTCTCCGTAACCATTAGGCGCATAATAACGCTTCAATATACTAAATTTTTTTTTTTAAGCTCTACAAAATGGTTTGGAAAGAAATTGCTAAATTTTATGTTTTTTGGGTCAAAAATGGGAAAAACCTATTTTTACCCCATAAAACCCCCCGTAAACCCCCGTTCCCATGGTCCGATCATGCTGGATCGCGAATTCGTTTGAATAAACGTAGGTTTACACGTTTGTACCAAATTTCATCAAAATTGGATCATTTTTGCTCAAGTTATCGTGCTAACGGACACATATATATATATATATGAATTTGAACGGATGGTGTTTTTGGCCTCTAGGGACCTCAAACGAAAAAAAAAGTCGGTCCCGCGTCCAGGTCTTACTATGAGTACTACGGTAATAGCTTATGCCCTATATGGGAAATTCGCTAAAAGGAAGTTTTGCCTTACTGAAAATATTTTAAATAATCTGAAAATTAAGAAAATTTTAACCTCTATAATACAGGAAACATGTAGGAGAAGGTTTTTGAGTGTTGTGCGGTGAAGTGTTTTACCAAAAATTATCAGTTTGAACTATAAGGAGTCTATCGTTCCCCAAGCGCAAGCCGTAAACTATTTTTAGATAAACTTATTTTTGCGATTGATAGGCTCTTAGGCATTTGTAAAAATATAATTGTAGCTAAATGTGGACATTAATGTAAATGTATTGGGAAAAAATCACACAAACAGTTTTCAAACATGCTAAAAAGTCACAGCATGAGATATTTGGTGGACTTTCACACCAGAGTTGTTAAAAATTCCAAATCCTCTATTGATAATTACTTAACTAATATTATTGATTTACAGATGTATGTATATGGTTTATTAACTTGTTTGTCAGACCATGACGGTCAGGTACTTGAGATGAATATTACCCTTGATCATGACAAAAAAATCCATGGTAAAAACTTGTAGAAATCTGGGCCAAGAAAACGTCAATTTGTTTTAATCAAAACTGAAAGATGAGAATTGGATGGAAATTTACATGTCTCCTGTTGAATAAGTACAGTAGGGTACTCTAAGTTCCATCAGAATGTTTTATTATTTTAATGAGTGCTTTCCACAAATTGCTGTTAGAACAGGCTCCAAAAAGAATTGCTGGATGAATACTAGGTTAAGAGAAGAGAAGGAAACTATTGTAGGCTAAGTAAGTGTGCAAGAAATCAAGATAAATAATGCAAAAAGCTTAAAATGTGTCAAAGAAAATTTAAATTTGATCTTTTTAAAACAAAAAAAGAATATTATAACAAAAAAATTAAATGTTCATCAAACATGTCAAAAACAACATGGTCAATTAACAAGGAAGTCTTTAATGGCAAAAAACAAAAAGATATGGAAAATATTTCATTAAAAGTTAACAATAAGATAATTAGTTAACAATCCAAAAGAAATAAGAAATATTTTAAACTCATTTTTTACTAAATCTTCAACGTTACATACAAAATTTTGTAATACTACATATTGAACACCCCTAAAAAAATATATGGCATACAAAATTGTATTTTGAACCAGTAACTGATACTGAAATAATAACTACTAGTGTCCCTGTTGCTCGAACTCGAGCAATTGCTAAGTAAATATTTGTAGCAAACTGTTATAATACTATATTAGCAAACTTATTGACTGTTTAGGATTAACCTATGCTCTTCTTCTCACTTTTGATTTCTGACAACAGCTGGAGTGTTGTTTCATAACAATTTTTGTTTCCAATGTTAATCTTATGGAGAAATATGAAAATTTAAAGGGCTCCAGGGCCTCACTCTCTCATTATTTCCCTAAAAAGAAAGTTTCCTGCACAACTTCACGCTACGCTCTTTCCAATGACACCAAAAACATGACAATCGGTTCAGTAGTTTCGGAGGAGTAATTGTCACAAAAAATCTGCTTGCGTATTAAATAAGTATAGATTATACAATCTTTAAAAAATAAAACAACATCTGGATATGATGATCTATCAGTTAAAATTAGATGTCAAAGAGGAGATCTTTTTAATGCACCTAATTAACTCATCATTTGTAACAGGAATTTTTCCTAATGAGCTTGAGTGGTACCTGTTTATAAGAAAACTCTAGCAAAGACATTTCAAACTACAGGCCAGTGTCAATTCTCCCCGCAATTTCAAAGGTATATGAGAAGGCAGTTTACAACAGGTTGAACAGTTTCTTGAACCAGTATGATCTAATTGATAATGAACAACATGGTTTCCATGCTGCTGGTGGATCAACTGTTACATCAGCGTTAGTTTCATTGAGGCAGTAATAAATTCACTAGATAAGGGTTTAAATTCAGCTGGCATCTTCATGGACATGTCCCAGGCATTTGATAATGTAGACCACCGTCAATTAATAACTAAACTTGATAATTTTGGTATTAAAGAAGTCACTCTCAATTTGTTTAAATCATACTTAGAGGAACGTTACAAATTTGTGGAAATATCAACTTTGTTAAAGAATCATCCAAAAAACAAGATCTAATTTATCAAAGATATCATCTGGTGTGGTGTCCCACAGGGATCAATTCTTGGCCCTTTTTTAATATGTTACCTTAAAAATCTTCCAACATCTCTAAATGACCCAGGTAGTAAGTTAAGTATATATGCAGATGATATTAATCTTAACACTTTCAAAACAAAAAGAGACAAAAATGATAAAAGCATAAAGTTATATAAAGATAAAAATTCCAATGCTCAAGTTAAAACTTCAAAACTATTGGGTTTGTTAATAGATGAGGATTTAAGCTGTAATAAACATGTTGAGTATTTAATAAAAAACTAAATTCTGGTACATTCGTCCTATGAACGATGTCATATCTCTGTGAAGGATCAGCCCTTAAAATGATACATTGAATCACATATTAACTATGGAATTAGTATTTATAGTGGGACAACGAAAAAGAATTTAAAAAAGATTTTGAAAGTACAAAAAAAGCAATCAGATTGATACATAAATTAAAAGTACCTGGGGACCGAGCTTTGCTCGGAGAAAATCATTAGTTCACTCTGAAAGTAGACTTAGTATCGGAGATACATAAATCTGTTCCCAAACTCCACATGGCCTCGCCTTTACAACGTCCTACACCATTTCCTACGTCATGGACCTGTTTCCCTCCATTCCCATAGCACTTTAGGATTGTAGATACCTTAATCTAATCGTTATTAACAGTTCCCACACTCCGGACAGCTCGCCTTGACTACTTCCTTCACCACTTCCAACGTAGCGGACCTGTTTTTCTCCCTTCCCATAGCATTTCAGAATTGCAGATACGTTAATCTAATCGTCATAAACAGTTCCCACGCTCCATACTAATCGCCTTGACTACTTCCTTCACCACTTCCTACGTCGCAAACATGTTTCCCTCCCTTCCCATTGCATTTAAAGATTGCAGATACATTAATCTAATCGTCATAAAAAGTTCCCACACTCCGGACAGCTCGCCTTGACTACTTCCTTCACCACTTCCTACGTCGCGGACCTGTTTCCCTCCCTTCCCATTGCATTTAAAGATTGCAGATACCTTAATCTAATCGTCATAAACAGTTCCCACACTCCGGACTACTTCCTTCACCACTTCCTACGTCGCGGACCTGTTTCCCTCCCTTCCCATAGCATTTTAGGATTGCAGATACCCTAATCTAATCGTCATAAACAGTTCCCACACTCCGTACTACTCGCCTTGACTACTTCCTTCACCACTTCCTACATCGCGGACCTGTTTCCCTCCCTTCCCATAGCATTTTAGGATTGCAGATACCCTAATCTTATCGTCATAAACAGTCCCCACACTCCGGACTGCTGGCAAGGAATTAGTCCTTCATTACTTCCTATATCACGGACCTGTTTCCTTCCCTTCCCATAGCATTTAGGATTGCAGATACCTTAATGTATTCGTCATAAACAGCTAGACTTCGCACTGCTACCCTTGACTACAATGTATCGAGTAATCTTAAGTATAATCTTTGCTCAATGTTAACAAGTGATGTTTTTCCTTTTGTACTGTATTTGTAATTTGCTAGTATACTGTGGGTAGTTGGCTTATTATGAACACATGCTACAACTTCAAGTCTTTTGTTTACTTTTTCCTTGTTATTTAATTCGGCCAACATGGTTACCTAGCAACCCATAAGACTAATGTTAAAAAAATGTGATTTTCAGTATCATTTTTCTACGTAATTAGATTTTTGTTGGCAGTTCTAACTGCATGAAACTCGTTTTTAGGCCAAACATAAACTATTTACAAGATTTGAAGAAAATCGTCGGAGCCGTTTTCGAGATCTTTGTGCAAGCAAGCAAACATTGCTCGTATTAGAGTATAGGATATGATATTATTGTATGGTCAAATCCTATTTTAAAGGGATGGGCATTTTTACAGTTCACGCCTTATATATTTTTGAAACAATTAAATATTTTTTTCAATATTGCCGAGACTCAAGAACTACCTGTGCATAATTATAATACAAGGGGTAAAAATTATTTAGTTAAAGAACAACCAAGACTTTAACTTTTATTAAATAAACCTTATATTAAACTATTTTTTTTTTTTTTTAGAAAACTTCCTATGTTTTAAAAAAACAAAAAAAGACAAATCTAAATTTATGAAAAACTCAAGGCATTCTCACTTGACCTTGCACCTACAGTATAGAAGATTTTAGTAATTTCAATTTTAAAAAATGTATAGTATTTTGTAATACTTAACAGTTTATTATTGCTAATTTATGTAGCAATAGACACTATTCATGTATAAAAATCTGTAGGTACTGTGTGAATAAAGACGTTTTTAAATCTTGAATCTATGTAAAATGAAAGGACAATATTTAGTTTAATGTGGTGATTAGCTATGAAAAAGTATATTGTTCGGTCTATACATTGTTCCGACGGCTCCGAGATCGAAACCAATTTTCCTATTTGTCCATAAACGATTTCCTAGTTTGTACATGTACAATAAGCTGCTTTTGACCAGAGTATCAGGTCAGACTGTCAATGGCAAAAAGATTGATACAAGGATTGCGCATTATATTAATTGCTAAGGAAACATTCTATTGGAGTGTTATTATTATAAGGTTTTACATTGTATTTTATGTTTTTTTAACCTAAGTGGTTTTGTAAACCAACTGAATGTTGAATGTTGAAAAACATTATATATTAAGGGAAAAACATAAAATGGTATATTCTGTGTAAAATAAATCCACTAAAATAATATCTATTGGTTTTTTGTGTATTAGATTCTGTTTCTATAGCTCAAGTAACAATGTTTACCTTCACAACTTTTGCTGGTACATCTTCAAACCAGACTCTGTCTTTGGAAGTGAATGAACCAAAGGGGTTGATTCCAAGGCCGATCAGCTCTCCTTTCTCATACAGAAGGAAAGCTCCTTGGTAATCATTACAGTCTGACGTAGGAGTTACTTTATAAAAATAGTGCTTGCCTGGAAAAACGTTAATAGCATTAGTTAACAATGTTATGTATGGTTTATTTTAAGTATAAACTTTTATATGAGTGAAACAAGTTTTTCAGGACAATCGCTGTCATTGTTTGAGAAATGAATTGAATCTGGTTTCAAATATTTGTTTTTAATTGAAAACAAGGCAGAATACGCTGTCCATTGTAACTGGGTATCTTATTTTGAGTAAAACAATTTTTTATATATGTATAATAAATATAAATACTTGTAGCACCGGTCACACGTCCTACAGTAGGCCTACTCTTGATCTTCTCAAAAATAAAATATATTGTAGTACGACTATCCGCAGTACTATCCTGATAATTAGACCAATTCGTATATACCAAGGCAAAAATGTGGTTCGGATTCCACTATAAACTGTAGATCCCTTAGTTGCCATTAGCTGTATGGGCTATTAATTAACAGCTGTGTCTAAGGAATGTCGGCCTTAGTCACTAACAAGACTAAAAGATCACCACTCATCCTACACTCATCTCCATTCATACTTGGCTTAAAATACCTACTTTGTATGGTCGCCATTTCATTGAACATTATCAGTATCAATAGTAAATCACTGTGTTTGTCCTTATTTGATGTTAAACAATAAACTTTATTTGCTTATTATTTATCAAAACAATGTATCCTAACGTATAAACATGAGTGTTACATCATAGATTATCTGTAAACTTATATTTAACACTTTAAAACTTGGTCTCCACACTGAAAGTAGCGCAGGTCGCAAGGTTCGTAATTTAAGTTTCTAGCCGTTATATGGCAGGTCGAGCGGCAGTTCCTTGTCAGTTGTGAGTGGAGTCAGTGAGATCCATTGTGTGTGTGCTCAAAATTCAGCTATTTACCGGTAAGTAATAATTTATAAAACACTTTAATAAATAGGTGTTTTATGTTTTTATACTACAGCATCGGTAGTGAAAAGTAAAGCCACAATGATTAACTGTCTAATGTTGATATTGCTTCAATAAAATATGCTGGTAGACAGGTTTGCTAGCAACCAATATGGCGATCCTGTCATTTTGGGTTATCTCGTAAATAATAATTTTTCATCGTGACGTAGCGCCCGTCAAATAACAAGCGACCGGCGCTACTGTATTGTAACTGGTGCTACTGTAATTGTGAGTGGCTCTACTTTTGTAAATGATGTGACGGAATGATGTGTGTCACAGTTGATCTTGCACATATGTAAAGTGTTTCAACTTGCATTAGCAATTAAAAACAAAAGTTTAAATAAAATATTTTACTTGAAATATTTTTTTATTTCAGTTTGCAAATTTTCACAGTTGATCTTGCACATTATGTAAAGTTTTCCTACTTGCATAAGCAATTAAAAACAAATGTTTCAATAAGATATTTTACTTAAAATATTTTTTATTTCAGTTTGCAAATTCTATCAAAAAAAATTTCTCACCCATATGAATTTTCAGCAAATTAAGAAACATGGAATATATTCAATGAGAAGTATATTTTACTGTCAGCACAAGACATACAAATTGCTCTCGTTTACTGGTCTGGCAATACTGATGAAGTAATCACCATTACTTACTTTGAAATAAAATAACAATATAATATTTTAAACAAAAATGTGGCTATTTATGTCCAAAGTCTTAAAAGATATGAAAAGTTTGATTACCAAGATAGAATTAAAATTGGGAGCTTATGTAAAAAGAAAAGACCATTCAGCTTCAGCTACCGTATACATTTTTCCAGGTATTGTACTAAAAAATTATATTGAGTAGGTACCTGGTTGTAATCATATAGGGACTCATACTTTATAAAGATTATAAAACATAATATAAAATATACAGGTTTACCAACAATAAATCCTGTTTTTAAGCCCCACAGGAAATTATTCAGTTAAAATTTTTTGGTTCAAAAAGAAATTAAAGCTGTAACTTACCCATCCCAATAAAACATCCTTGTTTAGTAAATCCTAAACTTTCAGCTTTGCACTCATCTTTTGGTATGAGAGTCCAATTGCCATCTAATTTCAAGTAAATGTCTTCAGCAACCAGTCCTTTGGGGTCTGGTCGTCCTCCAGCCTTAAGTTTTTCTGCAAATTTACTTCTGCATAAAATATACAATTGATTATGTTGATGAACTATGTTTAATATGTTGTATGTTATTTCTAAATAAATACTAACTAGTAGAACTAGTAGAATCATTAATGGGACCTCCAGTTATTATAAAAAGTAAAAACCGTTTTGTTTCTAACTTCCTAATCCTAGTGTGTAATTGTGAGATATCTTAAAATCTTTGCATTTTGAGGACATGTGACGATTTAACACAGAAGCATCTGTTATACTCTGTCTGAATTTAATGTGCGGTTGAAGGACAAATTTGTTTTCCCCTGTTTTCTCCCTGGCCCCTGCCACCACAACATTAGCCTACAGCTGATTCATACTGTTTATAATTTTACAACAGTTGTCACTTTGTTTACATTTTAGTAGTAAACAACATTGTGATTATACTAATGGTATTTTTTTGCAGTTTAATATTATTCAGTCTATGTTTAATTGATTAGTGTTGATTAGAAATGGCCAAAAGGTGCCAAGATATTACAATTAAAACTAAAAACACAATTTTTAGAGTGTACAATTATTTAAAAAAAGCATTTATTATAAATCTGCAGGATGACACTGACTCTGATGGCTTAAGCGAAGATGATGGTGAATATCTACTTTCCAGTTACAGTAGACTCCCTCTTATCCGGACACCTTTTAACCGGACATCGGTTTAACCGGACTACACTTGGCGGAAATGGCATCTCTTTAACCGAAAAATTTTTATCAGCACATAGGTTCAACCGGACTAGATCGGCAGTACTGAAACGACTGTTCTCGTGGGATAGATTTGAGACCAGTGATAACGTGTCTAAATACAATATGCTATCCTGAATTCAAGTCGAATATCACTGTTTACAGTCCGTTTTAACGAGTTTTTGGGGACGTCGGTTTAACCGGAAATCCCGTTATCCGGACTCCTCGGGACCGGGGCCAGTCCGGATAAGAGGGAGTCTACTGTATGAGAGTGAATGATGTAATGGAACGTCTCCAGTACTTTTTTAACGTCCACATTACAACTAACATTTGTTAAATTTACATCATTGTGTTCATTTTGTGGTTTAATATATGTTTTAAAAATAAAATTAAATTTATATGTTTTTAGGAGATTTGTTTTCTATTTGAGGAGATTTGTTTTCTATTTGGTGTGTACTAAGGCATATTGCCCTTTTATTATTAAGGATTTGAAATATGTATACAATTAGTAAACGATGAAACATGCAAAAGCTTTTATATAGCTGTTACATACAAATGGTTTAATTTGTGTGTATCTCCAAACATAACTCGTTCATTCAAATAGTATGATCAATTTGTTATGTTAGTTTATTCCCAGTAAAAGAAAATTGAATGCTCCTACTTGTCATTTACCTAGCGAGTTTAATGTTGTACACTGATTATTCAGGCATAAAAAGGATAACCCAATGGTTTTCATCCTGATCTGACCTTAGGGCTTCGCTAGAGACATTGACAAAAGTCCTATTACCGACGGTATTAAAATAATAACTAAATAAAGAAGTGAAGAATTGCTTTAGAATTTTGAAACCAGTTCACCACGATATTAACTAATTTAATAATGTATAGTTACATTACCAGAACTGAAATTGTATTTAAAACAATCCATCAAAAGCAAAAATGTTAGTCCAGGATTATGTATATTACATTATAACAAAACTTCTAGTGAAATTAAAATTGATACGTAGATTATTTATTGTAAAAATAAATCTTATTGTTTTATTATGTGTGTAGTTCAATCATAATAAACAATGCTTCCTAAAAAACCTGTCTGCAATATAAAACAGATGATTGTTACGGGGGATTTCAGTGTAGAAAAGGGTAAATGAGTGGGAGATTTACCATGATAGGGAAATCATATGTTGAATTCCAACCGCACAATTATTTTAGACAGACTATAGTAAAGATAATAGTTTTACATGATAAGGAATACAACATGTTTGTATTCTGCTGCTATTGCTCACTAGTCACAAGGGGTTTGGTACAGTGTAAGTCAGTGACAACGATTTTTAGGCCGTATACTTGCAAATTGTGATAGTAATACACAAATCGGATATTTATAAATCACTCCTCCTTCCAGAAACAATTTTTTTTCTGAATATCTTGACATTGCATATTAAAATCTTTTTTTTTTTTAGATTTAGCCAACATGATGATATTTTTGATGGTCTTTTTAGAACCTGCAATTTTCTTTTAGAAAAAGTATAGTTTGTTTTAGTAGAATCCATATAAAACTTGTAAATTGGACTGAAATGAAAATTTTTGACAAACCAATAAAATGGGTGCTTCAACTTGGTTAATCATTTTTCCTTACGTCCTGGTAAAAAATAGGATAAAAGACTTCCCCACATTTTAAGCTTTAAAATGGTTAGTTATAACACATTTAGTGAAAGTAGTGTGCAAAAGGTAGATCTATAATTATAAGTATACTTCTAGAAAACGTGTAAAATGTAATCTTTTAGTAGGCCTACAACTTAAAGTAGTTGTTGTATCCAAATGTCCTATAATCCAACAAGGTCTTGGGTCAGATCTCTGAGATACTACTATTGATCATGTGTTACACTAAAAGAAAGAAATACTGACAGCAATGTCCTAATATTTACCGGGACTCATGAAGAGCACAGAAGTGTACCATAAAGGGGTGTTCCAATAGTTGCCACTTGTATACATTGGTTTGTCATCATATGAGTACAAGCTAAAGTAAGGTTTCATACCCTTAGACTCTGCACGCTTGTCCAGATCTTCTTTGATGTACTGTTACAAAGAAATTAATACATTTTTACCTAGTGTACTATGATAAAGATGTCTAGTACATGTAAAATCAAATAGCTATGTAGTATAACAACTAAAAATAACGCTTTTTTTGCTTTTAATCAGTAAAATCTTGAAGAAATAATTTATACCGGTACCGTAGTTTTGAAACATTATAAATACTTACAAAGTAAAATTCTACTTTGATTGTTTTCATCAATGGTACAAAAAAAAGCATCAATTTTACTTCGTTCTGAATTGTATGTTTTTATTCCTCAGGTATATTATTGAGGAATTGTTTTTTTATAAATATGTTTTATAGAGTGTTATAATTCTAAAAAATGTTTTCCATTAGTAATTAAATAATTGGAGATATCAAAGTTTATTTTGGTATCTTAAAACCAGATATTTCTAAAATCAGACAAATTGTTAAGTATCCAGCTCTATACTTGTCCACACACAATCACACCAAAATAGGAACACACATAACTCTCAAAACAAAATATTTTAAGCTCACAAAGAACTATTTTTACTTGTAGAACAAAATAATTTGTTGTACTAACTGCTGTTCGCAGACCAGCGATATTTCCGTGAGTGTCAAACAAGACTGAAACTCTAGGGTCATTTGGATAGGAATATAAGTCCACATTTAGGAACTCATCATGGGACATTTTTACATATTCAGGGGCTGCATCTCCTACTGTGAGGGGAATTTTGTAGAAGCCATCCCACAAAGCATATTTCACTGAAAAACAAAAGAATTTTATGAAAACCTTGTTGGTATTCAAAAACTATAGCCAATGCATTTTAACACTTTTTTTTATCAAAACATTACCTCAAATACAATGGAATATCTCTATTCACACTTACATTCATATTCACTTCCTACCAAATTAATATTCCTACCATTTTAAATTTTCATTATTACAGGAATTAAAATTTTTGTCTTAAAATTGATTTAGTTTTTCATGGTATGTACACTTTTAGCCAATTCCCTATAGGAAAGTAGCTATTACCGTAGGTGGCACGGTAAGACCTAGACCCGGGAATGATTTACTTTTCGATTTTGATGTCCCCAGAGGCCAAAAACGCTATTTGTTGAAATTTGTATATATATGTATACATATATTATATATATACATTATATCTATATATATAGCCTTACCGATATATTTGTGTCCGTGAAAGCGATAACTTGAGTAATTTTTGTCTGATTTTGATGAAATTTGGGTCAAAGGTGGGATAAACTTGAATTAGTTCACAAACCAGTATTATCAGACCATGGGAACGGGGTGTTTTATGGGGTAAAAATTGGTTTTCTCATTTTTGACCCTCAAAACACAAAATTTCCCAATTTTTGGCTAGACCTTTTTAAAGAGCTTAAAAACCAAACAATTTAGTATATCAAAGTGTTTTTGTACGGTTATTGGTTACGGAGAATTTTCAAAAAATTTTAAATTAAAAATTCCCATGTTATTCCACAGAAAACATACTACTGACAGGCAAAGCTCCCTCAAAGTACTTAACGCTTTTTACCATGCGGTTGGCATTCTGGGTTATAGTAGTATGTTTTCTGTGGTTATTCTTAGGGAGAATATTGTAAAATGTTGTAGTTTGCTTGTTTATGGATATATTTTGATCAATTTGGCAAATTTATTTATTTTATACTAAGTTATTAATATTTGACTAAAAATCACACTTTATTATAGTTTCCTTGGTGCAGCAAACCTAGGTAGGTACTCGTTAAACCTAATGTTATTTAAATAGATTTAATTGAAAATCAATTAGGACAAATGGAAATTCGCTTAGTCAGCAGGTTTGCTGCATCGGGGGTATATTTGTATTGAATGCATTGTAAGACTGTAAACCAAGAATGATTCTCTTATTTTACGGTATTTCTTTTCAATGGGGATTTAACTTGGTTTTTAGTTGATATATTTTAACTATAGGTATTCTAAATCCATTTTCTTAAAACATAAAGTACCGGTAACATTAAATTCATTTTATTTCAGTTAAACTTCTAAATTGTTGTTTGTGGAAAGATATGACAGGCATTAAATAAAAGGGCTCATGAGATAACAGCTGAAACCTATAGCTCTGTAAAATGAACTCACCACGTAAATTTTCCCATTTGGCGTATGCACCTGAAACAAAAGGTAAAACTAATTTTTAGTTCAATAACCTAGGTAAGGTGGGAGGACTACTAAAAATCACAGAATTGTTATTCCAATCCAATCCAATGCAATTTTTTTCTTTTTTGTATATTTTTCAAAGTCTCCGTAGCCAGTTTTCACAATAGGTAGTCTGGTAACTCCAGAATATGCTAGTGTTGACAACAAAACTCCCTGCCATTCAAAAACTGATTTTATGTTTTCAGATGTGTTTACTGTTTATAGTGTAGTTTATTTTTATTCTTTTAGAGTGGATCATTTTTTCTGATTTAAAAGAGTTAAAAGATGGAGGGACATGAAAAAGACTAAAAGTGTACTTTTAGGATAATAAGGGTAATAAAAGTCCTTTGGGGAGTTTTTATTTTTTTATTTTTATTATGAAGTTTTCATTTATGAAATCCTATTAATTTAAAATTTCAGATAATTTTCAAACTAACTGTGTTACCATCATACCAATTATTTGCAGATGTAAATGAAACAATAAGGTACGTACCTTTATTAGACGTTTAGAAGTAAAAGAGACACAGTTTACCCTCCATGGGCACCATATTCAACACTGGAGTAGGAGTTTGGCCCTCTAATAAAAAATGTTGTGTTTCGTATCTTATTTACTACTTTGGTCACAAAACTTAGGCGGTTTCAGGAAACACTTTGACGTTCTTGGACCTAAAAATATGTTCATCTTTCCATAGCACGAAACAGCTGTAGTTTAATAAAATTATTAAGGACTAAACTTTATCAGCGACACGGAAAAATTTTAAAAACGAAATAATTTAATCTATATATTAATAGGCAAGCATGTTTCTTTAAAACCTTTTTTCTCAGCTCGTGTGCATCGTAGGGAAAATCTACGCATACTGTTAGAAAGCTATTTTCCTGTAGGTGTGCAGAATCCCTTTATAAATTAAAATAGGCTAAAAAATAAGCACAAAAAATGAATTTAAAATTTTGAAAAATTTAACATGGATATTATGAGTTGCCATGCTGGTGACGAAATAACAACGAAATATAAACAGAAAATCAAAACAAATGAAGGAAACTCCAATCACATGTTCTATTCAAAGTGTGGAATGAAAATAAAGAAGTCTGTACATTAAATATTTTTGGTCGAGTTTCGACCACTGGACGACCTCTAGTTAATAATTAATAGGTAATTTAATTTGTGTATCAAAATACAAATTTTCCTGAGGTAATGACTGTCACCATAATCACGTTTTTAGGGTTATAAGTCCCTAATTCAAAAATTTAATCAAAATCATTCTGCTGGATTTCCAGATACCTATGTATTACAGACAGACAGACAAACAGACATAGCTCGTATTAGAATATAGGATAGGATAAAATAAGACACTTATTTGTATTTGTGTACTTACGTACCAGTGGAACAGATGAAGATAGTAAACAGAATTGATATTAAGTGGGCATTAATGTTTGACATTGTTATAAACTACTTTTAGGAGCAAGATGCAATACAAAGCAATAAGACGTAACTGATGGGTTGAGGGTCAGTCAAAGTCAGTCTAAAGATGACTCAAGTTCATTATCCAATTGACTTCTCTGTTATCTCTCCATGACCAGCAATAAACTGCTAGTCTTGTTTTTGTGTTTTTGTTTATTAGTAATGGACTAGTGAACTTCACACTAACTACGCTTGCTACAAAACATCCTAAAACTGTCAAAGTCAGATAACTATATAGAAAAATATAAATAATTGTGGCTGGAGTGGTTTATCTGATTGTTCACTTAAAGATAACTCTAATTGCAACTGTATAATTAACAAATAAGTTTAATTTGAGCTCAAACCAAGTAATGTGATGCCATAGCCTATATAGTTATTCCTTCACTTTCTGATTAAAATCATATGGAAAATAAACAAAAGCTTGTTGAGAAAAGTATGCTTTTCCAGAATGGAAGCTTATTCAATTAAACATTTTTCTTTAAGTCAGGGGCTATATAAAACCCCTTTCTGTGCTAGAGAATTTTTTCTGAGTCTCAGGCGAGGCCATGTGTTCTTTAACACGTTCACTGCGGGCCATCAAATGGCAGGCGTAGCCTCAGCGCGGCGCAGCCCGCAGCGTCGAACAAACCCGATTGCCGGGTGTTTGGCTCTCATATTTCGGTATGACGAATGGAAAATAACGTGCGGTGATGTCCTGTTTTATAACCAGAATCGACGTAGTTTGCCAAACACTCACATACAGCAGCACTGCTTGGAACGTAGCCGGTCCCATCGTATTGCCAATTGGAGGGAGAAAGACGGGACAACAAGTTGATTTTTAAGTTTGCCAGACGGGGATTTTATAGGGAAATTTTACTACCAACCTACAACACAACAAAAAGCAAGTCACCCACTACACGCTAACGTGGAATTGGTCTGCCTTCGACCGACGCTAGAGCAAAAACGATGATATACGAAAGGCATTGCCGAGCGTATCCGATCGGTTACGGCAGCGTCTGAACAGCGCTCGGCCTGTATCCGATCGGATACGCCCGCAGTGAACGTGTTAATCATAAAAATGCATCAACAATGTCTTTTTACAGTACTAATACTGTATACTTTCAAAGGCACACACGCCTGACTGAAATGTAAATACCCCCGCAGCAAACCTGCAGACTAAGCAAATTTCCATTTGCCTGATTGGATTTACACTAAAATATATCCTTAATACCCCCGCCGCAGCAAACCTGCAGACTAAGCGAATTTCAACTTGTCTGATTACATTTTACCTACTAAAATATTTCCATAAATAAGACATATTTATTCCCAATTTAATTATAGATTTAATGAGTGCTTAGGTTTGCTGCTACGGGGAAGGTAAAAAGTGTTTTGTGACCATACGTCAATAGTATAGGATGAAATAAATAAATTTGCCAAATTTTATCAATATATGTCCATAAACAAGTAAACTACAACAGTTTTCATTTTCTCCATAAGAATAACATGGGAATTTTTAGTTACACTATTTTTGAATTTTCTCCGTGACCGTTAGGCATACAACAGCGCTTCAATAGGTATACTAAATTATTTCATTTTTTAAGCTCTTCAAAACGGTGTAGAAAGAAATTGCAAAATTGTTTGTTTTAGGGTCAAAATGGGAAAACCCCATTTTTACCCCATAAAACCCATAGTACCAAATTTCATCAAAATCGGATCATTTTTGCTCGAGTTATCGCGCTAACAGACACATATATATATATATATATATATATATATATATATGAATTTGAACGGATGGTTTTTTTGGCCTCTAGGGACCTCAAAACGAAAAATTAAATCGGTCCCGGGTCCAGGTCTTACCATGAGTACTACGGTAATAGCTTATTCCCTATAAGGGAAATTCACTAAAAATATTAAATTTGTTCCCTATTTAAATAGCATTAGTTTAATGAGTAGGCTACTTTGTTTTGCTGTAACAGGGAGGATAACATTTTTTGTGAAATTTTAATATCTAGTTTATTATGAAATAAATGCATTTTTTCAAATTTGATCAAAATATGTTCATAAACAAGCAAACTACAACAGTTTACTTATTCTCCATAAAAATAACATATGGGGATTTTAAATTTACAACTTTTTGGAATTTTCTACATAACCAATAGGCGCATAATAAAGCTTCAATATATACTAAATATTTTTTTTAAGCTGTACAAAATTGTTCGGAAAGATATTGTAATCTTTTATGTTTTTAGGATCAAAAATGTGAAAAACCAATTTTTACCCCATACAACCCCCCATAAACCCCTGTTCCCATAGTCCAATCATGCTGGTTCGTAAACTCGTTCGAATAAATGTAGGTTTACACGTTTATACCAAATTTAATCAAAATTGGATAATTTTTGCTCGAGTTATCGTGCTAACGGAAATATATGTATATGATTTTGAACGGATGGTGTTTTTGGCCTATAGGGACCTCAAAACGTAAAAGTAAATTTGTCCTGGATCCAGGTGTTACCATGAGTACTACAGTAATAGCTTATTCCGTATATGGGAAATTCTCTAAAAAAAAGTAGGGTACATAAACACAATGTAAATGTATATTATTTCAACATAATGATTTTATGAAATTAAAATTCAGAGGATTATTTTTATACATGTGAAGTGAAAGCAAACTGTTGATTACTATGATTTCTTTTTTGCTTAAAGTATACCTTTGAGTTTTGTCATTTTCTCCTTACTGTCATTAATCCTTATCTTTAAAAATATAACAAGAAAAGTTAAAACCACATGTATAAAACCATTTATATATGTATCCATATGTTTTGTCAAAATAAACTATTTTCAAAACAGAAGATGATACAAATTTATTCAAAGTTTAGTGATTGAAATTTCTCAGGAGAATGGCCCTTCACTCATTCTGTGGGATCTTGACCCTCCAAGTGGGCGTTGCCATCATAGCTGTTGTTTTTTGGGTAAGCAAAATGAGCTATCCAAATGTAAAAGTAGCAAAAATATACTTGATAATGCGTTGTTTGCTCAGCTAATTTAGAAAAGTTGCATCACCTACCATTTCACAATACTACCTTTATTGAAGCTCTTTTAACCTATGCTAAGTAATGCCTTTTGTAATGTCTTGTTTGTTTACAAGAGAAACCTTATTAATTCATTATTCTGATTTTAGAAGAGTCTTTATCATTAGTATATGATTTTACTTTACTGGTATACTTTTTATTTTAAGAAAGTTAATTCATACAATTAAGAAGATTTTTCACAAAAAAATTTAGTACGGTGATATTTGAGTATTTTTTTTGTCTACAACCCAAACCCTTAGATAAGAGGCTACATACAATATCGTTGGAAATTAAATTAATGTTATGAGCACTGTTCTCAATTAAATTTATGTCATAATATGTTTCAGATGATAGCAACACTAACATTTGTTGTAAATTTTTTTGAATTCTTCAATAGTGATGCTTGTGAGTAAACTATTTAAAACTTTCCTAACTTGTAATGATAACTAATTTATTTATAATCTTAATTTATTTTCAAACGGATGGACACAGGGAAAATGACTATGAATACTTTACGAACTACAGGATATGAATTTGGGGTATTGTTAGTATAATGTTTAGGGGTCTCGATCCCACAGCCTTAATCCAATCGCAGTATTTCAGGATTTATCTAACCCAATCCCAGGATCCCTGGGTCAACTCTTAAGCCATTTCAGAGAAAAATTCAAAGCCATTTCTGAAACCCAATCTTTAACGCAAATATTGCCGCTCAGCTGTTTAAGAAAAATCATAACAAAGCAACCCACATTAGACAATTAATTAATTTAGACGATTGCAGTCTTATCAATCCAGAAACCCATGGTAAAAGCTCTTAAAATCTTTTGTAATTCTTCTTTTTAAGGAATACTGAATTTCTCCTGATGACATGTCATGATAATTTGTGAGCACCATTTGATTGAAATTAATATTGTCAGAGTGAATTATTGACAGAGAGTATTTGGAGGTATACACTTGTGGATAAACTTGCAATCAATCCTCTTAACTATTAGAGAAGGTATTATGATGATTTTATAAGCACAAAATATTACTTTTTCATAATAATGAACAAATGAATAACAATTTATCCTGTGATGGGAATGTTTAAATCAGATTTTTTTTCTTGTTTCAGTTCCTGTCTATGCTCTCACCATCTCAACTTTTGTAATTCTTCTCATGTTGGCTGGGTTGATTGCATTCTTCTCAGCTTATAATGTAAGTTACCCAATACTAGTTGAAGTAACTCCATGATAAATGATTTTAGTTACCGTAGGTACCCAACTACTAAAACATTTCATTTTTATTTTTGTGCATTCATTATTCGTATATGTTAATAATAAACAAATGATTGTTCATTGTTTCAACTGTTGATATCCTAACAACATTTTATGAATTTAGAATATTGTGTTCATATAGTTGTCAATTCAAAGTTCTGATAAAATATAAGTAAGCAAATTATGTTATAAAAGGACTTCAGTAGGGACTGTCAATTGGATTGATATATTTTACTTTCATTCTAAAGGTATACATTGTGCTAATAAAAAAAAAAACACTCCTAACACAATTTTAATCAAGTAGACATCATAGTTATGTAAGTTAGGAGTGCTGTATTAGACAAAAAATGAGGTCAAATACATCAGCTCGGTTGGCACAATATTGGAGTACTCAGCTGACTTAGACTGAATGACTACTGTCATATGATACAACAACTTGTTATTTTGTAAACAGCTCAGTAATGAGGCTTGTAAAATCCAATGAAAATCACTTACTTTTTATACCTTATGTGTTTAGTATTATTTACCATATACTATCACCTAATATGAGCCACTATATAGATAAACAAGTTTTTAGATCGTTTTAGCTAATTTCCCATATAGGGAATAAGCCATTACCATAGGTCTCAGTGGTAAGATCTAGACTCGGGACCGATTTACTTCTATTGTTTTGAGATCCCCAGATATACATATACATGTATGAATTTGAACGGAGGTTTTTTTTGCCTCTGAGGACCTCAAAACGAATATGTGTCCGTTAGCACGATAACTCAAGCAAAAGTGATCCAATTTTGATGAAATTTAGGACAAACGTGTAGGCTAAATCTACATTTATTCAAACAAGCTCGCGAACCACCATGATCGGACAATGGGAACTAGGGTTTATAGGGGGATTTTATGGGGTGAAAATGGGGTTTACCAATTTTTACTTTTAAAATATAAAATAATAAAATTTCTTTCCAAACCATTTTGTAGAGCTCCAAAAAGGAATAATTTAGTATATTGAAGCGTTGTTGTGTGCCTTACGGTTAAAGATAACATTTATTAAAAAAAATTTTAATTTAAAATTGCCATGTTATTCTTAGGGAGAATAAATAAACTGGTAGTTTGCTTGTTTATAGATATACAGGGTGGCTGAAAATTAACTTGCACCCCCACTTAACTTTTCAACCGTTTGAGATATTTGAAATCGGTTTGCGGCAACCTTCTTAGATATGAGGGGCTATAATAATTATGGTCAATTTTGAAAATTTTGCCCTTAGGGGTAGCAGGGGTAGGGGGTAGCTCAAAATTTTCAAATGACAACCATAGTCGAGTTTGGTATCATTTTACAGGTCTTGACAAAACATAACGAATAACATAAAGAAAATATAAATCGGACCATTAATAACAAAATGGCAGCTAAAAATAATTGAGACAATGGTTATTGAAAGTAATTTTGAACTGCCATTTTGTTATTAATGGTCCGATTTCTATTTTCTTTATTCTATTTTCTTTTCTGTATACCCAGTCAAAATGAAGTACTTACTAAACTACTTACCAAAATCTCCTTTCTAAACTAATAACTTTTTAAGCAACAGTTTACATTCCATTATTAACCGGTTTTATAGACAATAATTCCATATGACTTGGTTACTATAAATATTAAATAGCAAGCCAGCAGACGCACAGGCAGCACTTGTCTATGTCTGCTGAATTTCATATAATCGATTGAATTAATTTGTACAGAAATGTTCTTTTTTATTCTTAGTCTTAGTTTTATTTCGTAAGTATATTATGTATTAAAAAGTATGTTTTGTTTTCTGTATATATTATGTGGAAATAAACACATTTCATTCATTCATTCATTTATTCATTCATTCATTCATTCATTCATTTCATTCATTCATTCATACTACTATACAATGATCTGACGTGGTGCGGTGTTGATATCTTAAGAAATGTAGAAAAAAGTAGGGGGAGAACTCATTTAAAACTCACCCTATATGAATTCAAACGGATGGTGTTTTTGGGCTCTAGGGACCTCAAAACAAAAAAGTAAATTGTTTCCAGGTCCAGGTCTTACCATGAGTACTACAGTAATAGCTTTATTCCCTATATGGGAAATTTGCTAAAAACACACCTCATTACCTTCCCTGAAGCAGCAAACATAAGAACTCATTAAAATTTATGTTATTTAAATAGGAAATAAACCTTACTCTGACAGTTTTAAGGGGATTGTTTTAGTGGAATCTAGCCAGGTAAATGGAAATTTGCATAGTCTGCAGGTTTGCTGCGGCGGGGGTATTTAAATTTTATATTAGTAGGTAGCTTATTTTCCTTTTGATTCTGGAGATCCTTGAGGCAATTTATAATTGTTAAAAAATAATTAATATAGGTAAATTACGTGAACCATAGAAGTTTGATTAAAAAATAACTTACATTTATACATATCACAGCCAATATAATTCGTCACTTCCTGAAGACCTGTACATACATTTTTGGGTCTATATTTTGATAATATGTTAGAAATTTCAATTTGTACCTGGTAAACTTATAATTATTACAATGCGATATGATTCCCACCTCTAACAAAATATAATGATCAACATTAACTAAAAGTAGCCTATTTAAATAGGTAGTTATTTGTGTAACTAGTGGGCGAAGTGCACACAAGAGAAATGTTTACTTACGAGCCTTAGGAGCCTTAGGAGTGTGGAAAGTTTCTTGAGTGCAGCAAAGGCAGTTTGCACTCGTGTTACACATTATATTTTTCCTACAGTTACTATAAATCATATAGGTAAATAATTAGTCTTTCAAACACTGTAAAACACGTTTTTAGTCCAAACATTGAACAAAATGGGAAACGCTGCACCAGCTGATCCAAGTCGTAATATCTTTTAAGTGCTGCCAACTTATTTTCAAGCATACACGGATTACGTGCATAATAAAAGGACACTGTTTTGTGTTCTTTCGTTTGGTGGGAATACTGGTAAAGTAAAAACTGTGCACCAAAGTAAGGCTTTCTGTACTATAATCTGTGCAAGGAAGGATTTAAAACTGGTTAGGTAGTTCGGTTGAAAAAGGGATGTTACTTTATTGTAGTAAGTATAAATATACTGGTAATAATAATGTATGTATGTTTTCAGGAGAGCAACTCCCTGTGTATGACGGGGGTGGCGCTCACTTGTCTGATAACAGTTGTGTGGGTCATCATTTCTTCCCTTTCCTTTTACAATGATCATTCCATTCTCAAGTAAGTCTCCATACGAGATACCATTGAACATTAATATACCATTATATTTTATGGTTATGATATGCATGATATATGGCAGGATTGTGATAGTTACCACTATATAGCCACAGGAGGATTGGAATTATGTAGGCTACTATAAATAGAGGGTACTTACGTATTAAACGGAGGCCACATTTTGTCAGCGCGCTGCAGCGGTTATGTTAGGTTGGGTTATCGTAAATATTATGTGTGTAGGACTTTCCTCGCTTCGTTATGAATTGATACCAGACGAGTTATACTTTCTATTATGATAACCCAACCTAACATAACCGCCGCAGCGCGCTGACAAAATGTGGCCTCCGTTTAATACGTAAGTACCAAATAGAGAGTGAAAATTCTAAGTTCTCATATTTAACACTGTAAGGTGTTCTGGGCTGAGACATAGGTATTTTTATAATGTCCCTGAGTTTTTAAGTTTACAAAATTATTATAAGAGTTTTAAGAGTATAGCGTCACATTAATCTTTAACTATTCTACATACATCTCTATACACAGTACAGTAGTTCTTTATTGTATACTGTATTTATTGATATACGTACCGTAATTATTTTAATTGTAATGTACAGTACTGTTTATTCCCTATGTTTACTACTGTATTAAATAAACACTGTATTTTACTTTATAAAGCATTTTTCACTTTTCCCTAGCTATCATTATGTATAAACAACAATATGTTCTGTAATCCGAACTATTCAATAGTCCGAACTACCCCCGGTCCCAATATAGTTCGGATTAAAGAGGTTCTACTGTACTATTTAACTATTTAACATTCTAAACTACAAATACCGTATTGAAACAAAAATTACTTTTTCAGATTTGTTTGTATACAGAATCGCTGTCCAGAGACTTTTTGGTTAGCCCCTCTAAAATACAGACTGTCACACAAACAAGAAGAACATATTGATGAAGAACAAGATGATTCGTTTACTGATCCCAGTGAAGATTCCAAGCAACTTAAGAGAAAGAGAAGTGTTGACAGTCATATGATTGTACAGCTTTCACTTGAATATGATGACTGGCTCAGAAAAAGAAGAGATACAAATAATAATGCAATAGTTGGTGACAACAATGATCCTGGAGATACAAATGACACCGAAGTCTACAAAAGTCGCTACATATTCGGCATGCCTCTGATTGGTGCTGTCGTTCTCTTCATATGCAATTTTTGTGAGTGCTGATCAATATTATTGTTGTAAAATAGTGGCAATCCATAATCATGACAGTTCTCCAAATCAGACCCAGCTGTCCTTGATCAATTTACGCTATTAACAATAATCCTGGCTAAAAAAATCAGCTGGTCTTCGTAAGCAACAAAGCTACATTAGTCACCTCATTCCATTCAATTCACTCTCCGTTTTCATTCATATAGAGAATGGCTAGATTGCAGTTGTATATCTATCTTAGTTGGTAATAACCAAGATAATCCTAAATTAGCACACTATAACCATTAAGCTATATCTTAAACATTGTTCAACTTAGAGACAAAATCACAGGGTGGCTATTTTTTTGTTTTCACACATCTTGATTGAGCGATCCAGGTGAAATTCTAAATTAATTAAAGCATCAATTAATTAAAAGGTCAGCATTCCCTAATGCTTAAAAAATTAAGCACACAATTTAATCCAATATTTAAAAATACTAGTGTCCCTGTTGCTCGAAATCGAGCAATTTCTAAGTATTACAGGCGTTATTTTAAAACAAATAACAGTAATAATTTTTGATGACTTTAAAAGATTCGACTCAAAGATTATGGAATACTCAAGTTGTACATAACAGATCGATATAATCAAAATTTTTTGTAAAAATATCTTATCATTTTTCAAAAGCAGTTTTTTTTAGCGTTTTCTACATATAGCCTTACTCATAGCCGCATTAGGTTGTCCATAATAACGATAATATATATATAAAAAAAACACACATTATTTCTATTTCTTCTCCTTGGTGGTGTTTTATGACTTTTTTATGATTCCATAGTTTGCAAATCGGCTCTTTCAATGATTACTAAGAAATGCAGCACAGTGTTAATTCAGTTTTATTTTTAGTATAACCATTTATCCAGGCTCTCTCGTTTTTTCCATTGTAATATTTACGCCAACCTAAATTCAAATAGTAAATATGTCTTTCATTTCAACCAAGTCAGTAAATGTTTGTAGCAAACTGTTAAATTAGCAAACTTATTGACTGTTAAAAATTAACATAATTTCTTCTTCTCACTTTTAATTTCTGCCAACAGCTGGAGTTGCATAACAATTTTTGTTTCCCATGTTAATCTTATGGAGAAATACGAAACTTTAAAGGACCCCAGGGCCTCAGTCTCTGATTATTTCCCTAAAAAGAAAGTTTCCTGCACAACTTCACGTTAAGCTCTTTCCAATGACACCAAAAACATGTCAATCGGTTCAGTAGTTTTGGAGGAGTAATTGTCACAAAAAACATGCTTGCGTATTAAATAAGTATAGATAACATAAAGATAACGTAAAAGGTTATGTGGCATTTTTCAGTCCTTTTCCTGTTCTCAATCTTGGTCTTGTGGAGCTATGGGCAAGAGCTGGCCTGGACAAATTCATATCTACGAGATATACCTGACTACACAACTACTTGAGTAGCTCGGCATAGCAAAAGTATGAGGCTCTCAACTTCAACTTTCCCCCCAATTGTTAATTACTACTACTAAATTGTAAATATTTAAATATTTAAAATTGTATTTAGAAAATTGATAATTTAGGTTTTTTAAATGCTGTTGATTGATTTAAAGTAGAACACCGTTTGAAGAAGCTTTAAGTGGCCAACAAAAACAATGTATACATTGCTGACATCCATAATTAAAAATAATTTGCATACATTTATTGATCCTAACCAGTAGAAATCCAATGATCTGATTCATCTATTATCCGAATTGCTTTTGGAAATACTGTAATTTAAAAACTTAAAACCACAGCAATAAGAATCACCATTAAGAAGGCAGAAGCCGTGATTGCCGCGAAATCCAAAACCTCTCTTGCAATCCTGTTGACATAATATCGTCCCGCGCGGTCACGGAAACATTGTCATAGTATTTTGGGATCGCGGCAAAATGTAAAATCCCACAGTCATACAGACATCATCATTGTCTCCCACAGTTATGGAAAGAACGTTGTTGTCTTCCGTCATCGGGATAAAATGTTTAATATATCCCTCGGTCGTTCATTGTCTCAAGTGATCACGGAAACATCGACATCGTTTTCCATAATAGCAGCAAAATCTTTAACATCTTCCGCGGTCTTGTAGACATCATCATTATCTCTCAAAGTCATGAAAAATCTTAATCGTACTCCGCAATCGCGATAAGAGCGTAAACTTTCCAATCGCAATAGTAAAAGCTTGAGATGACTCGACCCGTATTTTCCTTCAAATACCCTGAATTTTGGTAAAAGTCAGATGGTATTCGAATTTTTGATTATCCAAATGGGGTCCGATCCCAATTGGTTCGTATAGACTTGAAAAGACCGTTAAATTACACTTGATAAGATTTATTTTACTCAAAGCTTTGTCAAAGATGCTCTACGACAGTCAAATTATGTTAAAGCTTGAGTTAAGTTTAATATTATAAAAGTATAGCAAGTATAGCTGACATGTTTTGAGATACATAAATGACTTTACTCTTATTAGCCCAGGCAAATTAGACATATGCTCCCCAAAAAATCGTCTAAAGCTGGAAAGTGTTTTAATACCTTTTGGGGGTCCCAAATAAGACCCCTGTGAGTTTGCGACGGATTCTGACGTCTGCTTAAGTTTTGGGAGTCGAAAAACTATGAAAATTTCGCACTTTTTTCAGTTTTTCGCTTATAACTCCTAAATAATGAATCCTAAGGAAAATTTTGTTCAAAGGTGTCTTTTAGTGCATTAAATTCCGCGTCGATTGATGTTAAATACGTCAAAATCAGCCGAACCGTTTAGGCGCTGTAGCTTTTCAAAGTTGGGATATTTTCATCAACATGGCCAAAAGGTTGATTATCTGACCAGTTTTCGGCTTACAACTCCTAAACGATGCATGCTATACAAAAATGCACCTGTAGTTAGTTTGGAAAACACAAAATTCTGCGTATAATGTTTTTTCCTACTTTGTATGGTCGCCATTTCATTAAAAAAAGTTTAAAGTTAAAGTTAGGAAATTTTACTAAAATTGGTAACAACATAGATCCTGTCCTTAAATGGATTATGAATTCTTAGATAGTGGTTCTATGAATTATTATCACTAGTGTGACGTCATGGATCCTGCAGCATGGCCTATGAACAAGTAAGTGTTCATGAGAGCAACATCTTACTGTGGAGAGCTTTACGTCACACTAGTGGATAGATTCACTGCCATATCCCCTATGTTTTAGCGAATTTTTCCTATAGGGAATAAGCTATTACCATAGTACTTATGGTAAGACCTGGACCCGGGACCGATTTACTTTTTCGTTTTGAGGTCCCTAGAGATCAAAAACACCATCCGTTCAATTTCATATATATATATATATATTTATATGAAAAATAGAAAAATAGGGCTACTATATATGAATAAAGATTAAACATTAATAAACTTAGTACCCAAGTAAAATTATTTATTAAAATATTTACTGACTATAGTTTCGTCTCTAAGACTTTGAAAATGGCCTTAGAGCCGAAACTATAGTCAGTAAATATTAAATATTAGTCAGTAAATATTTTAATAAATAATTTTACTTGGGTACTAAGTTTATTAATGTTTAATCTTTATTCATATATATATTTATATATATGGTGGATCTTGCCTCGGATGCCTCTCTCTTATCTATACTATTATAAAAAAGAGGTGGTTGCTGTATGTATGGGAAAAGTAAACGCAAAAAATACTGGTCGGATCGGGCTGAAATTCGGCATGATGATAGCTCATATTCCCGATTAACATATAGGCATATTTTTATCCCAAAAATCCTTCCGGGCTCCGCCCCAGTGGCTCTGGAGTTTCCCATGTTAACCTTATGAGAAATGGAATTAATGAATCTTAACAGCTGTTTCAATTAAACAAGTTGGTTCTGTTCTATGATGTTCAATAGCATTAAAGTTACAAGGATTACCAACAGGGTGCAGCACTAGCACTATTATTTCTTTTACATTTATGACAACAGCTAATTTGCAACCAAAAGGTGAGTGAGCGTAGCGAACGAACTTCAACCTGGAGGCGAGTGAGCGTAGCGAACGAGCTAACCCGAAGGCAAGTGAGCGTAGCGAACGAGCTAACCTGAAGGAAAGTGAGCGCAGCGAACGAGCTCCAACCTAAAGGTGAGTGAGCGTAGCGAACGAACTTCAACCAGGACGTGATTGAGCCATGCAAACTAGATCATCTTGAAAATTAAGAAGTTAAACGGGGCAAAGCCCGCGGGTTACAGCTAGTATATTTATATATGTGCCCGTTAGCGCGATAACTCGAGCAAAAATCATCCGATTTTGATTAAATTTGGTACAAACGTGTAAACATACGTTTATTCAAACGAGTACGCGAACCAGTATGATCGGACTATGGAAACAATGCTTCCAAATGCTTGCCAAATGCTTGCCTCCTTCAAGTCGCCGAGACTGCGTCACATTCAAAGGGTGACATTACAGTGCTTATGGGTGGGACCAATGATACTCTACGTAAAGATCTATCCCCTCTCTACTCTGGTGTGGAAAAAAAGCTGCAAGACATCAGTGCAAATTCGCCTGTGGTTATAACAACAATACCAAGAAGATATGATTTGCATCAAAATGACTCCCTTCACAATGAAATTGACCTTTTAAATAACTACCTTAAAGAACTAGTGGCCCGGCTTGACAATGTATATATTATTGACGTTGATAATTTAAAGAGGTTTCACTTCACGAAGCATGGTCTCCATATTAATAATAGAGGCAAAAATTTCTTAGTTCATCTGATATTTAATACAATTAAAAAAATTCAACCAAACTTATTTCATAGTAAAAAAGAATTGAACACAAACATAACTGTCACAGATATGCACATGTCGGAAGTCATTAAGAAGTATGGAGGCTGTAAAACTGTAGGCTTTGCACACTCTATCTCAGCTGACTTTAGCGATCCTCGCCATATGTCTGCTGGAGTGGCTGTAGTTTTCAAAAAACATTTTGGTAAACCTAGTCCTGAACAACGTCTAACTGAACATCTAGCCTTACAAGAAAATCAAGGTACTTTCATATACAGCCTCATCACTAAAGGCAAATACTACGGTAAACCCAAAATTTTTGATTATGATACAGCTTTTAAAAATTTGACCCAGGATTTCAAAAGAAAAGGTCTAAATCACTTAATTTGTTCACCAATTGGATGTGTGCGAGACAGGATTGAGCTCTACCACTTTATCACCAACCTAAAAAACTTTCAACAGGAAACTAAGGCTACGGTTACTATTGTGTCGTACTATCAAAAATCTCACCGACAACTAAGAAACGGTTTGGCACATGAAGAATTTCAGCATCGACTCGAACAATTAATTCGACTGACAAGACCCACCAACTTACGAGCTTCCGAGAGTCAAAGTGATGATCTTCCATCTGATCCCTCAAAACTGCAAGTTCCACAGCAGCTAGATAATTCTACAGTCAACTCCTGCTTACAGTATTGTGAGAGTCAACAATCCAGTCATCCTGCTTCTCCACAAACTGATTACATCTGCAGCAGTCCCGGAACTCATGACATCAGTAATGAATACAAGGAAATACAGAGGCATACTAAGTTGTCAGCTACTGAGCAGGATGCTTCTATGTCTGAAGCTGTTGCGGCTCCAGGTCCTTCACCCCACCATGACCATCCAACATCACAGAGGCCAGACGATGATGTGCCTATCCTGGCCAGCCTCAACACTTTCCCTCCACTCATCCCATCACACCATCAGTTACAGCATTGTGAAAGTAACAAGTGCAAAAGTGGTAGTGAAAAGCAGAGTACAAGTGGTAACAACAAGCAGAATACAAGTAGTACTAATAGTAAAGATATTTTTTTAGAGAAATAGATAATTTTACTGATGCACATGTCAAGTTAGGGTCTGATAGTAAATTTGGAAAAGATATGTTTTTATTACATTTTAACATTCAGGGTTTTCTAAACAACTATGTAGACCTTAATCTGTTTATTGGAAATATGGATTGCAAAATTAATGTTATATCTATAAATGAACATTGGCTTGATGTTAAAAGTATAAATGTTTTAAATAAACTAGATGGTTTTGTAATTGCTGACTACTATGCTAGAATAGATCAATGGCGGGGGGGTTCATGTTTAATGATTGACAAAAATGTTAGTTTTAAGATTAGAAATGACTTAAAATTTTTAAATGAACAATGTTCTTTTGAAGGATCTTTTATTGAAGTCAAGGACTGGAATTCAGTTTTTATTTCAGTATACAGAATTCCAGGTAGGGACATAGATAAAATATTTTTAGAAAAGTTTGAAATGTTATTAGACAAAATAGCTTTGGAAGCAATGTCAAAAAATGTTTTTATAATGTCAGACACAAATATAGATTTATTTACCGATAAAGTAAGTACTGATAATTTACTAGAAATTTGTGATTGTTTTGGATTCAAACCTAACGTTCTTGTTCCAACTAGGGTAACCAGTATTTCAAGTACTTGCATTGACAATATTATTTCTAACTTGCAGACAAAAAAAACTAGCAGTTTAGTTTTAGACATAGGTGCATCAGACCACAAAGTTTTACTTTTGTCATTTGAGAAAATGTCCTCTCCAAGACTTAAGGGTGTAAATAAAAAACTTACTCGGAAGTTTACAGAAACAAATTTTCAAACCTTTGAAAACACACTAAATAATGTTATTTGGAACCCTTTTGAAACCTTTAATGTAGATACAAATTACAATAAATTTTTTACAAACTTTCTAAATTCATTCAACGAGGCATTCCCCAAAACAGTAGATCGTCCAAAGAATAAACGTAACAAAAATAACTGGATAACAACAGGAATAAAAATTTCAGCAGAAAATAAAAATAAGTTGCACCAAGAATCAAAATGGAATCGTAACCCTCAGTTTTTAATCTATTACAAAAACTACAGAAAGGTCTTTAAAAAAGTAGTTGCATTAGCAAAACTGAAAGCTAATGACGATTTTATTAAAAAATCTAAGAATAAAAGTAAAGCATCTTGGGTAGTAGTGAAAAATGAAACAGGACTTAATAAACAAATATCTGATACTCCAGTTGAGATTAAATTCAAACATGAAAGGGATATACAAAATTGTGCAGTATTGGTAGCAAATAAATTCAATAACTTTTTTATTAATGTTTCTCAGTATGCCAACAAATCAACAGATAAATTAAAAGCCACTCAGTTACTAATCGAAAATCATCCACGTTCCAAATTAACATTTAAATTTAGAAATGTTTCAATTGACGAGTTAAGAAAAGTTGTTACATCTCTCAGTAACACTAAGTCCTCAGGTTGGGATGAAATTCCTCTTTTTGTCATTAAAAGAGTCTTTAAATTTATAGAACATCCATTATGCCAAATAGTGAATCAGTCCCTTGAGGGGGGGGTTTTTCCTGATAAGCTAAAGTTGGCTGAGATTAAACCTCTGTTCAAAGAGGGCGATGTCAACGATCCCTCTAACTACCGCCCCATCGCCCTTCTGCCTTGTTTTTCAAAGATTTTTGAAAAAATTGTAAAGATTCAACTAACAGAATATTTAGAAAGCAATAATTTAATAAATCCTTCACAGTTTGGTTTCCGCCCAGAACTCGGTACTGAAAAATCCATAACAAAAATGATTAACTACATTGCGGAAGCCTTGGATGGATCGCAGAAGACTGTGGGTGTGCTATGTGACCTATCCAAGGCTTTTGACTGTGTGAATCATGAGATACTCATAGAAAAATTAAGTATGCATGGAATAAAAAATACTGAATTAAAATGGTTCATATCTTATTTAAAGACCCGAAAACAAAGACTTATTTTACAAAAAATGCAGAGAAATTATAAATCAGAGTGGAACATTAACCCCAATGGAGTTCCTCAGGGCTCCATTCTCGGCCCTTGTTTATTTATTATTTATGTTAATGATCTATGCAATGCTACTAAGATGTCCACCTTTCAATACGCAGATGATACCGCTTTAATATGCACAGGACAAAACAATGAGTTCATTCAAGCCTCAATAACTAAGGAATTTCAACTCCTTGGGGATTGGTTTGCAGTAAATGGCCTGTCCATGAATGTGGCAAAAACTCAACTAATTCAGTTTTCTGCATCCAATATTAACCAAGAAATAATTGTAAATACAAACTTAACTACAATTCATTCACAACAGTCAATAAATTATTTGGGAATAGAAATTGATTCACAACTTAATTGGCAAAAACACATTAAAAACCTATCAAAAAGACTACGCTCAGCAACATTTGTTCTCACAATAATTCGGGATACTACTAATCTAGAAACACAAATAGTAGTATATCACGCATATTTTTCATCGATTATGAATTATGGAATTACTGTATGGGGCTCATCAAGCCAGGCCAAAAAAATATTTATTCTCCAAAAAAGAGCTGTAAGATTAATGGCCAGAGTCTCCCGTAGAACACATTGTAAAGATTTATTTATTAATTTTAAAATTTTAACTTTTTTTAGCTCTTATATTTACAAATTGGCATTAATGGTTAAAAGTGATTTCGACACATTCATGGACTGTCAACAATCTCATCCACATAACACAAGATTCAAAAATATTATAAAACCAGTTCAACATAGGCTTAAAATCTTTCATTTATCCCCTCAGTATATGGGACCAAAAATTTACAATAAATTACCCGCTGGGATTAAAAACATTGCCACATTCTCTAAATTTAAACTATCTTTAAAAAATTTCCTTTTGGAGAGGGCATTTTACTCGTTAGAGGAATATCTGGAAAATGAGTATATTTGAAAGATATTGCTTCTCCCATAGGTTTGTAGCTTATTATATGCTTTATTTCTTTTGTAAGCTATTTTATTTTAAAATGTAGTATAGTATTAGTATTAGACTTTGTGACAAATCACCTGTCAAGAGAATTGATGTAATGTGATGATGTTTAATAAATAAAAAATAAATAAATAAATAAACAGGGGTTTATGGGGGGTTTTATGGGGTAAAAATTGGGTTTTCCCATTTTTTACCCTAAAAACTTAAAATTTAGCAATTTATTTCCAAACCATTTTGTAGAGCTTAAAGAAACAAATAATTTAGTATATTGAAGCGTTAATATGCGCCTAATGGTTAAGGAAAAATTTCAAAAAATCAGCAAATTTAAAAATCCCATGTTATTCTTATGGTGAATAAGTAAAATGTTGTAGTTTGCTTGTTTATGAACATATTTTTATCAAATTTGGAAAATGCATTAATTTCATACTAAACTATTACATTTTACAAAAAACACCTTTTAGCCTCCCCGTTGCAGCAAACCTAAGTACTCGTTAAACTAATGTTATTTTAAATAGGGAATAAATGTGATATTTTTAAGGAGACATTTTAGTGTAAATCCAATCAGGCAAATGGAAATTCGCTTAGTCTGCAGGATTGTTGCGGCGGGGGTATTTGGTAATTAGGCTGGTTGTTTGCCAGATTTCAATGGTAAGATTTTAAACTTCGGAAACTTGACAAGCATCTGATCTAGTGTTAACAATCAATAGCGGTTAAATGGTGAAGCCGATCTTAATGAATTGGTAAACATTCTACGCAGACGTTTATGCTCTTCAAACTAACTACAGGAACATTTTTTCTATAGCACGCGTTAGAAGATGTAAGCCAAAAACTGAAAGATGAATACAGGGATAGATTGTATATAATGGGTGGTTTGGGAAGAATCCTAGAATTTTCGGAACCCCAGACAACAATATTAGACTTAAAACTACATAGGGTGTATTACTCTCATCACACCTTATTAGATAAACCTCTGGATGACCATCATGGAATAAACCACTATCTAATAATTCATAATCCATTTAAGGACAGGATCTATGTTGTTACCAATTTTAGTAAAATTTCCTAACTTTAACTTTAATACTTTTTTCAATGAAATGGCGACCATACAAAGTAGGTAACAATCAATTGCCGTTATTGATTAATAAAAAAAACATTATACGCAGAATTTTGTGTTTTCCAAACTAACTACAGGTGCATTTTTGTATAGCATGCGTCGTTTAGGAGTTGTAAGCCGAAAACTGGTCAAATAATCAACCTTTTGGCCATGTTGATGAAAATATCCCAACTTTGAAAAGCTACGGTGGCTAAACGGCTCGGCCGATTTTGACGTATTTAACATCAATCGACGCGGAATTTAATGCACTAAAAGACACCTTTGAACAAAATTTTCCTTAGGATTCGTTATTTAGGAGTTATAAGGGAAAAACTAAAATAAGTGCGAAATTTTCATAGTTTTTCGACTCCCAAAACTTGAGCAGACGTCAGAATCCGTCGCAAACTCACAGGAGTCTTATTTGGGACCCCCAAAAGGTATTAAAACACTTTCCAGCTTTAGACGATTTTTTGGGGAGCACTCCCTATATTTGATCTAATTTGCCTGGACTACATGTAGTTCTAGCTGGTTCAGTTTTGAGTTTGTGTTGCAATGTTGAAATTTAAATTTTGATTGGAACTCTTGCCATTATCCCTTTTGTGTTTATTTAATTGGACAATTTTAGTCCATAAAAAAGTCAAGACATTAGAATTACTATCCCTCCAAAACATATTTGAATTTCTATTTTATTTTTTGTATAGTAATCATTATATTCTTATTGACACATGTTCTTATTTATGTTAACTATGCTTATTAACACTATCTTGCTTTATATTTCAGGCCAAAAAGTGCAATGAAGATATCAAAAGAATGATTAGAAGAAACAACTAACCAAAAATTGATTATTTTGGTCACTTCTATTTTTTTAAAGATGCAGATCTAAAAAAAAACCTCTAAATCGTTGTCAGAAATATTTTGATTTTTGTCAGTAATAAATTGAAATTTCAGTAATCAATAGTTCTTTACTTGACGTACTTGTTAAACTAGATTTTTTAATCATAGAGTTTTATGGTGTCAAGTAAAATGGATAAAATTGTCAAAGCATCTGCTAGTATTACATGGTCAAAAAATGTATATTTTGTGACATAAAAACTTGTAGATTGGTATATTCTTGGAATGATAAAAAACTAAAAGGTAATTATAATGACTTGTGGGTTAAAATATTTGAGCCAAATTTCACAAAAACTGTTAATTTTACAAAAAAAATTTCAAGAGGCAAAAATGTTAGTAAATTTGATGTAGTTTTCAATTATACCTTATTTGTTAAAATGGATAAATAATAACAGAGAAATATGTTCTTACTCCTTATAATATATATATAATATATAATACTCCTTATTTTACATATTGTCTAAATATCTTTACAATCATCTGTTATACGTCAATCAGGAGTTTTAAAACATAACAGCTGATTGAATAATTTGTTTTTGTTATTTTATAAAAGTATTGTTGTCTGAACATTACTGCAAGTCTTACGATTTTTACAACCTAGTTAAAGTCATTATTTATTGTGTTTTTTGCTTTATTAAGTTGGCTGTTTAGTACTAAATGTAAGCAAAATGAATACTTGCACATCAGAGGAGTACTGTGATATGGTCTACTTTTTTGGAATGGCTCGTGGCAGTGCAAGAAGAGTAGCGGCGAGATTGTATGCAGAACACTATCTGAACAGGCAATGTCCTAGCTATAAGCCATTCCATGCCGTATACAACAGATTAAAGGAACCGGGAATGATTGATCGGTTTAGATTATGCAACCAGGTTAACGGTCGTCATTTTGAACAGTTGTTGTAAGTAAAGGAGGCCTCTTGTAAATAAAGAAGGACCATAAGGCATTGTCCAATTGTATTTAATAGTTACAAAAAATGTTTACATTATCAATATGTTTTACATTTATTTAAAGAAAGATTTTGTTACTTCTCATAATAAACAACAACTTATACTTATAAATAGCAAAAACAAATTATTCAATCAGCTGTTATATTTTAAAACTCCTGATTGAATGTAACAGATGATTGTAAAGATATTTAGACATAAAAGGAGTATTAGCGTTGTTTAAATGGAGAAAAGTGGAACACGGGAATTTTAAATTTACAATCTTTTTGAGATTTCTCCATAACCAATAACCGTAAAAAATCACTTCAATATACTAAAATATTTGTTTTTTTAAGCTTTTTAAAATGGTTTTAAGAGAAATTGGGAAATTATATGTTTTTAGGGTCAAACATGAGAAAAACCAATTTTTACCCCCGTCCCATAGCTTGCTCAATCATGCTGGTTCGCAAACTCATTCAAGTTTATTCCGCCCTTCACCTTCAAGCTAAATTTAATCAAAATCAGACAAAAATTACTCAAGCTATTACGTTTACGAACATATTATATATAAAAATTTTAATGAATAGTGTTTTACCCTCTAGGGACATCAAAAGGAAAAAGTATATCGGTCCCGGGTCTAGGTCTCACCGTGCCACCTACGGTAATAGCTACTTGCCTATAGGAAAATTCGCTAAAAAGTATAACAAAGAAACCAAAGAGAATAGTATTGTACAATGTTATAGTAGTTTATGCAACAACCGCGTGAAAATAATGTACAATCACAGCCTAAACCTAATTCAACCTACAACCTAATTATTATGGTAAATTAGGTTTTGGGTAGCGATTTGTCCAATTTGGTTTTTCCAAAATACACAAATCATTGTTTTGATTACTCTACTAAAAAATTTAATTAATGGTTTATTTAAGATGAAATTTACACCTATACAGTACATTAGTTTAAAATCAACAGCATTCTGGCAATCAATGTTTCTAGAGGGGAGGGTATGATTGTCAGATACTTATAAGATAAAAAAATATCTTGCACATTAAAAAGATGGCTGAAACGCAGTGTAGGTATATAGGTGTGTTTTGTTTTAATATGTTAACAAATTGGCTGCCTTCAGTTTTCTATGGTTTACCAACATAGAGACAATTATTGTAGATGACATACATGGAAGATTGTTTTGAACATGTCAGACTGGCCTACTTGGAATAGTTTCATCATTGTTTTGGAATGCTGACTGCTGAGCAGAGCAGAATAGGCAAGACTCAGCACAGAGAGTGACAGTACTCAGCATAGACAGGCAGACAACACTCCAGACTCCACACTCTCTCACAATCAGGTAAATAACAGTTGATCAAACAAGTGTTAGTCTTCTGTCAAGTTATAAGGCTTCAAATGTTTGTGGCTTACTGCTAGTAATACTTCCGTGGGAGACTAATTGATATGGACCTCTTTAAAATATTTGTATAACAAACCTGACTAAAGCATTCTGATCAATAATAGAGGATAGGTATCCCTTAATTTCTTGTGAGATGATGAGCCAGATCTTTATTTAAAATTTGTTACAAGTTTCTAGATTTTTTTATTTAACCCCTCTCAACAGAAACAATTCATTGACTATAGATATTTGGTGTGACATTGAAAAGCTATTAGGTACTTCCTATAAATAATGTGTCTTTTAATGGTTTCAACATCCAAATCTTGATGTTTGTTAACGGTTACTTTAATATTTTAAGCTAGTTTTGTTGTTCAATTCAAACTGTCAAAGTTTATGTACAGCCAATTCTAAAATAATAATTTATTGAATGAGAAATCTGTAATGGATTCCGCAGATGAGAGCACTTCTTGGTTTACAAATGTTCAATGAATCTGCTATGGAGTTAGTTAATTGTATTGGAACTGGCATAAAAGATAGTCCATTGATTCCTTGATGTAGTTTTGAGAACTTTTCCAAAACGTAATTCTAGTGTCAACTCAACACATTCATGTACAGTATGTGTTCTCACATTAGATGTTGCAATTTTTGACCATTTTAATTTTCGAAGTAAAATATCTTGGATATGTTTGTAAGTCCAAAAAGTTTCGAACTAAATTCTTTGGTCTTTTTCAATTAAACAATTTTTATGTGTTCTACTGAAAAATGTGTATGGTTATAAAATTCAAACTGGAACCAGTTCTTTTAACCCCAGAAGACAAAAGTTGTTACGCCTTTTGCTCTTGCATCACTTGATGTTGGTATTATACATATTGCTTTGAAGAAAATATGTTTAAGTGTAAGACAATACATTTTCTTATGAAAATTTGACATAAAAGATATTATGCAAACAGGTTTTTAGTTTGATGGAAGCTCTTACACCTTCCTTGTCCTGAAAAATTAGTTTTACGCACAAACTAAAAATAGCATAATGAGTCCATTTCCTAGGAACTGAGAAATTTATTTAACAATACTGTGCAGAACAAATTCTAGCTGTGACAGAAATAGTTAGGTTAACTAAACAGAGGCAGGCCAAGTAGATATCACATTTGTTTACATTTTGACTGAGAACAATGAAACAAAGTAGATTTGAACTAAAATGAATTAGTGAGCCATTTACATCTTATTGAGAGTTAATCATGAAAATTTTAATCAGTACAGTATGCAAATGGAAAGTTTTTTTTACCAAATTTTGGAATTAGCAATGACATTGTCTATCCCTCACCTGAATAATGTAGCTCAGCCACAAAACATCGTAACCTAATTTAGTAATTTTTGTCGGGTTCACAATAAATATTCAGCTATCACAAATAAAAACTGTAGATAAAATAATAATGTTCAATTTGTGTTAAGATTTTTATCTTGTTAAAAGTAGTTTGCACAGTTACAAAACACCTAAGATATTTTAATCTATACAAACGAGGATGTTTGTTTGTATGTTTGTATATTTGGCAGTTATAATATCAGACACCGACGGACAGATAGCCACTAAACTTAGTACATACGTGTAGAATTTCATGGAATAGGTTTATACACCATCAATTTCGTGATCCGTCCAAACGCCTCTGCCTCAGTGGCTCTGAGTTTCCCCGTGTTAACCTAATGAGTACTTATATTTAAACTAGCAACAATGCCCATTGTGGTTAAATACAACGGTCTCAAGTAAAATAATGGTTGTGAAATCCATACACCACATTATACTAACTACTTTAATGGTACAGATTAAGCACATTGCATTAGAATCACACACTTAACATAAGGGACACACTTTAAACACAAATGCAAATTGTTAACAACAAAATTTAATCAAAGAAAAATCAATTAGATAACAATATAACAATAAGCTGTTGAATTATTATAACACATGTTTCGTATGATTAGATTATGCATACTGGTAAACTGCCATAAAACCAATTATTGTCTATAAAAATAATTGGTTTTTCTTTTCCGAGTCGGGTTAGCTCTTCTACCCGACCGATTTTCATAATTTTGGTTTTAAAATAAAGCTATGCAAGCATATATTTATCATCAAGCATCATCATTAATTTATCTAATTTATTGCTCGACAAAAGAATTTAAATTTTATGTTTTTTTTTTATTTTACACTTCAATTAAAGATGTATTCCAGCAGTTCTAATTACATTACCCTATATTTTTTGGTCCAAAACCTTAAGTGAAATACCAGCTTTCATTTGAGCTATTTATTATTAAGATCAGACTACCTAAAGCACACTGCTGAATCACAAATCAACAATAATTACAATCGTTTTAGTACTTATCTGCAATCAATGATACGTAACTCTTTTTTTATTTAAGTTATTTTATAAGTCTTGGTCTTAAAATACTTCAAAGGCTTTCAATTGAGATATTGATAGTTTTAATCAGTTAAGTTCAAGATATTATATCGCTCAATCATAAAATATAAATTTGATTATATCTTGGATATGGAATTTAGTTTTAGATATAATATTTACTTAATTCTAATTACTTTATTCTATTTGTTTTGACCTAAGAACCTTCAGTGAAATACCAGCTTCCATTTGATTTATTGATTATTACGATTGGACGTTACCTAAAGCACACAGCTAAATCACAAACAACCCAAATTGTTAAAAAATTTAGTTATTTATCATCGATTTATAGTCAAACGATCTTGCTTGCAACCTCAACAGTAACTGTTGACTTTGACAGGTTTTACCTAGTAAATTAAAAAAAATCAAACTTTCATAATTATTTGAAAATCTACAGAAATTAGGCATTCCAATGACCTATTAATCAAATCGGTTCAGTAGAACTGTAGAATTAATTGTACAAAGTTTAACAAAACATCTTTAATTCAGTATTTTCTCACCAAGATAAATTGGGAGGATGCTTAACGTTTTTGCAAATAACTTTGAAACGGTAAGGAAATCGACCAAAGTGGAAGGTGATATTCTGAAAGAGAATAAAATTTCCTACAAATTACTATTATGTATTTCTTGAAAATACTCAATAAAGGCAGCCTTAAGTTGGCTACAAATATAAACTTGGAGATATAAACTTGGATAAAAATGAGTTTTAAATGCATTATTGTTTATTTTTATTTTTTCACCTTAAATATCTAATAAAATCAAACTTTCATAATTATTTGCAAATCTACACAAATTAGGCTTTCCATCGACCCATTAAGTAACAAAATCGGTCTGGTAGAAGTCTAGATTTAGTTGTACAAAGTTTAACAAAAATATATATAATTCGGTTTTTCTCACCACTATAAATTTGGAGATCACTTAGCTTATTGCCAATAACTTTTAAATGGAGGAAAAATTGATGAAAGTGGATGTGATATTCTGAAAGAGAATAAATTTACTACAAATAACTACTATGTATTTCTTGAAAATACTTAATAAAGGCAGCTAAAGCTGGCTACTAATAGAATCTTAAAAACAGAAACTTGAAAAAAACAGTTTTTAATGTATTTTCGTTATTTTTACTTTTTTACCACAAATATTTAATAAAATCACTCTTTCATAATTAAATGCAAATCTACATGAGTTAGGCTTCCCAATGACCGATTAATTAACAAAATCGGTCCAGTAGAAGTCTAGATTTAGCTGTACAAAGTTTAAGAAAATATCCCAAACTCAATATTTTCTCATTACTATAAATTCGGAGGTTGCTTAGCTTTTTTGCAAATAACTTTTAAATGGTGAGGAAATCGACCAAAGTGGAAGGTGGTATTCTGAAAGACAATAACATTTCCTACAAATTGATACCATGCACTTCTTGGAAATACTAAAAAAAGGCCCCCCAAAAGTCGCACCCAAATAAAAAGTGTGAAAAACACCGTTTTCAATGTATTTCTTATGGAAAACTTGTTTTTTTTTATTTGAACCATAAATCATAACAAAAACAAACTTTCATAATTATTTGCAAATCTACACGACTTAAGCTTTCCAACGACCCATTAATTAATAAAATCGGTCCAGTAGAACTCTAGATTTAGTTGTACAAAGATGTTTAAAACTGTTATATAAGATGGGATTAAAGAATCTTAACAGCTGTTTCAACTAAACAATTTGATTCTGTGATGTTCAATAGCATTAAAAAGTTAATAGGTTTACCAACAGGATGCAGCACTATCAATTGTTTAAATTATTTATGACAACAGCTAAATTGTACCATAGACTAATAGAATAAATATAGAATGTCAAAGGAATGTTCCGGCGTCCACCGATAGGAGTGCCGTGTAGTTACAGCACACACCGCTGCAGGCGAGGAGCGCAGGAGCCGCATGCAACCAGCAGACGCTGCAGCGGTGTGCGCCGTAACTACACGGCAAACCTAGCGGTGGACGCCAGAACTTATGCTAACCGCAGCACAGCTGACGGTCTATATTTACTCTATTTGTCTATGATTGTACCAAGCAGAAACAAAAATCTGTGATGCATGGAATGGATGGTTTTTTTTTACAGTTATGTTTATGTAGCCAGTAAACGTTATGTTTGGAAGTAATTTACTAATAGTAAATTAATAAAAGTCTATATACATACAGCAGATCTAGGGAACATAATAATTGTTCTCTTTAGCGTTCTCAAGCTGCTTGCTATTACTTTCAAGGAATCAAAATTGTATCTTCTTGACCCTGTTGCATGGCGCAGGTATAGCGGCTAAGTAAAATATAAAATGCCGTGTTTGTCCAGATGGAGACGTGGTGGTGGCTGCTAGCGGCGGCAGTGCTGGCGCAGCTCTCACAAGTATTATCAGCTGAGGAGATCACTCAGGCACCACAACAGGACATCATCGTGACACTCAACACACTACGAGCAATCTCTCACACTTCCGATAACTTCTTGGGCATTTCTATCTCTCCCAAACAGCTCTTAAATGATGGTCAATACAGGTAAATTGGCAACATGAACCTTAGGAATTTACTAATTTTAGGGGTCTAAAAACATTCAGATCAGAATAATATAAAACAATCTATAGCAACTCTAACATTCATGACCAGCAAACACACTAACCTTAGTACTTTCAATAAGTATCTGTACAACTTGCTTAACCTGTTCTTCACAACAGGTCTCTTGAGGATAAAAAAGAGAATAATGTGGTTTTTTGAATATATTGTTGAAAACAGTGGTGTGTTGATCATAGAAACAAAACTCAGAAGTACTATCATAGACAAAAATAATTAAACATAGACTGTCAGCCGTGCTGTAGTTACCATAGGTTCTTGCGCACACCGCTGGGAGCGCCGTGTAGTTACGTATCGCCTACGCTGTAACTACATGGCGCTCCCAGCGGTGTTCGCCAGAACCTATGGTAACCGCAGCACAGCTGACCGTCTATATTTAATTCTTTTTGTCTACGTATAGCATTATGAAATCCTTTTTTGGTTTAATTCAGCTGTGTGGCAGGATGAAATTATTAAGGGGGGGGTTCATGAAAAATTATAAATCTTAAAATGATTAACCAAAAATATTGACACTTTTTTGGATATTACCTATAACCATAGAAACAAAGTAATGGGATGGAATTTTTTCATCCCCTGTGGGGGAGGGACGGGTAATTTTTCATGTTTTACAAGGGTTAACTAGATCATGTGCCGATAAAAACCCATAAAAGATAATTGATAACTTTTTGATTCTATGGTGTTTCTTAAAGTATGCTCTAGCTATGATCTGTAGGATGGGTTTTGTCGATAAAACATACCCCCTTAGTAGATTTCCCATCCTTATGGAACAGCTGAAGCCAATTTTATTTTTAGTTATGTGCGGGCACATGTAGAGGTTGTGTTTTGTTTACAATTTGTTTCATGGTTACTTCAGTAATTTAAAACCTTGTTTAACCAAATAAAACGATCTAATCATAAACACAACTCATCCTCTAGCTACATAACCAAACAGTAAAGCACAAATCATCATGAAATTAACTCTAAAATATAATAGAAACAAAATCTCGTCGACACTAGCCACCAGTGTCATCGGACATGAACTAGACATGAAAAATGAGCTTCAAAATTAACAATGGGATTGGAAGTCTACTTGTGTTGGTTAGTTTATAGTTTTATGTAGAAAATTAACAGTAAACAATATTATTAAAATATGTTCTATTAGGATTTCCTTCAAATCCATCCTACAGATCACAGAACTGAACAAGATGAACAAAATAAACCAAAAAACATCCCTCTATCTCTTCTAGAAGCGGAGCTGTGTAATATCTAGTGTAAAAAATACAACGTTCGGGAATCCACAGAATCCGCTGTGACCATTGTTTGAGAGCAGTTGTAGCCCCCGCTCTTCCAAAATAACTAAACAGCTGTGACATAACAATATATGAACCAAAATATGTAAAAAAAAATATTTTCCAAAAAATTCAGTTTTTTTCATGAACTCGGGGATTAACATTATTTAGGGATTTTACATAAAGATTGTATACTTTTTTTTGGCTTACGGACCAACCAATATTTAACTCCAAAAGCTTGAAATTTTATAATATGATTGGGGCATGTAAATTTTATAGTTCATGAGATTAGCCAGGATTTATGACCAACCTAAGTGTAAAATTTCAACCCAGTTGGGTTGGGTAATCTTAGGGCTCACACACGCCAGATTTCTATTGTTGAAAATTTGTCAATGGCAATTACTTTTTGTTTTGCTGTGGTCTGTAGTTTAGCTTCTTGAGCACCAACATTGAGTTTAAAAAAGTGTCTAAGAGAAGTTTTTTATTTTTATGAAATAGGCTAAATAACAGAATTTGGACATACTCCTTAGAAAGAGAAGACAAAACCGTTGTAATACATTTTTATGCATATATGGATGTGTATATGCAATGTTTTAAATGCTATTCCTACTTTTATAGCTTATCTGTTGATATGTTGCAGTGTTTCTACCATCAACATGCTGCGGGCCTTGTCCCCAGGATATCTACGTGTTGGAGGTCCTGAATCTGACAATCTGTCCTTCAAAACATTGGATAATTCATTAAATGCTCATCTCTTAACTGGTAAGTCTACAATCTTTAATTTGAGGTGCAGCTTGATTTTTTCTGGTCAAAAGTGACAATATGTATATTATATATATATACTAGCTGTAACCCGCGGGCTTTGCCCCGTTTAACTTCTTAATTTTCAAGATTATCTCGTTCGCATGGCTCAATCACGTCCTGGTTGAAGTTTGTTCGCTACGCTCACTCACCTTTAGGTTGGAGCTCGTTCGCTGCGCTCACTTGCCTTCAGGTTAGCTCGTTCGCTACGCTAACTCGCCTCCAGGTTGAAGTTCGTTCGCTACGCTCACTCACCTTTTGGTTGCAAATTAGCTGTTGTCATAAATGTAAAAGAAATAATAGTGCTGCACCCTCTTGGTAATCCTTGTAACTTTAATGCTATTGAACATCATAGAACAGAACCAACTTGTTTAATTGAAACAGCTGTTAGGATTCAATAATTCCATTTCTCATAAGGTTAACATGGGAAACTCCAGAGCCACTGGGGCGGAGCCCGAAAGGATTTTTGAAATAAGAATATGCCTATATGTTAATCGGGAATGTGAGCTATCATCATGCCAAATTTCAGCCCAATCCGACCAGTATTTTTCGCGTTCACTTGTCACAAACATCCAAACTTTCTCATTTATAATATTAGTAGGATAATAAATTATATATATATAATTTTGTGTTATTTTTTACCCCCCCAAAAAATTTGTTTAAACTAAGTCTCCAAAATGGCAGTTTTATACCATTTCTTTGTCCAAAGTTAGTTTAACAAATTATTTTATGCAATTTTTATGCACTACTGTATTACATTTAGTAAAAAATATATGTATATGTACATGCCCGAGGGGGGGCGCCCCCTTCTGGATCCGCCACTGATTCTGAGTCTAGTTTGCCATACCGTATATATCTTTACACTAGTACAGTAATAAATGATGCTAACTAACAAAAGGTCAACTTTAGACAGTAAAGAGATAGGGTTTGGACCTTACAAACATACAAAAATTCCTATGTCGTAAATAACGCAAAATGAAATTTAAATAGCTACTTCCCTATAGGGAAATTCGCTAAAAGTTGGAGAATACATTATTTTAAGTAAGTAGTGTAATGATTTTACAGTCAAATAATAAAAGTTATAATTTTCAGAGAGCCAGTGGGAGAATATTAACCAGTTAGCAGCTGATACTGGCTTGCGACTTGCATTTAGTTTGAGCCCAAACTCTCGGACCCAGAGTGACCTATTGAGGTTCTCCGATATCAGAGGCTATGACATCACGTGGCAACTTGGATATAGTAAGTCTTTTAGTTTCTAGGAATACTGTATACACAAAACTTGAAATCATATCGATATGTATGTAGAAGGATAAATGTAAAATCACTAAAAAACCCAACGTGAAAACAAGAGCACATGTTATGAGAAGTACTACTTGTCAAGCACCCAGTAATCAGTAATTGATGTTTACCCTTGGTTGTGATTATAAAGAATTGTTACTCTCATTACAATAGTAAAGTTATCTCTTAAGTGATTTAAATTAGATCTACTTTAGATTTTGGAGTTGGTGATGTTTGCCAGGCACACTTGCAATTAATGCAAGGTTTCGGTCTGCCTTATAGAGAGCCATAAACTTTTACTTTGGTCTCTTGGTATCACAAAGAGGGCTTTCCACATTTTTAAAATTATGAAGCACAGTTAATGTTTAATACCTTGTAAAATAGTAGCATTTACTATAGTTTAAGGTAATCTTTCATAAATTAATTGATACTATTGTAAATGCTAACACTACTACGGATAAAAAGGTCAGTTTAGTTGTTGTTCATAGTTCATGTTTACGTATTTGATTTTTATCCCATAAAAAGAAGGGGTTCTGAAAAAATCAAGCTACTTCCAAATATGATAAAGAAACCTACAAAATGAAGAAATGTTATTTACTTTGATACTTTTTAAATAATTTATAATACTATTAACTGAAATGGTGACAATACGAAGGTAGGTATTTTAAGCCAAGTATGAATGGAGATAAGTGTAGGGATCTTGTAGTCTTGTTTCTGACTAAGGCCGACATGTTCCTTAGACAGGACTGTTAATTAACAGCCCACACAGCCAATGGTAACCATACTTGGGAATAACGAATAGAAATTCTATCGAATAGCACTATTCATTAGTTTTTTTGGCTAACTTCTATTTTATTAGTTTGTTTTTAAATTAACTAACTAATAACTTCTATCAGTTACTTTTTACGGGACTAACTAATAACTTCTAACTAGTTAGAATTTTCAACTAACTTTCCCAATTATGCAGAAGCATCTAAAATACTGGTTATTTATTTCACGTGATCAGTGAGGGTTGCGTGCGGCCGTGAGAGGTCAGTGCCCTTGTAGATAAACAACGCGGGGGGGTGGGGAAAGAGAAAGTCAAAGTCCAGTTGCTTTGGAATGCAGTGGGCCTGTGGAAGGGTAGTGACGGCCATTATCAACACCCCAAGCACTGATGGGTGGGAAGGGGAAATGTTTGTTTGGTGATTGATATATCATCTCAAGTGTCAAAACATTGTCTTTAGTCGATGTTCATTATCTGACAAGTTTTATGTCATTTGTTTATGTTGTAGTAATGTAAAATGTGACAATGTTTGATTAAAACACAAGTACCAGGGGACCGATCTTGCTCGAGGTGTTTGATTTGTTCAAGAGGTAAAAAATAGAGCTTATAAGCCTACAAATATTTTCAGTCTTACTACGATTAATTAAGTAGTAAAGTCAATTCGTTTTTGTTAGATATCCACTTATCACCAATTTAGTCTACAAAACCTTTTAATTTGGACGATCAATCTATAAAATGTCCACAATAAGCTTCAATCGATATTAAACTCATGATACATAACATCTGTTATCTAACGACCGTTATTGCATTAAGTCACTGGGATCGTGGAACGTTGCAACTACGGGATGGTGTAATAACGCATCAATTCGTGCGGTGCATCGTCGAAAAATACAAATCTCCTTGGCCTTTCCTCTAGATTATTAGTTCAATGTCAGTGTATATTGTTTTGCAGTAAAACACTTAATGTTTTTGAACAGTCGTAATTACCCCTTTGGTTAGTAAGACATCATACAATGCAAATGTATTATACAAGCAATTTTCAATAGCATTAAAATTGGAGGAAATCGTAGGAGCCATTTTTTAAATCTTGCGCAATCTTTACTCATATTACAGTATATATTAGTAATCAAGATGTCACATTAAAAAATACTTTAAAACAACTGCCCAACAAACAACTAATTTCTACTAAAACTAACTTTATTTTCTATCAGTTAGTTTTTCAACTAACTAATAACTTCTATCAGTTACTTTTTAAACTAACTAACTTATAACTTCTATCAGTTACTTTTTACGGGACTAACTTATAACTTCTAACTAGTTAGAATTTTTGACTAACTTTCCCAACTATGATGGTAACTATGGGACCTACGGTTTATAGTGGAATCAGAATCACATTTTTGCCTTGTCATTTATACAACAAACATTTAGGGATGTAATTTTGTTGTAAGTTCAATAAGTATCATTAGACACAAACATACGGTATTTAAATATAGGCCCTACATCAATATATAGCGTAACATTATTTTTATTTATAATTTTAATTTTGATTCCTATTTAATCTTATTCTTGATATATTGTGATGTGTATTGATGTCTAGTGATTCCTATTTAGTGCACAGAAGAGTTCAACTCATTTTTTTTCCAGGCACACCAAAAAGCAATGATTCTGTCGTTTTCTCTGAGGAATCAGTTGAACAAATTACAAGTCTACGCCGTCTTGTTGATTCCTTCCCAAGATACCAGAACACAGTAGTTTTGAGCCCTGACTTGGAGTTCTGTGAAGATAACAAGGATCTTGAAGCTCTCAAGAATTTCCTCCAAAAAACAAGAGATGATTTTGATTTTGTCATTTTACAGATGTATGACAACCTTGTATTTTGATAGACCTAGTTGAAAGTAAAACTAAATGCCTGTTATCAAAAGCCATAATAAGTTATTTATTTACTCACTAATGGGAACCAACAGTACATATTACAGTTGGAATGCTTATTTCAGTAGTTAATCAAACATTCAATCAAATAATGCTTGACAGTTAAAGTTCATTACTCATTTCCAAATATCAATCAATTATTTAAGAGGTGACACAAACTTTCGTGTATAGCTGAATGTGAATGCAAGGGGAGTGTGGAATATATTTCACAATTATCTCAGCTTGAAACTCTTTGAGATCATAGGAACTACGGTTACATCTAATAACTTAAGTGTACATATGGTATGTTTTCCATTACCCCATCAGAGTCAGACATATTGTCCATGCTCTCACTATATTTTATACTCAAATGTTTATGTTCAATTCACCAACTATAGAGTTAAATTTTGTATACAAAAGCACATAATTTGTCTGATACATTTTGTTGAAATTATTTTCAGGAAACCTAAGGAAAGCTTGAAATCCATAAGAAATAGTTTTGAGAAATTAGATAAATACTCAAGCGAGATTGAAAAGATGGCCTTCAACAAAAACGACATGATTACAGCGAAGATTTCATCAAAACAAAAATTTTGGCTCGGTGAGTGTATCATCTTTGGTTAGATATAATACAATAACCCAAATATCCATATTATAGAAAAACCATTCCATATAGAAAGTATCAATCTAAGTTACTAACACACAGTAAGTTCTTTTTGTTTTTCAATGTTTAAAAAACAGAATTAAAGTAGAAAATAATATTCAGTTTGAGCAAAATAAAACTCACTTTTATTTTATTTTAGAAGTCCTTACATAATTGTGAGGAACCCAGACCTACTGAGAGTTTAACAGATGCCATGAGCTGTGCCATGTACCTGGGTCAGTCTAGTGAACTGGGATATCACACACTATTGCTGCCTCTCACACAACTCTCTTATGGTCCCTATAATGTACCAATATCATACTTTCCATTCCAGTATTATAAATAAAGTATCAGTTAAGGCGAGAGTTACCAAAGTAAAGTGTAATACTTTTTTGTTTACACTATTTATAAAGTACCGTATGTTTTTTTATTTACAATTAAGAAGATAGCTTTAATTGGTTTTATGGTTAAAAAATCCATAATAATAACAAAAGTGAATATTATTTCATTTGTAGTGATATTTTTTGAAGAACAAAAATAAGTAGCCCAGTAGAAACAACAGTTTAGTACAGTAGTGACACTGTGATTAAACTCTTGGTTTATTTACTGTTGTGGTTTAAACTATGGGCCATACATTCACTTACCTAATCACACACATACCTTACACAAACCTTAATACACTTTGACCTTACGGAAATATTAATTTAAATGCTTTTTACAGTAATTTTTGACTATTTTTCAGTCTAAAGCAAAAAATGGGTCTTATAAATCACTTTAATTGTTAAAGGAAGAAGCAAGAAAGAGAATTGGCCTTTTACAGTTACCTGGAGAATTTGTTACATTTTCCCTCAGTGTGCTCCATTACTTGTTACAGTGGAGGCTGAGGAACACAGACCTACTGAGAGTTTAACAGATGCCATGAGCTGTGCCATGTACCTGGGTCAGTCTAGTGAACTGGGATATCACACACTATTGCTGCCTCTCACACAACTCTCTCAACCTTCACCAGTCAGTATCAATACCGAGTCAACTAAATTACCGTATTAGTTCCAAATTTTAATATCATTTATGAACGTAGGCCTACATAAATAATAGGTATAGTTTCTGTATGTCTGTCTGTCCCTGTGTCAGTTTGTTTTGGAAGAACACAAAAATACTGAAGTGACAAGGCTGAAATGCAACACAAGGGCACAAGATGATCCAGGCCGATATATGAGCCTGGTTCAGATAAAAGCTATCTTGTTTCCGTCTAACGCCATTGGATGCAAGCCAATCGCACAATTTCAAGTATAGATGTGTTTGCCTCTTCAACAACAGTCTAGCCGTCATGATGGAAGTGTAATTGTGCCGCCCGTTGTCACAATATAAAAATTTAAAAGTTTACTGCAATTGATACTTCTGCTACAGTTGTGAGGTATGGTCTGTATGACTATAAACTTATACAAAACGTATTGAACTTTATTATCAAGTGAGTGAAGTTTACATAAACAACATAATAAATTATAGCTTTGTCCAGTTATGGGACATTCAATTTAAAATGGCCAAACAAAATTTTGTTTTTTTGAATGACAATGCCCGACCTCGCACGGATATCTTTCAATCATTTAAATTTTAGATTTTCCCTGAAAACATGCAGACCTTGCTTCGAGTGATTTTCATTTGTTTCAAAAAGGATACTTGGTTATCATCTCAGTGCTTTTTATGATGACGGGGTTCAATCTCATTTCACCGATGGATGGGCTCGCAGGGGTCAAAATTCTACGACTAATAAATTTCAAATCTTGTTCACAGCTATGATAAGTGCCTCTCTTTGTTTGGTCACAATGAAGAAAATTAGTATTTTAGTTGCTCTTTTTTTAATGTATACAATAAATTTTATTTCTTTGATCAATTTTTTTATTTTATTCCAAAACGTCCTCGGATGTCTATTCAGGCCCTTAAAATCTTAATTCCTACGCTCACTGAACGGCCAATATTCCTGAAGATATTAATTTTATTTGGCCACACAGTGGATTAAATTAAACCAATGCAAATTTTATAAAGCCTAAATGGTACAGTCTAGTTTTGTTTCTATCAATGGTGGAAATGCAACTGTTTGTACTACAACCATACACATTTCTGTGCTCTTTACTCCATTGTAAAACGCAGGAAATAGCTAGTAAACAATAAGTGTGTATCAATTTAGTCAACATATCCAAATGGATTAAACTTGTTTTACTATTGGAGCTTGATGTTTCAGAGCTACTGGACAATGTTGCTATACAGAGCCCTGGTGGGGAGGTCAGTGCTGGGGTCTAGGAGGTGGCCTCAAACAGCTGATGTTGCTGTGTTTGCCTCGTGTACTGAGACTAAGCCTCATGCCGCTCTGGACACAGAGTGGGAGTACGGCACTGGAGCTGTGACTATGTGGGGAGTCAATTCCGCTAACCACAGCTCTCGCATCTTCCTACGAGCTGGCTGGAGAGTGGACTACGTGCATCTCTACATGATGACAAGTGATGACAGAGGGTGAGTAGTGAGTAGTGAAATTAAACTAAACTTTAATCATGTCAAAGACACAAAAAATGTGAACAATTCAATAAGCAGGCTTTTATTTACTGTAAATTAAGAGTGAAAAGTCCATTTGCTATGGGGAATTTGCATGGGTAATGAATGTGTGTGACATATCACATTCTAACCAGACCCAGTTGTTCACATTAAAGTAGTGGTGAGTTCTTAAAACAATTTTTATGTTTGTAAAAAAGAAATTTAAGAGTTGCGTACCTAATATATTTTATTAATCATATTCCAAGAGGAGGGGATGTTTGATGCTCTTGTTAGCATATTTCTCATATAGGAAATGAGCTATTACCATAGGTCTCATCCTTCTCATCGTAAGACCTAGACCCGGGACCACTTTACCTTTTCCTTATTAATGTCCCAAGAGACAAAAAACACCAACCGTTGAAATTGGCATTTACGATTGATTGAATTCATTCCACTATGTAGCCTACTTGTCTAAGATTTTATTTTACTGGCCTTTCAAAAGTCTTTATATGTAGTATAGCCCTGACGTGAATGTGAATTTGAAAGAAGTTGCTGGGCTAATCTTTACATTTATCTTGTTTAACAAGTTCTCTACCAGATGCAATCGGCCGAATATGTGTAGTGTTGTGAAACTTGGTAGTGAATGTGTTAAGTGTTAGAAATCAGAAATAACACTAAATTAATTTTATTTCATGTTTTATTCAGAAAAGCTTACAAGATCAAAACTAAATAGCTTGACTCTCCATTGTCGATTTCCTGCTTGTTGTTTACTCACGTTCAGTCCATTCAACAATTACTTTTTATTATTTTCAGTCCAGGAGTAGGGTTACTATCAAAGCCGAATAAATTAAGCATAAATATATATACAGGGTGTTTGGTACTCAGTGTGAAAAAAATTTGTTGGTGTAAGTACAAAGTAAATGCAGTATGATGATGGATATAAAATGTCCCAAGTCTAAAAATTAGCTTCCCAAAGAATTATTTTATGTTTTTCAAAAATAACTATGTTTTAATACTTAATACAGCTATTTCTCAATTACCTGTAAATGGATTTGAGTAGACAATGTCATTTTCGTGTTCTACATTAAATTTTGAATAAGAATAATACAAAATGACAGAGGATCAGTTGTAAAAACTCCATCGTAAATAGATTCAAAGATAAAAATTAAGATGTCTGATAAAAATGCAAAAAACATTGGTCAATTGCATTTGTTCACACCCTGTATACAGGAAAGTGTCGGAATATGTTAAAAACTGCGCCATTTTATAAGCTTTCCAACCATATGCTACACTATTGAGGTTTAGATATTTTTTTGTTGATTTTAGTGGTTTGAATGCCAGAAAACAGGGAACTTTTTTACCGTTTTTACTGTTCAAGCTGAAACAAAAATACAACTTTTGCTTAATACATGCTGACTTTCTATGTTTTAAATGATAAAGACGCCATGCTTTGTAGTCTTCAAACCACGAAAGCGTACATAAGCAGACAGAAAGCTCAATGGTGTAGCATATGGTTGGAAAGCTTATAAAATGGCGCAGTTTTTAACATATTCCGACACTTTCTTGTATCCAGGGTGTGAACAAATGCAATTGACCAATGTTTTTTGCATTTTTACCAAACATCTTAATTTTTATCTTTGAATCTATTTACGATGGAGTTTTTACAACTGATCCTCTGTCATTTTGTATTATTCTTATTCAAAATTTAATGTAGAACACGAAAATGACATTGTCTACTCAAATCCATTTACAGGTAATTGAGAAATAGCTGTATTAAGTTTAAAAACATAGTCATTTTTTAAAAACATAAAATAATTCTTTGGGAAGCTAATTTTTAGACTTGGGACATTTTATATGCATCATCATACTGCATTTACTTTGTACTTACACCAAAATTTTTTTTTCACACTGAGTACCAAACACCCTGTATGTATATAAAATATTAATGTCCATTTATTTTAAATTCATAACATTAAGAGCAGTTGCATTAGTGAAGTCATAAGTCTTTATTTACCATTAAATACACAATAAGTACCTACAATAGGTTCGTCATTCAAAATAAAAACATGCAAAATCAAATCTATCAACAAATGCAAAATAGATAAGCTCTAGGCACAAAAAAAGAATACATGCACAAACCATGCAGGTGTACCTGAAAACGACTAACTCACAAACTTACCACTAGTTTGCATTGAACATTTATCAGCACTTTAGCGGAACTTTATTCTTACAATAATAATTTAATTATTATTAGGCGTAGACAATAATTATTATAACCCTGTGTTATAAATAGTACTTTAAATCCTAATATCAATCTTGATATGTTGCAGTAGTATCCTGTTGAATGGACAAGCTTTGCGTACAGTTCACGGTGTACTACCCAGGTTCTCTCCCCACATCCGTGCACTGTCCCGCACTCGCAGCATGACAGTTACTGTGCCTCCCCGGAGTGTGTTCTTCGTGGTACTTCCAGACGCTCTAGCTCCCGCTTGCCTCATCAACACGGGTGAAAAACTTAAAAATCCTCTCAATAATGAAGAGATTTCTCCTATGGCACTCAACATTCCTATAATACCGCCAAAGAGCTCCTATGACTCACAGAAAGAAGAGATGAAGCCAAATAATATTTTTATTGAAAAAGGTGGTGTTTTTACTGATATTGTTGAGAAAGACAAAGGAAGAACTGAAGACAAAAGTGCCACAAAGGAAACAACTCAAAATTCTGCTTTGAAGACAGAGAAAAGTGAAGTAAAACTTAGTAGAAATAAAGATTTAAATAAATTGACTACATCTTTGGCTAGTAACAGTCTTCAAAATATTCCATCCCTAATTCATACTAAAGAAAACAATACAGGAAAAATTAGTACTGAAAAAGCTAAAGAAGATTTTACAGTTCTTGGCAATTTCTATCCAGGAAGAGAAACAAACAAACTTGAAGAAATTCAAAATAAGCACAGCAAAGATGTTAATTTTTCATCCAAAATTTTGTTTCAAGAAAATAAATCTGACACGTCTAAAAATGATAGTAGTGTTAAAAATGACGGTGTAAGAATAAGTAATGACAAGACTGTAGCAACGCAAGTTCCAAGAAGAAAGAGATCACAAGATTATGAACATCATGAAAAAAATCCAGTAAAAAACACTGAAACATCACCGTTGTACAGAAGAGTAAATCTACTGCGAAGAATTTTACACAGAATGCAACAACCAACAGAATATGAAGAGGAGGTTAAACAACAAAGATTATTAAACTTGGCAAGTACTGCAGAGTTAATGCTTGATAACAATTGGAGATCTAGTAAAACGAATAGTGATTACCCTGTCAAAATCCCTTCTAATGAAATAAAACGCCAAGAACAAACTGGCAAGGTTGAGCAAAACAAAGAAGTAGGAAATATTAATTATCTCCCTGGAGAGTTTTATGAAATATTAGGAGGGTTAAAAATAGACTCTAATGTTTCATTAAAGGACAAAGAGGATATCATCGACACAAAAGATTCATTACAAAAACAGACCAAACCGCACAGGTGTAGAGATGACGAAAGTAAACTGATTGTTACTGTAAAGCCTGAAAATGATCCTCAAGAAGATAGAATATTAGTTGAAAGTGCAACAGAAAATTCAAAAAAATACTATGCATTGAAAAGTAGTACATCTGAACAGCAGATCAAACCAGTAGAAGATTATAAAATAAAGTTATTAAACAGTAAACAAATTAAATTTTCTAAAGATGTGTCAGATGAAAATATTAGTGAATATAATGAACGATCCAAGCAAGAAGGTTTTTTTAAAGATCTTAAAAAGGAAGAAAATAACTCCATTAGAATTGAGCCTCTTATTAATCGAGCCAAACGGAAAACCAAACGAGAGGATGAGGACGATGACACATTTTTGATGCCTATACGGGAAAAATATGAGAGCATTGTCGATTCTGACTATTCAGATGAGGTTCAGTTACAAAGGTTTCTTGAAGACTTGACTGATGAAAGTGAACAGCTTGTGCAAATTATTGATGAAGAGTATGAAAGCAATAATGGAATTTCCACTCTTCAGGCAGATACCGTCCAACTCTCAACAGAACCAAGTGTAATACATGATAAGGTCAAAGTGGCTGTTGCTAAGGTCACTGACAAACCCCATTTACTGAATAAAACAGAAGAAACTGACTATTACTTAATGAATAATATTGTCATTGATAAAGAAGTGAAGCCAAAACGGACTTATCCTCCTGTCAATGTAGAATCAAAGATGTTTTCTTCCTTCCATAAACCTACAACCACAGTAAGAAACATTATCGTTGATAATACAAACAAGTCTAGTTCAACGAGACAACCAAGTGGTGAGTTGTTTGAATCCCAGACAGATTATTCCCTTGGAAATCATCAAACTACATCAATGGAACTATCTACTCCAACAATCCCTGATAATTCATACAAAAACACAAATGTATCTGGTGAAAGTATTACAGAGGGAATAAGTAACTCTAATATGTTTATAGACAGTGTACCACTTGGTACTGACAAAACAACCAAATCAGGAATCAATATAATGTCAAATAAAAACTTAGAAAACTATGATGCTAATTCCATGTACCGGTACAATCTAACAGATAATACTACTAATGAATTTAAACCTATGAACAAAATGAATTCATATGAACTTTATGATATGGTTGAAGACACTTCTGAAGACAACAAAAGAGCACCTCAAAATGTTAACAGTTCCAACTTAAATGAAGTCAAAACAGAAAAAAGTAAATCAAAGCCTGAAAATATTGTTCCTGTTCGTTCAGTTTTACTTACGAAAATTTCTGATATAATCACGACTACAGAAAGAGACTCCTTTAAAGACAAATCAATAGACTTTGTCAACTTAAAAGATTTGTATGATGTCCCAGGATCTATAAAACATGATGAGACTTACTCAAATAACCGTAAGTTGATCAATGAATTAGGCAGTAATAATCAAACAAAAAATCTAGGTAAAAATCTATCTAACTTAGTAGAAAATACAGCACCTATCGAGATTTCAGACATAAATTCTGCTCAAGATAATTATGACAAAAAGCAGAAAATGAATAGTGAGAGTAAACTTGAAAATAAAATACTGCCTCCTCCATTAAAACAAACATTAATTATTAAACCACTTCAAACCCCTCCAGTTATAACTTTAAACCGTAACTTAACATTGTCAAAGAAAATAAATGACATCACCAATAGAATATTAGCACTCAACAGCAAACCCAAACAACCATTGCCAACTCTAGGAAAAGGTTCTTCCTTGAACACACTTTTAGAAAAACGCCAGGAAAGACTAGAAGCTATTAAACTAAAACTACAAAAAGCCAGAGAACGATTGTTAAATCTAACCAACCCCAAAATCACACAGGATTCTTCGTCAAACAAACAGAAGCAGAAAAGAGAAATAATCGTAAGTAAAGATACGTTGAACTCGTTACTAAACGGAGCAAAGGAAAACAAATCAGAAGCTCAACTACAAAAGAATAACATGATTTCAACAAAGAAACTAAAGCCATCACTAGACAACTTGTATTTGATTCATCGATTAAGAAGACAAATTTTCGATGGTGAAGAAATAGGTAGTAGTTCAGTAATGGAGGAAGATTGTGACCGATCAAGAAATGGAGAAGAAGCAGAGGGTTATCTCAAGATACAATCACCCAAAAATATTATTACACCTTATTATTTTCCAGAAATAAAAAAATGGCTCATTCCACTAAGCAACAAAACTGAAAACATTCTATTCAAAAGTAAATTGGTACCTGTAAACTTATATGGTATAGTGTCCGATGAATGGGCACAAGAAAATTTAGGAAAAAGTCCTAACACCGAAACAAAAAGACTACGAAGAGCCTTGCGGTACCCATGTGTTAAGGATAATTTTAATGATTTTGAAGCAGAAGATGAAAGTGCTAAACATGCTCGTAGTTTTAAAACAACTCCTAAAAAAATCACACTGGAGAAAAACACAAATGCTCAATCTTTGCCTGATACTGGGAAAGGTTCTAGTTCAATTTTGTCAGGTATTCTTTCTACAAGGTCAAGGAGATCGACCAGTCGAGACATTGAGATGAATGAGAAGGAAATGAAAGCCTTACTAACAAATGAAATTGTTAAAGAAAAACCCTCACATGATGAGCCAGATCATGAAAATGTGTTTAGTTCTATGCTGCACAAAACACTAACTAAAACTGCCTCAAATAAAACAGGAATTGAAAGGATGTTCGAATTAGCCAAGCAGTATCATGAAACTAACCCAACAAGCTTAGAAATACTTCCTACAAAGAATAAACAAACAAAGAAGAAGAAAAATTTGGAAAAATATGTTGATAAAACCAGTGAGGAAAACTCAGCAGTGGAATTAATCGATTATACCTCATCTAGCACATCAAGGTATTACCAAACAAATATTACAGAAACTATTCCTATAAACCACTCTGAGAAGGATTTTTCAGTTAAAAACTCAAGTTTTGTGAATAGTAATTCTACAAAGATCTTTGATGAAGATAAGAAAGCACCAGGGGATGAGTGGTCTGATTTTATAAACCAAATTCAAGAATTCTATGAGTCTGTAACTGATGCATTTAAAAGAGGGATTCCGCTGGTATAATATTTTTGCAACATCTTTCATGAGAAAGACGCAAAACTGTAACTAAGTTACTGCAGTGTATTTATGTTTCATGGGCATCTTAGAAAAAAATGGTGGCCAATTGTAAGTAATTTTTCTGTACATAGGATTATGAAATAAGCTTTTTATACTTTTATACTTTTGTACTTCAATGATATATATATATATATCAATAATATGGAATAAATATGCATATGTTTAGACTTATGTTAGCTTAATTTAATTATAACCTTATACTGCATTTAAAAAAAAGCAAAACAAAAAGGAAATATAAATCAATCATATTTTTATAATACACACTATAAATTGATCACATAATTACAGAAAACAAATTAACTTGCATGAGGATAGATTACAATTTTTGACCATTTAAGACAAAAAATAATTTAGTTTGTTATTCTGAAATTATATTTTGAAATTAAATTTTATACTGACTACTCTCCAATGTTTAAAAATGTCATACTACAGTAATAAAATGTTAGAAGAGGCACTGCTTTCACCGTAATTTTGGTATTTAATTTCTAGTAAAGAAGTGAAAATCATGGTTCTGATAACAAACCTACTGATCCTCTGATGATAAACTAAACTATATTAGAAAATGTACACACATTTTTTTATGTTCTTACAAATTTAAATAATAATTTATCAAGGGGATTATTCATTTTAATTTAATTACTTTCCAACAAGACAACCCTACGAAAAAATCAGTACGATACCTAGTTAGAATGTCACACTATATCAAACAACTAAAGATTGTTATGTTTTCATTTGGTTTTTTGTATTCAATATAGTAAGAGAAATAGGATATGACCTTAAAGAAATTGCAAGAAAACGTTGGTTTTATTTTGTAGTATAGAGTATACAGAGTGACATACTAAAAGTTTGCCAAAATCAGTCCACGGGATAAACCCCTAAAATCATTATTAAAAATGGCGGCTTTGCCAAACATGGACAAATTTTGAAAAAAAGTTCCCAATGCATTTTTTATGAAAATTTTTTGAGACATTTACTTTGGACCACCGCCAATTCCAATTCTGACTGGGTGGTTAGTATTTTGATAGGGAACATGTTTTTGGTCACCATATTGGATATAAATAAAATTTTAAAAATGTAATGATAGTCTTGTGACACATCATTATAAACTAGACTTTCACGCTGATTTAATTGCCAACATTTGTTTTTAAATACCGATTTTCGTTTCAAAGAAATACTCAAACGAAAACTCTCCGACATACATTTCTTATGGATGACGTTGAACCGTTTTCTTTCTCCCCACACTATGGAGAAAGTATTGTTTTCGTCACCCAAAAAAGTGGTTTTCGAAGACATGTCTATCCGTGTGTTAAATTCTGAACAAAATGGTAGAAAACTCCCATTCCTGTGAAAAATTATGTTTCAAAAGTTATTAAAGCTATTAAAGTAACTTATGTTATTTTCCCATAAAAACCCATGAAAAAACTGAAAAATTGATTTTTGGTAAAAAAACCGGATCCGATTGAGATTTGTCTGTTATGGTTCTTATAATTCTAAACAAAATAGTGCAACTCCCCATTCCTGTAAACATTACGTCCAAGAGTTAACGGAACTTTGGGGATTTCACCTTTTCAATATCATACTCTCATCGCTTACCCATGATACAGGTCATTGACAATCTAATGGGAAAAAGTATGTGTCAAATTGCTGATAACATTTATTTTTCTAATACCTCCAGTTTGTATTAACCCTTGCAGTTTGTTCTAGCCTTAAAATATTCAGTGATATAAGGGCTTTCATTTGAGCTTATAATTATCATTAAAATCTGACGAGATAGAGATCAGCTAGAAACCCCAACACAACATTAAATTTAACTTTTTAGAAATCAGTTTTTATTAGTCTACAAAATTTATATCTCGGGTTAAATTACTCAGTAAATGTTTGTCTCTAACTTTATGAATCACTAAATAAAATCTGACAAATGTTAAATGAGTCATGGACCTTAATTTAACCTTAAAGTATTTTTATTTCGAAATTTGTCTTAAGTTAAAGACACATATCCCCAATTCTAAACAACTTCCAAAACTCTTTATAGTCTTAAATAATTCGTCAATGCATTGACTTTAGATTTAGCTATGCACTACTTATTTTACTTATATTTTATTTAGTGGTTTTACCAAAAAATGATCCAAACTGTAATATGCTGGAAAATTGTTCCATTTTTTAAGGTCCTATGTTTCTCTGACTGTTTGTTGCTGGTTTCAACTCGTTTGATTTTAATGATCAATAGATCAAATGAAATCCCTTACATCACTGAATATTTTAAGGCTAGAATGAACTGTAAGCATTAATAAGAACCGGAGATATAAGAAAAATAATCATAAAATATGTTCTAAGTATGAACCGTCCATAAGAAATGTATGGGGGAGAGTTTTCATTTGAATATATCTTTAAAATGAAAAAGATATTTGAAAGCGGATTTTTGCATTGAAATCAGTGTGAAAATCCAGTTTATAATGATGTGTCACAACACTATCATTACATAAAAAAAAAATTTATTTCTAATATGGTGGATCCAAGAGGGCAGCCGAACACACGTTCCCTATCAAAATGAAGTATACTAACCACCCAATAACCACCCTTTTTTTATGGCTATTTCAACCCCAGGTAGCATGGAGGGCTTGCTTGGCAAGCAGTCAGAGGAGAATGCGTTTAAGAGGGGAGGGTGTGTTTCAAGGTCACCCTCTCTGACGGTAGAAAATATATCGTTGGCACCTTCGCTGGTAAAGGGAGCGACTGTCTCCCCTCCACCGGTGCCAGCTTTCAAGTCTGGTGAAGGGCTGTTGGAGGAACACCTTACAACAACATTGCAGTCGGAGAGCTCAGGGATGGTGCTTCTGCGTCAGAAATACCTTGACGCAGAGAGTAGCATCAAAACCCGGCTTCGAGACATGGAGGAGACCATTAAAGCTATGCTGGACACCTTTCGGACCCAGAAAGCTGTTAACCAAGTGGTCAAAAATGGCATGGCCAAGCTAGAAGATGACCTTGGATTCGTTTTTGCCTGCCGGTTGGTAAGCAAGGCGGCCATGGAGAAGATTGCGGAGAAGGTAGTGTCTATGCCCGACGACAGGGCGCTGCCTTCCAAGAAACGCAGAAGGCCATCCACTACGGAAAGCCCCCCAAAAAAGGAAGAGGCTGTTCAGACCACAAGGGCTAAGGTTAAGGCTAAGGCGACCCAGACAGACCTTTTGTCTGCCGGGCCCAGGTCTTCCCCAGATGTAGCTGCTTTCCCAACAAAGCGTCTGCAACCTCAGCAACCCGTGACCCCTCTTAGGGGAAGCTCCCGTAAGGGATCAGTCGTTGAGACACCATCTGGGGCTGCATGGGAAAAGCGTCTTACCCGAAAGGAGAAGAGACAGCAGAGGCGGGCGGAGGTCACCTCCAAGAAAAATGTGGCGGTAAAGGCACAAACGACAAACGTTGCCCAAATTGGGCCCGGTTTGGCCCCCGCTCTTAAAAGGTCGCGGCCACAAAAGCCCAGGACGGAGGCAATCTTGGTTAAGCCCTCAGGGGGGAGATCATTCGCTGAAGTCTTGGGTATAATAAAGGCTAAAGCTAAGCCGGAGCAGACCGATACGGTTGTGCGGTCGATTAGGCAAACCCGGGGCGGGGACGTCCTCCTTGAACTGGGTAAGTCAAAGGACAAATCCGCTTTTGCTGCTGAACTAAAGGCAGCCGTGGAAGGCCAGGGCACCGTCCCTGCACTCGAGCCTAAAACGTCAGTTGAGGTTCGGGACATAGATGGTGTGTCGACAGAGAGTGAGGTGGTTGAGGCCCTAAAGGAAGCAGTCCCCGAGCTTGCCAGAACATCGGCTGTTCTTAGGGTGTGGCTCACAAAACCAAATAGAAACCAGCAGCGGATGGCGGTCGCCGAAATGGCAGACGCACACGCTAGTAAGGTGTTGGCACTCCAGCATTTAAGGGTCGGTTAGGTCAACTGCAGGCTCAGACGGAGGGTGGAAGTAACCAGGTGTTTCAGGTGCCTCGGTTTCGGTCATTCCTCCCGAAATTGCAAGGGGCCCGACCGAGGCAAGCACTGCCTCCGGTGCGGAGGGGTGGCTCACGCTCGTAGGGACTGCCAAGTCGAATCTTGCTTTCTTTGTAAGGAAAATGGGCTCGCGGACAAAAACACCAAACATATAGCTGGGTCTGGGCAGTGTGTGGCATAATGGTGCCACATTTTGGTGACCTGGTCATGTGATTCAAGATCCAGACCAAATCATTCTTGCTGGAAACGTTAACTGAACACATTTATTAATGCAGAGGAGACAATTTACCGCAAATCACAGGCCCTAATAGCCAGCTTTGATGATTGTTTGATTAATTAATGCATTTATATCACAGAAATATGTACATTGTTCAACTTATGAAATAATTACTATATTACTTGACTGGACACAACGTGAACTGATATTTGATTTTAAGACGATTAATACATAATGGAATGAATGATATAGTGAACTGATACCTTGACCTGAAATTACATATTATAAAGTACTAACACTACGACACAATACCTCAAGGGGGCGTCCCCCCGTTTCCCACTAATTTACAGATCCATCCTTGGCGGCACCAGACACACGACAGACGTTTGGTCATTCCTCTTGGCCCGCCTGCGGCCTGCGCATGCGCGAGCAGCTCTGGGGTCAAGACTAGGCGGGACATTTGAATACTGGTTGTGTTGTGGAGATTGACACCACAAGATCTCCCCCCCTCCCCCAAGCAGCAAAAAAGGAAGAAAGGGTGACCTCCATGGTTGGGGTGTCACGTTGGTCCATTTAAAAAAAAATATATATATATATGCTGTTGAACACAAGTAAATTAATATAACATATAACAATAGTAAATATACAATAAATAGTAACAAATAAATATATTACACAAAAATCTGAAACATGAAATATAATGAACTCCGGTAACTGGTGTAATGTTGTGTGAGTGTATGTGTGAAAGTGTAAGAGCTCTTGCTTTCCTCCTTCCACAAGTCACAGTTTGCAGGTTCGAGCTGTTGAAATTAAAAAAATTAAAATAAAGGTTATGGCTCGACCGCAAATTTCAAAAAATATAAAAAATTAGCTAACCTGTGACTGTGTCTCGAGGTTGGCGTGTGGGTGTAAGTGTAAGTGTGATGCTGTCGGGGCGAGCGACACACTGGCGACCGCTACTGTAGA